ATATAAGTAAGTTCACCTTTAAATGTAGTTGACATCCTTGAACATGCATCAAAATTGGACTGGTTTACTATTACCGTCTAAAGGCCTGTCGCTTAAAACAAAAATTCCCCGTCACCAAACTTTATCAGTGTCTGCAGCTGACAGTGGTATAATTTGGTTGTTTTGTGAGGATACGTGCTGTAGGGCTTGCTCTAATGCCTTATCTCAGGAAGACAGAGCTGTTGGTGAGTAAAAGCTGAATTGTTGAGTATATCTGCGCCAACACAGGCTGTATTGTAAACGTCAAACCGTGAGCCTTTCAGGTCTTCTTTGATCTCCATCATGTGTCTACAACGTGTCTGAGATTAACCCCACATATCTGGGGTTCATTTTCTTTTACTTACAAAAAGTAAGGTCTTTCGAATTGGGGAAAGGAGCCCACAACATTGATGCGAAAGAACTGATTATGCAACTCAAAGCATGACTGCGGTAGTTACAAATCAAAGCAATGACCAGGTGAAGGGTCAGGGAAGAATTCTCAGGCACAGGCTGTACACTTCAGAGGAAAGTGAAGCAAATGGAAATTGTCGTTTTAGTGTGAGTTCACATAGAGGACAGCTTTGCTGCGTGGGCAAAATGAGTTACTAAAGCCTTCAGTCTGGAGTAATTTTGTTAGTGCCACATTCCCGTAAATCAGGATAACACTCGGAAGCGCCTTTGTAGCCGTCTGTCTCTGCCGCCATGTATCTTCACACGTTCTTGCTGTCTTTTATGACAGTTCTAAAAGGATGAGAGGGACAGGAGGAGTAGGTTGACGAGCTGCCAGTCATGGCCAGGCAGTACTTTAGCAGGGAAGCACTTAACAAAAGGCTGAATTATGGGAACACCTACTAAAAAAACAAGATAATTGCATTGGTTGGAGTTATGAAACAGTAGCCAAAGTGTGGTATGTTATAGGTTCTAGGGGAAAGGTCATAAGGTCATTAAATATGTGCGTTTTCTCTGTTTCAGGACTGATTTACTGTATTTAATATTGTGTGTTTAATGAATGCAAAGATAAGCTGTTAGGGTAAGGTCCCTGGATAACCAAAATGAGAATTTAATTCCATTGACCATTACATTGAATATATAGTATTAGGCTGCTCGCTTATGCCAAAAATCATAATCACGATTATCTTTGGTGAATATTGATATCACGATTATTAAAAAACGATTATCCATTGACTTAGAAAACATCCATTTATTGAACTTTAAAACAAATGAAAATAACAATTTCAACAGTATATTTTTAACAGTTGAATACCCTGAGCTTTAAGTATAATTCAACTGAAAAACCAATAAAAAAATTAATGGAATAAATAATACATTTAAATAAATAATATAAAAATAATCCGGCTTGACGAGGTTAGTGAAAGTTGACTGTACGCTAGAGACCGGAGAATAAAGACACGGCAACTAAAGCTTCCCTTGTAACGTGTTTATATGGATTTATTAAACAGACTGCAAGTCACAACACAACCGGGCCGAGAGGGCTGACCCCTAGATTCCACCGGGTCCGTCTGCGTCGCGTTACGGCCGCGTGGCGGCCGCGTGACGGCCGCGTGGCGGCCGCGTGGCGGCCGCGTGACGGCCGCGTGGCGGCCGCGTTTTCGACGCGACGCGAGGCGTTGCAGAGGCGCCGGGCAGGAAGTGGAACCGGCAGAGCATCCGGCCCATCCCCAAAATAAACAAATTTTGCAGACCCTATCCCTCCGTAGTCTTTCAAGTAGGAGGAGAAATGCCGGCGTTCTCCTCCGGTTTACAGGCACTCTGTAAATTATATATATAGAATAATTATGTTGATGAATGCATTTTTTTACCACTAAAATACAGCAATACATCTTTGATTCATGTAATTTATAACTGGACTATTACAGTTATTATTAACTTTGTCTGTACAAAGTAGCCTGTCCAGGAAATATGTCCCAAATCAACAAAAACTGCGAGCCGGCAGGCAAGACGCTCCGCTTCTGAAAATGCTTCTGAAACGCTCCTGAAACGTGCCCGAAATGCGCCCGGTAGGGTATGACGCCGGAGGATGCCGGACCAAAACCGCGGCGCAGCCTGACGCGACGCAGATGGACCTGGTGGAATCGAGGGGTTAGGGAGGGGGGAAAGTGCACGTGCGGGCAGGATGTATAACGCAAGACTAATTGAGAGCATCATTGTGAAAGGGAACGCAGCAAAATAATCGTTTTATTTTGATTACGTTGTTTTCGTAATCGTTGCAAGCCAAAATCGTAATCGAGATTAAAATACGATTAATTGCACAGCCCTAATTGTATATTATATTGGTTGACTTGTTAATGACTTAAAGAATGGGGTGCTTATTGGAAATAAAAGTGTTTGCCAAAAAAAGAACCTTTTTAATAAAAAACATACATTGACACAAGCATAGAACAACATTGGGTGGTTGTTTTCATAAAGAGAGGGAATACATTTGAGCCAACAGCGAGTATGAGCAACATTATTCAAAAATCATTTGGCATACTGGCGTTTCTATAAACTACTTTATGAATACACAAAAATCTCTTGTGATATCACAACAATAAAATCTGATTTCCAAACAGCCAACAGAGAGAAAAGCTTGCCAAGAGTGAATGAGCATGCTCAGAGGGGCGGTTAGCCTGAGGGTGGCTGGTTTGAATCCAGATTGGTTTAGTCTTAATAAGTAGCTGAAGAGATGGTCCTCATAGCAAACCTTTGAGCAGAGCTGCATCGATAAAACGATCAACATAAAAATAATAGCCTCTATTTTGAGAATCCATTTATTGCTTATGCGAAAATGAAAATGTTTTAACATAAAGAGTTCCTGCTTGTCCCCGTTTTAAAGTATAATAAAGTGAACGTCATATGGCCTATTTACACCTATATATTGTTCTGGATGGCTTTCAGAATGTGTCCTAAAGTACATCTGCCACAGAGACAAAGACTATCCATGTTTCGGTTTCAGAACTAGTGACTTCTGGTTGAAATCAAATTTTACCAGCATTTTGGAATTAACTGGGTATTAATTTTGAAGTCCTTCCTGATGTGTTCCATTGTTTACTCGTTCTATTTTAATTTAAAGGCCCTGTCACCTATTATTACATAGTATAACATTGATATTAAAGAGACTTATGCTTGGTTTGAATTAAAGGTGTCAAAGTTATCTTATTTGCCCTTCTGTAGCCATGAGAACACTTTTTCCCCACACTGTGAATAGTTTTGAGCTTTTATTTTTAAGATTTCTTATCATAATTGTTTTGAATAGCCATAAAGCAGAGGCTTTTGGTTTAATGTCTAAAGTGAGAGCGCTTTTGATAAAAACGTGATGGACCTTTGTAACCATTTTACTGTATATTACTGGAAATCACATTTTCGGAGCAAATGTCTTGCAGTATGCAGTCATTTAAGCAATCTCACGAGCAAAATATGATTTTAACATAAGTTAGAGCTTGCAGTTGCTAATTCTCCACCTTTACAGTGTGAAAGGGTCCAAGTCTTAGAGCCAGTGTGCTATGATGTTACAAAATGTACAATGATAATTATTGTGTAAGATGTAGCAGTGTTTAAATGAAACAAAAAGGAAAGAGTCCGAGTAGTTTTTATACATCTATTTTGGAGAGTTTTTCTTTCTAAAATGTCAAGCAACCCCAAACACTCATACCTCGTTAAGGGAAAATAAATGAGAGATTTGTTTTGTTTTGTTTTTCCCACAAACACCACTGTCATTGTGCCCTTTGGCAAGTTACAGTGAGAGATGGATGAGCTCCTTTGTTGCACTATTTCTGGTTGTTGAAGTAGTTTTTCCTCAGCGTATGTTTATCTGTGCCATATGCAAGCACTGCAGTTCTGCGAAGTCTCCTAGCAACCATCTTAAAGATAGGCTGAGAAATTGATTTGTGGAATTAATGGCTAAATATATACCACGTCACAAGCAACTAGTTGTTGTAGCTTTTATTAATTTGCTTTCAAAGGGGCCCTGTTATGCTTTTTGGGTTTTCCCCTTTCCTTTAGTGTGTTATATAGGTTTTTGTGCCTGTAGATGTTCTGTAAAAACTGAAATTCCAACTTTTCTCTCTGAAACGCCTTTATTGGACTCCTTTGTTTACTTCTGTAACACAATGACATCACTATGTAACACACACAATTCTATTGGCCACCGCTCCAACATATTGTACATGATATACTAAAGGGCAGGACATTTCTGACATCTTTAGGCGGATGACCAATCACAACAGACTGGGCTCTGGTTTCAGACAGAGGGTGAAAAGAGGTGCTGCAGCACAGGCAGTATGAGACAAATAAAGAGTTTTTTGAACATTAAAGCATGGAGACATGTAGCAGATGAGAATGAAATAGCTATATGAATCTGAGAATGAGCAGAATATTTGCTGTTTTACTGACATGAGATGTTTATAAGGGAACAATGGTGGTTAGCTTGTAGCAGAAAAGTTAAAATGAAAGAAGTTAGAATTAATAAGCCAGCTCAATCACATGTATTTTAAAGAAAGTTTTAGAGAAGACCATCTTGTTTTCTATTAAATATTACATTTTTGACTTCTTAATATCTTGAACCTCATGTGTCTTGTCTTTTAATCAGTTTTTTAAATGCACCATTAAAGTGATGTCATTTGCTGAACTTACCAGACTAGCTGTTAAATTGTTTTCACTCACAAACTTTGTGATTTTATCCACAATACTGATGATTTTTTTCTTTTTACCAAAGATCTCCCTTTGTGAATAGTGTGAATGCAAAGATGTTGTAGCAAAAGTGATTCTGATATTTGACTGAAAATATGAAAATATTGATATTTTCATCACATTGCCACGCCCTATTAATGTTAATGTGGATCTTGTTCACGGAGCACATTTTCAGTACAGTAGAGCTGTTATGATACTCAACAAAACCTCTTTCTATGTTTACCAAAAGAAAACAAACTTATCGAGTATCAAGTTGCTTTAAGACATGTCTGAATACTCCTCTCTTCCACCTACAGGGCTGCATTTGCCCTGACAAAGCCGCTCAAGATGAACATGGTGAAAAGGATCATGGGCCGGCCGAGGCAGGAGGAGTGCAGCCCCCAGGACAACGCGCTGGGCCTGATGCACCTGCGACGCCTCTTCTCCGAGCTGTGCCACCCTCCTCGACACATGACCCAGAAGGAGCAGGAGGAGAAGCTCTACATGATGCTTCCCGTATTCAACAGGGTGAGTCACAGCAGGGGGGGGCGGTCCAAGATGACATTCAATTCTGGTGTTGCCAGGTCATATAAAAATGTAGTCTCCATCAACTTAAAATGCTGTTTACACCTTACCAAAAAGCTCTGAAAATAATATTTGTACTATTTGCAGATATGTGCTTGGGTAAAATGAAACGTTTAGTTTTATTCTCTAACGAAACGTATTATTTATATTTCTCACAATTGTTTTGTTAAAATATGTTTGTGTTGGCATTATTGAAGGTCTAAAACCTGTGCAAATAAATTCTCTAAATGACAATATTTGTATTGGATATAAGAGAGAAGGAATCAAAAATGTAAATTTTACTCCAACATTACCTATAAATAATAAAACCAGATAAACTGATACTTCTACAGTTTTTTGTTTTTTTTCAGAGATTTTACTGTGGATGGATTCATAGGAACTCAATAAATGACTATATTAAACATTGGTTATATTTGGCATCAAAATACTGTGATTAACTGCTGATTTCCATACAAAACCTGACTATACGTCTCACTGATTCTGCTTCAACAGCCTGCAGCAAAATCTGAAATGAGCCTGTTGACTTATGTGGCTTTGTTGCCGTTAAGGCTTAAGCTCAGCTAAGTAGAGCACAATGAGAGGCGTGTTTCAGATCACATATGTTACCTTTATTTACCATTTGAAATGGTGAAACTTCTACGACTTAGTATTTGACCACTTCTGGTTCCCTCGTCAGAAAGTCAACGGTTATTTTAACGTGTTTTTGGTTTGAAGAATGAATAGTGCAATAGTAGTAAACTCACACACTAGGTCAAACTCATGAGGGTCTAATGATCATCGTCAGTAGTTCATCAAGTAGAGACATAAACTTAGACCAGCGATGTTAATGACTTACCAATTCAAGATCCATAGAATATAATAGAAAACCAATACAAATAAAACAAGAGACTACTACTGAATCAATAATACAAAACAAACATTTTCTTAGGTAAATCTAAGTGTTTAGATTTTACTTGACCAGGCTATCCACATGTGAAACTCAAGTTACAGCTGGTGTTTTGAAAGTATTTCAGCCGGAGTTTGCTGATCAGAGATCCAAAATAATCTCATTTACATACATAGAATCAATGCAGAATATTGGTGCTGCAACTAATAACAATCATTTATAGAAATGTGCTTTTTCTGATTCACTAAATATGTTTAATATATCAAATATCAAAATATAGTGAAAAACCTGCAGCACAATTTCTGAGAGCCAAATGTATTCTTCTCTTATTTAACCAACAATCCAACATCTAAAGGATACAATATATAATAATGTAAAAGCAAGAAAATCAGCGTACTTAGATAGGAGAAAAACATCTGAATATGTATCATTTTTGTGTGCATAAATTATTTAAACTAATAATTAGCCATTAATGTTGTTCTTCATAACGTTTTCATTGATTATTTATAGAATGTAGCTGTAAAACTAAAATGCATAAATAACTAAAGGGTTAAAACAAAATGACATGCTTTGATGCAGAGAGACTGAATGTGAAGTCATGCAAGGGAGCCTTAAATATAAATAAGCAAAGAATCATTTATTAAAATGTCTATTTTCATATAACACTGATAGAGTAATAGGCCTTTATGGTGGGTAGCTGCTGCAAACAGCCCTGTAGAGTGTTCTCATCAAACTGAAGGGCCATAACAAGGGTCTCTTGACTTGTCAGCTAATTACCCAGCGCTGGCTGCGACTCACCCACTGGTGGCATCATTTAAATCATGTCAGAAATTCGAAGTAGAATACTCCCGGTGCAGCAGTACGCCAGCTCCAGGCCTTCTATTGTGTCAGATTTGCAGGGTAAATAAATACAGGATGAGTCGTTGGAGAATGAAGTGTAGTTCAGCGTCGACCCCTGCTCCCCCAAAGGCTCAGGCTGTAGTCAGCTCTGTGGTTGTAAAACTAGGACATACCAAATAAAACCCAGAGAGATGTTAGCCAGTGCACCTGATGCATCCTGTGTGTCCCTTCTTCATGTGATTACAGCTGACATTTTATTGAACTGCAGGCTTGAGTACCATTTAAAGGGGCCCGGTTTTGCTTGTTGCCTTTGTCCCTTTCCTGTAGTGTTTTATATAGGTTTTTGTGTATGTCAATCCCTAAAACCCCTTTGTTTACTTCCTTAACATAGTGACATCACTATGTCTGTTGGCTAGCGCTCCAACACATTGTGCATGATAGGCTAAGAGGCGGGACATCTCTAAGCATTAGACCAATCACAACAGAGCCGGCCAGCTAACCGATCAGATCAGACTTAGCTCTGGTTTCAGACACAGGGTGAAAAGACGTGCTTAAGACTCAAGTGATAGATTATATTAGATCAGATATACTTTATAGATCCAAAGTAAGGAGGGGTTAGGGTTAGAAGCATGTAAGACAAGCATTGCACATGATGATATTAACAATAGAACGATATAGATCTATGGACGACACAATAAAAAATATGCAGAATAAACTAAATACGATATATACACTGTAGAGTTACACTATAACGATCCAAATGCAGTGTACAATATGTACCAATTGTTCAGGGTAGATGGAAGGGAAAAGCATTGTGGTTAGTCGGATGTGTGCATATCTCCTTTGATACAATTCTCTATCAAACAAGAATCAGTACAAATGTATACAACCAGACTGACTAAGGCTGATTTAGTGACAGTTCTAAAAGCATATTTATTTTAATTCTAATATGACCTTTTTAGTATGTCTTTTATTTATTTTTCCTGATTTAACCCAAGCTGAACTGTCTGCTCTAGGTGTTTGGGAACGCTCCACCCAGCAGCATGACGGAGAAGTTCACCGACCTGCTGCAGTTCACCACCCAGGTCTCACGGCTTATGGTGACCGAGATCAGACGAAGAGCTTCTAATAAATCCACAGGTGAGCCCTCCGACACGTCCATTCTTCACGATAAAGATGGAAGAGGAAGTAGCAATCTATTATTCCTTTGGCATCAGTTGTGGTCATTTCCCATATCCAGTTGGCTACTTCTGACAACAATTGTTTATGTGTGCCCTTTCCCCGTCTGTGGGTGTGTTTGCAGTCCCTTTGGCTTTGCTGATGCAGACATAGATGTTGGAAAAAGTTTTTAGTATTATGATCATGAGAAGAACATTCTAGAGCAGAACATGACAAGCATTCTTCATCCATTAACAACAGTGTTGTCTTAAAAACCACAATTACTTGAAGCTTTGGCAGCTCCTACTGTGGCTTCCCCACAGGAAAGACCGTAAATAGACAGTACACACACACACACACACACACACACACACACACACACACACACACACACACACACACACACACACACACACACACACACACACACACACACACACACACACACACACACACACACACACACACACACACACACACACACACACACACACACACACACAGAGAGAGCTGAAAGTCTCCAGCTTCCCGTCTCTTATTTTTCTCTCTCCTCTCTCTTTGAACATGTGATGTGTTGTTTTCAAGCAGAGAGCCGCTCTGATTCTGTAACAGCACGGTCTTAACTCCAGCTGGTCACAAGGTCTGTGTTTGAGTCAGCATTGACTCATTCTCTCCACTTACTGCGCAGTGCTCTGCCATCATCAAAACAAGGGATTTTGGTTTGCTCAAAATCATATAAAAAAAACAGTAAGACTTTAGCTCATCTTGTAGATGTTAGGGATGCCACAAACTGACCATGATCAAATTCGAAAATCGGACAGCCCTGGCGAATATTAATCGATTATTCGCATATATATATGTATATATATATATGTATATATGTATATATATATACATATATGTATATATATATATGTATATGTATATATGTATATATATATATATATGTGTATATATGTATATATGTATATATGTATATATATATATATATATGTGTATATATGTATATATGTATATATGTGTATATATGTATATATGTATATATGTGTATATATGTATATATGTATATATGTGTATATATGTATATATATGTATATATATGTATATATGTATATGTATATATATATGTATATATATGTATATGTATATGTATATATATATATATATATATATATATATATATGTATATATATATGTCCCTTTTTGTGAGGGCATCTAGACATTCAATAAAACGTTGTTCACAAAAAACAGACACTTGTCACATCCACAAAGACGGTTGAATCGTTGCATATCTGATCATTGTTCCGTCGGCCCATCTGCCTGCCACAATAAGCTGTCACTTCTGTCTACTTAACGGCTGGGTTTATGTGTGTTGCTTTTCCAGAGGCAGCCAGTCGAGCCATAGTCCAGTTCCTGGAGGTGAACCAGAGTGAGGAGGCGAGTCGTGGCTGGATGCTTCTGACCACCATCAACCTGCTGGCCTCCTCCGGACAGGTTGGTCAAATCACACCAAATAATCATTCACATCACCATCACATGATCTGTCCAAATCAAGTGTTCCACGTTTTTACGATATGTATGTTTGTTTGATTGATGGCACATTTTTCTGTTTGCGTTGTTGATTATTATGTTTTGTTTTTTTAAGATTCGCCTCATACATGTAAGTTTAGATGTTCAGCCCCTTTTCCTCCGGTTTAAAAAACACACTTACACACATATATTTTTGGCTTCTGTCTTAAGTGGCAAATGTTACAATCAGCATTCATTCCCAGGACATTTTTGTAGCACCTTTTCCGCATTGAGGTGAATATATCATATAAAATCAACAGGGATTTTGACAATTATTATAATTTTTAACGTACAAAACGTACAAATGATTTGCTGTCCTCAAAGACGCCATTGACAGAATAAGTCATTTTTACTTTGCTGATCATCGTAAAACATAATTAATTCAAACAACCTGGAGAAAAAAGAATCTCATCAAAACGTTCTTTGTAAGTCTTTCCTCTGTGCACACCTCAGGTATGAGTTTCAAAGAGAGACTGAAATAGTAACAGATATATAAAAAAACATCTCTACCGTTCACTAACCCTGCTTTTCGGCGCCTTTGTGACATCAAACGCGAGACACAGGGAAAACAACCGAAAGGCATACTCAGGTTCTGGCATTGTGAAAGGAGTCTGACGCATATTTTTAAAGGGCTTTCCTGCGATTTAACCACAGCATTTACATGCTAACTTTGGTGGAAAAAGGGAATTAGGTGTCAGGACACACATAAAAAATGGGTCTCTTTGACCCATTTGCATCTCCAACGCTTTGATCTTCCAGCAGAAAAAAGCATCAGCCCCAGTAAGAACAGGGAGATAATGGTTCTTGAATACAAATATAAATATACCCCAAACACAGTCTTTTTTCTTTTAAATCTGCTTTACTGCAATGAGTGAAGGAAATGAATGCTGCCTTTGTATGCCACGTTTGGAGATCAAAACAACATTTTGCTCTGTATGTCCAAATACATAATTCAGAATGAGAACACGGCAGCTTCTCAGGCTCCTGGTTTAAAGGTTAGACATAAAGGTCTTGTTTTTCTGTGCTCTATGGTCAGCAGACGTCTTTTGAACTTTTCGGGCTGCATTCCTCTGGAGGTCTTGTGGGGAGCAGTGCTGTCAGCTGGCTGGCTGCTTTCCTGCTTATCCTGCACCGTTGCACTTCAGAAATTCTCTCTAGTTGTTGATGATAACGCTTCTGCAGACATGTTTTCAACCCAATTAAATCCACTTGTTATTTCCTATTTCTGTACACAAACTCCATTGTAGAAGTATTCGACTCAATCAATGCTATGTACACTTCACCTTTAAAGGTCTCCTGTTATACTCTTTTCAACAATATATTATAAGTCTCAGACATATAGAAAAACATGTCTCTGAAGTGTTTGGCTCAAAATACCAAACGGATTGTGCATTGTAGCATCTCATAAACCCCTCTGTTTCAGCCCTGTTTCAAAAGTGCTGATTCTCTGCCTGTAGCTTTAAATGCTAATGAGCTGCTGCTGCTGGCCACGCCCCTGTGTGGATATATTTGGTTAAAAAAACACAATGGTGCTCTAGGAGGAGATTCAGGTGATGAGGTGGGCGGGTGTTATCTTGATGGGTTATTGGCTAATGGCTGCCCAACCCACGAAACTGTTGTGACATCACAACGTGGCCAAAATCTGATCAGCTCCTTTCAGACAGGTTTTTAATTAGATTAATCAGGTGGAAAAAAATAACAAATATCTTTTCCTGACACTTTGCCAATCTTTTAACACACTGGGGACACATTTATGTAGAAAAGACACAAAAAAAGGCATTTGGCATAATAGGAGACCTTTTAAGAGTACATTTGCAGATACAAAATAACTTGGTATCTTGAGAGAATGGTGAGCTGTAGAACCGTTTGAGTGATACTAGTTTATTTCTGCTGCATTTGTTTTATTAACTGTGTTCTCTGCAGTATTAATGCAGTTAAGTTGAAGGATACATTCCTCAAGGGTGGACATAAAGTACCACTGCTTACTGTTTTTGCCCCAATTAAAAAAAAAAAATACAACTGTGCAGAAAGCAAACCCCTTTGCTGTCAGGGAATAAAACCAAGGTTTCTTTGTACACGTTTTATTTAGCTTTAACTCACACTAAGGCCTTCCAGGTGCCCCACAGCAAACAATTCAGGGTTTAAACCACTTACATGTCACTGAAATTGAGTTTATTTGCAGTTGGAGCCCAGTTCAGCCTTATAGTACAGTCAGCAAGATCTTTTTATTCTTGTAGGACCAGAGAAGTGTTTACTGGGGCTCTTGAGAGTGCCTATGTTTAAGCAGCCTTGATGGTACTTTAAAAGGAGGCCCTTGTCAAAACAAACATTTTATACACATAAATACAAAGCTACTAATTCATTTTCAAAGCCAAGTACTTTAGTGCTTGAACCGGGGAGTCTCAGATGGTTACATCCTCTTTTGTGCCATCTCGGCTGCTGCTGCCATATATCACAGTCGATATAAGAGTGGGTTAGGGTTCAGTTGTAGCTGCCTTCAAATCGTAGATGGACAACTTGCTGTGTGCAAAGCTTTTTTTCAGCAAGAGATGGCAAAGATAACATTTATAAAACAGCAAATATTAACAGGAAATTAGCTGGCATTTGTACACTTCAATTTCCTCGTCTGAAGTCTATTACTTTTTTTGTGGCTTTTTAGTTTCTTTGCTGCCTCAATTAATGTTGGTGGTAAACCCTAGAGTAAGAGATGTTATTGTTAAGTTCAGCAAGATCTGTAAATACAGATGTAGTTAGTCCACTTGTGTTTTTTTTACCAACTTCTATGCGTCTTAAAGTTGGTTTTCTAACAATTGGCTAGATGAGATGAAGAGGTTTTCCCGCAGCACTTAACCGTACACGGAAATGTCTTTTTAAGGCCAACCACAGCCAAAATGTACCAGCTTTTTTACCAGTCGTGTTTCTGGAAAACTCCCAACCAGCTTCTATGTTGTGATGTCATTATAATGCTGCACTACTGTTTAATATATCACTACACACAAAGTGACATGTGTGTTTTAAGTGATTTGTATCCCTTTCCTCTTGTGTCTCAGACAGTAAAACAAAGAACTCTCCTCGCAGCTGGTGTCCCATAAACCTGACGTCACCCCCCCTCTCTTTAATGCTGTCCTTCTCTATCTCTTACTTCCTGCCCCCCGCCACCACCCACCCCCTTTCAGATGATAAAACAGCAATACTTCTGTTTGTTGCTGACTGCCTCTCTCTACCTCTGCGCTGTCTTCTTCTTTTATCGGATGCCCTTCACGCTCTGCATTGCCACTGTGCTTGTCTCTCTCTTTGAAACAGACAAAAATGTGCTTCTTGACATGCTTCCTCTTTTTTTTCCTCCTTGTATCCGTCTCTTTTTCGTTTATCTCGGTCTTTCCTCTTCCCTTTTCTCTCTGTTTTACACACACAATAAAATGTCTTCAAGTTTACCCCTCTGATTGACTGCTCCCAGTAACCTTGACCTTAAAGCTGCAGCAGGGCCAATCTGTCTCTTACAGCCTGTAGACATACACACACACACACACACACACACACACACACATACACATACACATACACATACACACACACACACACACACACACACCTCCCTTGCCGAGTGTACCACAGGTGCGCCTTCCATTATTCGGACTCACTATTAACTAAAGACTCTTCTCCTCTGAACAACAGCTTCTTCTGTCAACGTCTTGCTCCTTCTTTCTCTCCCTCCCCCACTCCATCGATCAGCTGAGGACTGTGTGTGTGTGTGTGTGTGTGTGTTGTGTGTGCGCATCTGTGTTTGTGTGCCCGCTGTGCTCTGTTATCCCTCCCGAGTCCACCTTCTCTCTGTGGAGGCAGACAGAGCTGAACTAAAAGGGAGGGTCATGTCAACCAGCCACAGTGTGTGTGTGTGGGGGGGGTGAGAGGAAAAAAGGAACAAGATCATTTGTCAGTGTGAGCTATTTTTCTCAGAGTGTGTGTGCGTGTGCGTGTGCGTGTAGGAGGCAGCGTTTGATTATCTGAATCATACGCATCAGTGAGCACAAACCCCATCTCTTTCTCAAGCCATTTTTCCCTGCCATGAACACACACACATACACATACACATACACACACAGCTACTTCTTTGTTTTTTTCCCTCACAGAAACACAACCATGAATCATAACCCAAAATTAAAATAGCTTACCCGTTTTTACAAAAATCAAACACCTCGCCATCTTTTTGAGTAGTTCTTCTGCAGTAAAAAAAAACGTTGGATTTGAAACGTAAGGCTGTATTGTTTTTTATATATTTTTGCTACATTTTATTGATTTATTATTATTTATTTCGTTTTTTATTATTTATATTTAAATGATCTATTTATATTTTTGTTTGTTTTTGAAGAAATACAAATGATGTAACATGTTGAACATAGGTTAATCAAACCCTCACTGACTCCCAACCCAAAGTACTCTTATGTCTTACTGACGTCTTCTCCAAAATTAATTTCTTATTCATAATTCTCAACCGTTTGTTTGTCTCCCTTCGCCCTTTCTTCTCTCCTCCCCAACAGAAAACAGTGGACTGCATGACCACCATGTCTGTACCCTCCACGCTGGTCAAATGCCTCTACCTGTTCTTCGACCTGCCTCACATGGTGGAGGCCCCAGTAGCACCACCACCACCACCACCACCACCACCACCACCCCCAGGCCAGGAGAAGACCCCCGGCCAGGGCCACACCCAGCAGGAGCTTCCCCTGGCTGACCGCAGGGTGCTGCTGCAGAAAGTCTTTGTCCAGGTAAGACAAACAGCTTACTCTATAAATGGTGTATTCCAAACCATAACTAGCTAAATATCAATTTCTACTCTTCCTCTCCTACCAAGCTACCAATACACTATTTATAAGGCTACTATTTATATGTGGTTTCACAGGTCAAAAAGTCCTACATTCAATTGTCCAAATTCCTAGCCTAAAAAAAGGTATTTAAGGTTTTGAAATGTTTGCTCTAATATAGTTTTAACTGCAAAATAAGAAAGTGGTAATTAAATTTCCTTACAGGAGTTTTCCTCCCCGTACAGAATCAAAACAAAATGTTTACCAACCCTTGTCTTAGTCTATCCCTTATGTATTCATTGCTGTTATAAATGGTGATACATTAAAGGTGGGGTAGGTAAGTTTGAGAAACCGGCTCGAGATACACTTTTTGTTATATTCCATGGAATGCTCTTAACATCCCGATAGCAATGAATATCTTAAGTGCTTTGACAAAAAATCCATAAAAACATGTCATCTGTGGAAGCCGTAGCGCTGTAAAAAGCACGACCAATTATCTGAGCCGGCCCGGCTAAAATAACTGGATGGCCTACCTGCCTGTCAGCCTTCCATCTGTGCACAAACTTATCTCGTGCCCTCATTGGTCATGTGCGCGTTCGTGTGTGTTGGAGGAGGGGCTCTATAAGGAAGTGGCAGATTTTCTCCGGTTGTGTATTTTTAAATTCTAGCGATCTCGAGCCGGTTTCTCCGAAATTACCTACCCCACCTTTAATGTTGTATTGGTTACATTTCACTAAATTCATGTAATTCTTGTTTTCATTCATGCTAATTTTCATGTCGTTTTTAAAACTTCTTAAAAAGACTCAAATGTAAGTTGTGGAAACCCATAAAACCCCTGTACATGAGTAATTTTATCGATTTACAAATGTCATGGAAAAAAATATGGTTCTTTTAATCTGCTAGTTTGGAAAGACCAAAATGAAACAAATTACTGTCGAGAAATATAGAAGGGCTTTAAATCCGATACCTTCACCTCGAGTCAAATTTCGTGCCCTCTCTTTCCGACTCTTGCAGATCCTGGTGAAGCTGTGCACCTTTGTGTCTCCGGCGGAGGAACTGGCCCAAAAGGACGACCTTCAGCTGCTGTTCAGTGCCATCACCTCCTGGTGCCCCCCCCACAACCTTCCCTGGAGGAGGAGTGCAGGGGAGGTGCTCACCACTATCTCCCGACACGGCCTGAGCGTCAACGTGGTCAAATACATACATGGTAAATACAAACGTTAAGCACGCGTTGGACATCTGTACGTATGTAGGGGATTGGTTATACAGACTGAGAATCAACATGCATCACACATTATGTTGTTGTTTTACATAAAACACTGACGTGAGAGCTGTCTTATTGATATTTGAAGGCTCCATTGTGTTTATTTGCATTGCATTTCATATTGAGGTAATCTAAAAGTAACAAAGTCATCAGGTTACATTTCGTAGATACTTAGATCAGGTTGCCGATTACATTTACGGTTAATTAGTAATTGTAACAAAATACTTTATTAAAGCAACCCTCCAACCCCTGGTCATCTCCATATTTTCTGTCACACGTCAAATTCCCCCTTGTGCTCTGCGTCCACAGAGAAGGAATGCCTGGGCACATGTGTGCAGAACATGCAGCAGTCGGAAGATCTGTCGCCGCTGGAGATTGTGGAGATGTTCGCCATGCTCTCCTGCTTCCTCAAGGACTCCAGCGACGTGTCCCAGACCCTGCTCGACGACTTCAGGATGTGCCAGGGTTACGCCTTCCTCTGCGATCTCATGCTCAGGTACAACTTCAGCCAATCTGGGAGTGGGACCCCTAAATAAAACACACCTGATTGCTATCCTCGCTCCAAAATGGTGGAACGAGCTCCCCCTTGATATCAGGAATGCTGAAAGTCTACACGTTGTCATTGCGACTTAAAATCAGCTGGTGTCTAGAGAAATGATCGTCAAATAATTCAAAGAAACACAATATTTGTATCCTCCCAAGATCCTTTTTATACTTGAAGGTTTGGTTTCCTCCTGGAGAGGGTTAGGGTTACATCAAAGAAAAACACTTGCATCAAGGCCAGGTGCAATTTGTTTATCGTCCCTCTCTCTTTCTGCGATTAGAAAACACATCATCCTATTCACCAAAACATTAGTTTTTTCAAAGAATACTTCACTCTGAGTGTAACATTAAAGCATCTGTTATCTCAAAAGTTCTCAAAAACTCTTCGATTTTTTTTTTGTTAAAAGTTACATTTCGTTTCATTTTGATTACACTTTAAGAAAGCTCTAATACCAGAATTTCCATTACCACATCCTCCATCCCAGAATGAAAAACCCACCTGTTTCCACTGCATGCTGGCTATTAAACCCAACACAAGAAAAGTTGTATTTCTTAAAAGATTTATTGAAATGAAATGCACCATCACTTAAAATGGTTTGGCTTATTTGAAGCAAATACACTTGCAGGTTTCTTGCTGCTAAATGAAATGTAATAAGGTACACATTAAGAGCATCCTTGAGTGTGTTGTACGCACATTTATATAAAACTATATGTCTCTTATCCAGACTGGAACAGGCCAAAGAGGACGAGTCGAAAGATGCCCTGAAGGATCACGTGAACCTGGTGACCCGTCTGACCACGTACGGGGTGACGGAGCTGAAGCCCGCCGGCCTGACAACAGGAGCCCCCTTCCTGCTGCCGGGCTTCGTCCTCCCGCAGCCTTCTGGGAAAGGTACATGCAAGCGTGGCTAATGACATATTTAATGAATCTGCTGCTTTTGTTATTTCTTCGTAACTTGCAAAACCCCTAGAGTTAAAGCAACATTTTGTAACACACACAATGTCAGTGTTGGAAAAGTACTCAGGTCCTTTTCTTGAGTATAAGTTAAATTATTGTGGTCTTAAAATGCCCCATTACAAGTTAAAATCCTGAGTTGGAAATGTTTCCCAAATAGAAATACAGAGCTATTATCAGTAAAATGTACTCTGAGTATCAAAAGTAAAAGGAATCACTATTCAGAATGGCTCTTTTTTACATTGATATAGAATTTTATGATTCAGTTTTTAACAGTAGCAAATACATTTTAATGTCAACGTTGTAGTTCATCAATATGGAGCCAATTTGAGAGACTTTTTAAAAATACTGTGGTTATTAAACATGTCATCAGATCCTGGGTTTTTATATGTACAAAGTAGCTAGTAACTATGTGTGTTTAATAACTAGTATATGTTACATTAAATGGTAATACTCGAGTAAAGTATGTAAAAATAGTGAAAAGAGGTAAAAAAGTAAAATACTTAAAATAATGCATTTTGTTACATTCCGCCACTGATTTTAGTAAAAACTGAATTTTAATTTAGCTGGAAAAAAAAGTCTCCCTGTTTTTCCTCAAGTCCTCCTGCTGCTCTGCCTCGACTCTCCGTGATTTTTGTTTGAAACTATATCCACATATCTATAGCTTTTGTCCTTTTGTATTGAAATTCTAGGAATTCAAAAAGCAAAAAACACTCATTGCAAACAATTGAGCTGCTTCTTTCTTCCAAAATGATGATCTATTATCACCCTCCAAAGTAGGATTTCAGGGAGTTAACATGTTCTCTCCCTTCCCCGTCCAGGATGCAACCCGGTGGCTTTCTGATCACAGGGCTCGCCTCTTAAACCCTCACAATAACTCTGTTTGCTCAAAGCCCAGAAACAAGAAGAATTACTTTTGTGAAAAGCCCCCCTGTATACCCCAGCCACCATATCTCCCCCTTCAGATCTTAATCCCTAAATGACTTTGATGCTTGGCTGATTTCAATAAGCCTAACCTGTTGACGGACACCATGGCAACCATTCCGCCTGTCAGTCTGCTGGAGATGAATGCCTGAAGCCTCCCCTGCATACAAATGGCCTCTCTGGAGTCCAGAGATGCTTTGGTGGTTTAGAAAATCAACCCGAGCCAAATGTTTGCTGCCCCAGAACCTGTCCCCCTTGACCTTCAGTCTGTTTTGTTGAACTTTTTTTTTGTACAATATGTTAAAAATGTAATATGGCATCATACAATTCTTTACAAATCACTCAATTGCACACACAGAGCTACATGTGGGTAATGAGACAAACTATAGCATGCTAAATGTTCAACTGCAAACAGAACTAATGGGGTGTCTATATAAAATAAAAGCTACATAAAAGCAAAGTTAGAACACTAGTCTGCTTTCTCTCTCAGAGATGATTTCACACTTCTCTTTGAAACAGCAGGACAGTGTGCTTTTTAGTCGCTCATGTTGGCCACAAGGTGATTAGTAATACTGTATGCACAACTCCTAACACATTACAGACAGCAACTTTATGCACTACTATTTCTTAAAAGTTCCCCTGAAATGTTAGATTTTTTGGCCGCCTGCTCCACCAACTGTGCTTTTATATATTGAATATGTACAAATATTCCGTTTTTAAAGACGTTACTCCCACTCCGTTTACAAAATCTTGGCTTCTAGTTCATTTGGAAAAATGTGTTAAACAATTTCTATTTGGGTTAATAGTCATATAATTATTATAATTATTTGGAGCTATTCATACTACAGGGATCCATTTTAAATCTTATTTGTGTATTAGAAGTACTTATGCTGCTTTGTGAAAGAATATTTGTAAAATGGTTAGAATTCAAATTAACTATAAAAATAAAACAGATTAATAATGAAAATAATCGCCCTAATGCGGTTGTTGTTGTTGTTTTGTTATCATGTTAATTAATTTACTTTGACTTCATTTTACCTGGAAGTGTTTTCATAATATACTATACTATAATATGGTAGCTAAGATAAAGTCAAAGATAAAACCCAAATGAATACTATATTTTCTCCCCTGGACTGACCATTTTTCCATTAATGATCTCTTCCAATGTAAGCGACACATGTAATATGTTACAACCCTTCATTTTTCATTTGCGTGGTTATGTTACATTGTGAGCTGTTGTTGATCTTTCAGACTTTATTTTAGGAGAGTAGCCCACAAAATGAAATGTGACAGATTCTAACAGTAGGATCTGCGCAGTGTTTGAACTCGTCCTGTCCCCTCTGCCCCACCTCTGATCAAACACCGTTGCCAGCTCCCTGTTGAAAACACACAAAAACGATCTGCTTTATAACCCCTGCCGCCTCTTTTATCCCACACACATAAACACACTTGTGTGTTGTTTACCCATGTAATGACAGCTCCAGCTGTGTGCAAAGTCATTACCAGAAGCCATCATGGTGCTAGGGGCCGCTTACACGCTTAATTAGATCGCCACGTTCACTTATCGGCCCTGTGTGTGTTTAGGTGTGTGGGGTGAAACACTTCTGTGGCACTTTTATGTGTTCCTACGTGTGTGAGTCATTGCTCTGGGTTTTTGTCAGGTACTCCAAAATGGAAGTCAGATTATGTGTGTAGCATAGCTGATGCATATCATCCGTCTTTCATGCTTTTGCACTTTATCATGTCTTTGTCTTTCCATTATCCTTTAAGTACATCCATCCACCTTAAACATTTTAAAGGGGCACTATTATGCTCATTTCAGGTTCGTATAGGTATTTGTATTTTCTGTGACATGTTTCCATGCCATGTTCAAAAAGGTCTTTATCTTGGTAAACAGTGGCTCTGTTGTGGTTGGTCATCTGCTTGAAGATGTCCCGCCCCTTAGCCTATAACGTACAATGTGCTGGTGCTCTAGCCAGTAGAAGCGCAAATGTTCCATACTGATGTCATTATGTACGAGGCGTTTCAGGCAGTGGTTTGGAGAGAAACTCCCTCTGGAGAGAACTTTGGGATTTTAGCCTTTGCGGACCATTCACATGCACACAATCCTATATAACACAGTACAGGAAAAGGAAACCCAAAAAAGCACATGGGACTTTTTTTCTTTCATTTCTTAAAAAGTTGACAATTCAAACAATGCTTTTCAATAGGAAATACGGTAGGTTTAACAAAAATAGGGATAGTTGTTGAAGAAACAGTATTTTAAATTAAACCAGTCTTATGGAATGATACCCTCAGGTGTCAAAAAGCAGTCTGAAATACAAATGTCAGAATAACGTCAACATCTTTTACGAGAAAAAGATCTATCTTTGCTTTTGGAGTCATATTAAGAGCTTAAAAAAAGCTTATTTATGTATACTGTATTTGTATCATTTGGCATTGAATGTTTCCATACAAAAATACCTTTATAAAACCATCAATGGAACACATTAGTCATCCAAGACCATGATTTATTCTGCTTTTGCACTGCAAAGGAGCCCGGCTAGCGTGCCTTTATTGGCTAGTCAATTAGAGATTTGCTTTTTGTGCATCCAACTATTTGTTAAAAGGATAACAATAATAATCAAATTCATCCCAAAACCCCTTTATAGTTTGACAGCTGTGCTTTACTTTCTCCTGGCATACTGATGCTGCCCATTACTGCAAATTACAGCAATTCTTGTTTGTTTGTTTTTCAGATTAGTTAGATATCAGATAAGTCTGTAACTGGGATTTTGGTTTCATACTGCTTTTAATATAGAAAAACTGTGAAAGTATGCATCGATTTTGTGTGCTTTTGGTTTAAGTCATTAGAGAAATATAAATATCATCAGCTTCCATCAGTCCACTCCATACACTTATTTACAAACCGCCTTTTTGTTATTGTTAATGTTTGGTCTCTTTTTGTATCTTGGTATAAGTTGACACTAAAACGATCCGCTGCATTCATTCAGTGTTCCATCACTGGATCTGCTTGTGCTTTGCTGAAGCTGTTTGTTTGACTTTTTGTGGTTATGTCCACTTGTTATGTAATTACTTAAATGTGTCGTACAAGTAAACTTTAATTTCAGCTCAGATTTGACGACTTTTACCAAAACACGCCTTGCTTATAGTATTGCGAAATATTTAGTCGTAACCCCTGTATGAACTTTCAAATCAATCAAATGGCTAACTTAAATGAATGTACAGTTTAACTGTACCATGTTTGCGGATTCCTGAATTTTCTCTTTCCAAAAATATTGTATTTCTAAATTAATTGAATAAATGTTTACAAATGTTTGTATTTGCAGCTCACATAGTTGGTACCTTAACTGGGACTATTACAAATATAATGAATCAAACTTTGTCCTTCATATTTGTTTTGTCATAACTGCAAACACTAACCTTTTTCTTTTTTCTTTTCTCTTCCAGGCCACACAGTGCGTAACATCCAGGCTTTTTCGGTTCTTCAGAACGCCTTCCTGAAGGCTAAAACGAGCCGCCTAGCCTGTATGCTGCTGGACGCCATCGGGAACATCTACTCAGGCGAGTCGGCCAACTACTTCATCCTGGAGTCGCAGCACACCCTGTCGCAGTTTGCAGACCGTGTGGCCAAGCTCCCGGAGGCCCAGGCCAAGTACTTTGAGCTGCTGGAGTTCGTGGTGTTCAGCCTGAACTACGTGCCGTGCAAAGAGCTGTTCAGCGTCAGCGTGCTGCTGAAGTCCAGCACGTCACACGCCTGCAGCATCACGGCAGTGAGAACGCTGCTGAAGCTGTCCCGGCACGACCCCGTGTTCAGCGACGTGCTGCGGGAGGTCGGCCTGCTGGAGGTGCTGGTCAACCTGCTGCACAAGTACGCTGCCTTGCTCAAAGACCCGGCCACGCAGCAGCCACACAACAATGACCAAGGTGAGGGGTTTTTCCTTTCTTCTGCTATTGTGATAAATTACAATAAGCAAAGTGGACCGTAACTGGGTTGCAGCATTTATTACTCTTCCTTAATTTTATTTTATCTTCAATTGGGCTATAGGGTCGTGCAGTAATGACGTATTTTTCCAACCCGGAAGTTAGCATCACAAGGGTTTCCCCTACAAAAGCCAATGGGATACCCCCTTTTATGTTTTTTAAGGCGTAAATGCAATCACCAAGCTAACGTGAGGCTATAAATGAACTACATCACAGGGACATGACTTCCTGTCCCCACTGTTTTCGGTGTGGAGACATTTGGTAGTTATATTTAGCCTCTTATTAGCAGCCAACACTTTAATGACAGATGGAAGCTTCAAATATTCCTCTGTGGGGTATTAACTGACATATTTTAGGTTGTAGAAAAAACTTGAAAATGTCTTCAGGTTGTGTTAAAGGTGGGGTGGGTAAGTTTGAGAAACCGGCTCGAGATACACTTTTTGTTATATTCCATGGAATGCTCTTAACATCCCGATAGCAATGAATATCTTAAGTGCTTTGTCAAAAAATCCATAAAAAAATGTCATCTGTGGAAGCCGTAATACTGTAAAAAGCACGACCAATCATTTTAGCCGGCTCGACTAAAATAACTGGATGGCCTACCTGCCTGTCAGCCTTCCATCTGTGCACAAACTTATCTCGTGCCCTCATTGGTCATGTGCGCGTTCGTGTGTGTTGGAGGAGGGGCTTTGTGAGGAAGTGGCAGATTTTCTCCGGTTGTGTATTTTCAAATTCTAGCGCACTCAAGCTGGTTTCTCCGAAATTACCTACCCCACCTTTAACCACAGCAATTTTTTAGGCCGCTAAACAAAAAGACTAAAAAAAAAGACCAAAAATTGATTTGGAGACGAAGGAACCAGAAGTGGTAAAATGCTTACTCGTTTCCATTTGATAGGACTCATTCCTGCACCACTCTTTGAACTAATTAGATCATGACAAAAGACCAGATACAAATTGGGATAATAGAAATTAAAATCCAAGATTTAAATAAAAAAAAGATGAACTAGAGGCTTTACGTGAAATGCTTTGAACTTAATCAACATCAGATTAAAAACCTTTTATGTCTTAAATAAAACATTTCTTCAAATACACTTCTCACATTATTTTTTCTTTATTCCATTATTGCTGTAGGGTAAAGCACATTTAATTATATTTTTCAATCTACGTGTGCATTTGATGCTGTGATAATGTGGTCTCATGCTCTCCTCTCTCTTCAGCTGACTGTAAGAACAACGCGGTGGCAGAGGAGCAGAAGCAGCTGGCCTGGCTGGTGATGGAGACACTGACTGTGCTCCTGCAGGGCTCCAACACCACCAACACTAATGCAGGTAAACACACACACACACACACACACACACACACACACACACACACACACACACAGGCACACACACACACACACAGGCACCTGCTCAATATGCCATACACATATATTTAATTGGGTTTTAAATCCAGGCAGAAGATATCTTTTAATTATGAACATTTAATTAATTGTAACAAACTGTATTGGATGGAAACTGACCTCACTTAGATAAGTCACAGTAACAGTACACATATAAATGGAACACAGACAATAACAATATTTAAATTTGATATTCTTTGGATTGCTTGTTTTCTTCTTTTTTTTATAACCGTAAGCGTAAAAAAGCGTAAATGATACAAAGAAATTAAGGAAAATAAATAATGCAACGTCGCAGGCCTATTAAGATTTTTGGGGTTTTCGCATTCCTCTACTGTGTTTTATGGGTTTTTGTGCATGTAAATGGTCTGCAAACGCTAAAATCCCAAAGTTCCCTCCAGAGGGAGTTTCTCTCCCACAGCCCAAACCCCAACTAAAAACCTTCGATTGGTCTCCTTTGTTTAGTTACAGAGCAGACTGGGCTCTGGTTTCAGACAGAGGGTGAAAAGAGGTGCTGCAGCACAGGCAGTATGAGAAAAATAAAGAGCTTTTTGGAACATTACAGCATGTAAACATGTCCTAGCAGAGTTACAAAATACAAATATGAACCTGATTATGAGCATAAAAGGGCCACTTCGGAACTACAGTAGATTACAAGGCATTTGGACCAAACGCATACAGAATGATCTCTCTTTTAAAGCTACATAGCATGCAACTTGTATCATAAGTTACAGATGCCATTCGAATTTTTGATAGCACACAAATTGACTTTAATTTGCGTTAAATTAACCTTGATATCTTATGAAGGAAAATGATTTAATTCAGGCCAAAGAAAGCCACTTACATCTGCATGTGTCCCCCTGGCTGAAGTGTCCTTGAACAAGACACCTCCCCCACCTCTTCACGGAGCCTTTACCTCTGACCTCTCTGTTGAGATGGAGAGGAAGGAACATTTTCTTCCAGGGATCAATAAAGCACTGTATTACATTTCCCTAAACCTCGCTCTCCTCCCACATCGTTCAGTCTCTTATTGACCCTCCATGTTTGCGAGTGTGTGTCTGTGTGTGTGTGTGCCTCAGTCAGCTGTAGAAATGCGATGAGTCACAAAGATAACACACCGACAGCTCAGAGCTACGTTCGACCTTGATGACTGGTTGCTTTCGTCAGAAGAACCGGATGATGCCTGTGATGTTCTGAAGCCCTGTGTGACACACTGGTTAAATTAAATGTTATGCACAAGGCAGTCGCATCTAGAGAGGCCATTAGTGCAAAAGAAGTGGAAAGAAGTCAAGTGCGTCAAACTAATTCAGTGTAAGAGCCACGTCAATGAATAGATTTAAATATTTAAATAAATACATATTTCAATTTGTGTTTTCTTTCCCGATAAGATCAACAACATCATGAGCAACCCATTTTTTCATTATTACAACATTGTCAATTGCCTCTACCACATCCTCATGTTGAGTCATAATGACAAAGTTCTCCTTTTTAAATGACAAAAATAACTCTCATGAAAAGCAGAGATCAGATGATTATCTCACCAATCCTCTCCAAAACTACAAGGGGACAAATTATGCAAATGTTCAGGTTCATATTTGTAATTAATGCCTTGACTGTGACATTTTTACACGTTTCATGTTAAAAAAAGCTCTTTATTTTTCTCATACTGCCTGTGCTGCAGCACCTCTTTTCACCCTCTGTCTGAAACCAGAGCCCAGTCTGCTCTGATTGGTTAGCTGCCAGCTCGATTGTGATTGGTCAACGCTTAGAGATTTCCCGCCCCTATGCCTATCCCGCATGTGTTGGTGCGCTAGCTTTTTTGAAAATAATAAATAAATCATAATACTGTTTATTTTTGAAGAAGGCTGCCTGTGTATTTTACACTTAATTGAAAGCTTTATTGGTCTGTAGATTTAAATCAATAATAGGAGTGTATTTATGTTTCATATGGTTGTAATACGGGTGTTAAAACAGAGTAACAGCTTAATTATCGGGCTAACATGGTTAAATTGGGTTGTAATCATGGTGTCAGATGGGTGTAATTAATACCCAAGTAATATGGGCATAATAGTGGTGTAATATGAATGTAATAACAGTATAATAATGGTTTATTGTAAAAAATAGGAATCGATACATTTTCACATTGGACATAGATTTTTTTCTCAGTATGTGTATTATAATCTGACCTGGTGTGATTGTGTCCACTTAGAAACATAACGATGTGCAAAGACTTCATTTCTTCTCTGTCTTCCAGCTCTGTTCAGGGAGTTTGGCGGCGCTCGTTGCGTTCACAACATCGTGAAGTACCGGCAGTGTCGGGAACACGCCCTGCTCATCATCCAGCAGCTCGTCCTGTCGCCCAGCGGAGACGACGACATGGGGACACTGCTCGGCCTCATGCACTCTGCCCCGTCCAGCGAACTGCAGCTCAAGACCGACATACTGCGGGTAAAGACGCAGACGGACACACAAACTGCCTCTGTCTTCCACACTTTTTACTTCATTATTACATTTAATCATGTTGTGTTACTGACAGTTTTAGTTATGTTTCAATCAGGGCAATATGGTGAAAATATCCAAATATATCCAAATAAGCATAGTATTATGTAAAGGTAAGTATATAAAAACAGGATTCTACAGACAAAAAAATCCTTGTTTCGTACCGCTCTCTAAAAAAATGACACCATGATCATATATATCTTTTAATAATAATATGAATAATGTTTCACAATGATCATTTTCTCTAGTATCCCAAATCCTATCATACTTGCAACAATTATTATTTCCAAATCGTGCAGCCCTATTTTTAATGTGTCTCTGTCCCACAGTATTGTACTTTTTTATTTTTTATGAAAATATAAAAGTATTTTGATTTTATTAATTTATATGATATGATCATTTTTTTCATTTTTTTTATATATTTTCTTTTTACTACAAATACTTCAGTCTCAGTGACAACATTGGGAAAAGGGAAATGTCTGTAATTTCCAAGATCAATATGCATTTGGAGCCCTGCATACAGTAATGGCTTCAATCCAATCTCAGTGTATGGTGCACGTAAAAGCATACATACACACATTCAGTCAGGATGGCGGCTCATTTTCTGGACCATAATTTCATTTTCAAATTCCACTCCCTCAGATGAGGTGATCTCACGCCTTCTTAAGGCTTCGGCCGGATTAACCTGTCAGCATTTTGCTCCCATTTTAATGATCACCCTTTAAATAAAGACGGCCAAGAATTGATTTAAAATCCAGTTTGGATTTACAGTAGAATAATCTCTTTCCTCGCTTGTCATCATGGTGTATGTTCTTCAGTAACACTGCAGACTTGGATCCCCAAATTAAGCTTATTAACCTTGTAAAAGTGCACATTTAACACTATAATCTCTAAGAAGGGTTATGTTACACCCTCATGTGTTGCTTCTAATCCTTAAAGCCTCTACATGGCTGGTTAAATGAAAACCCAAAATCCGGAATTATTACCAACAGAAAGGAGAACAGGAAGAGGATGTGTTCAACATCCTGTGATTGGTTTAAAAAAAAAAAGACATGTGCTGATCCTGGCAGTATTTGAATGCAGCAGGAAACAGCTGCATCAGCAGTGCATCACATCACTGTTTTTACTTCTCTTTTATTTTTTCTTTCTCAACTGGGATGTGTCATTTTATCTGAAACTTTACTAATAATTTAGTATGGACAATTTCATGGTATAAATAGGTATACATTCACATATCGACAAGAGATGGCCAATTATATGGATAGATAGTTCATTTCCTGTAGTGTGTTGTATAGGTTTTTGTGGACTCCTTTGTTTACTTCCAGTGACATAGTGACCTCACTATGTAACGCTCCCCCTTCTATTGGCTCCAAACATTGTACGTGATATGGGACATTTCTGATCTCTAAGCGGTTGACCAATCACAACAGAGCCAGCCAGCTAACCAATCAGAGCAGACTGATCTCTGGTCTCAGACAGAGGGTGAAAAGAGGTGCTGCAGCACAGGCAGAATACGAGAGATGAAGCAGTTTTTTAACATTAAAGCATGGAAACATGTAACAGTAGAGACACAAAACACAATGATGGACCTGAGAATGAGTATAATAGGGTCACTGTAAATATATTGAACATCCTCAGCCCCAATAGAGAGCTAAGGAGATAATGCAGCATGACTTCCAAAATGTTTAAAAGTAGCACTCACAGAAGCGCTAACACTCCTGTGGTGTTTATTAATCCAGCCAGAGGGCCTGTTTAAAATCTGGCTTTCTGTAACCATTCCTATACCCAGCTAATGAGGCAGTAACATCACCAAAGTTACCCTAGTGAGAACATTTTGGAATGTACCACCATTTTGTCATATTCTTAACTGAAGATTTACATCCCACACACTCTGTCTGTCACCGTCATTCTATTCTCTCAGGCTGTTTTGAGGTACCCAAACTCAAATCTAGGTTACAGAGTGATGTTTCAGTTGAGGTTAATGCGAACCATAAACCTTTGAAGAAATTTAGAAATAAAACCCCATTGAGTGCAGTGAGACAAAGAAACCCCCAAAGGGTCTCGTTGCAGAAGTTGATGAACAGAGATATGACTGAACGAGGCGACAAACCGAGATTACATGAAAAGCATAGAGTGAACAATTGGGTATCACATTTAGAATAAGGTACATTCCCTGTCAGTCACTTCTGTGTTTTCTGTATAAACACATAACTGTGAGGCTAAAGAATTTGAGCTGATGAGATATTGGATGAATAACTAACCTTGTGTTATCTTCTTCAGGCTTTGTTGGCGGTGTTGCGGGAGAGCCACCGCACCCGGACGGTGTTCCGGAAGGTGGGTGGTTTCGTGTACGTCACCTCTCTGCTGGTGGCGATGGAGCGCTCCCTGTGCCAGCCGCCGCGGCACGGCTGGGAGCGCGTAAACCAGAACCAGGTCTTCGAGCTGCTGCACACCGTGGTCAGCACGCTAACCGCCGCCATGCGCTACGAGCCCGCAAACTCACACTTCTTCCGCACGGAGATCCAGTACGAGAAGCTGGCCGATGCTGTGAGGTAAGACTCTCCGCCCAGAACTAGAAACACTGATCATATTTGTTCCTGAAATGATTGTGTGTTATCAAGCAGTTCTATTGTCTAAGGTGGAATTTTACAGGGACTAAGCCATATACTGTCATTAATATCTTTTTCTGTAATATTTTATAAACAATAACAAATGCACAGAAAAATACTTTTGCTCATGACATTTTCGAAACACTTTTACTTTGTAGATTTTATTTAAACATTCTTTTATAACCCAGTTTAGCCTTTTTCTAGAGATATATTTGAAAGGGAAGGGGAATAACACTTTGAACCAGAACTGTACAAATAATTTGAGTTGCTTGGCATTGAAAGGGCAATTCATTTATGATGAAAAAGAAAATGACACAACTTGTGGCGGCTATATTCCTATTGAATACGGCCGCTCTGAGGCTAAACTTCGCTCATTGCTGTGACGCGTATAAATAATAAAGTCTGTACTGTTCTTGACGTTTTAAGGATATTTATTATTGTAACTCAAAACAATAAACAAACAGAACAAACGGTCAACAAAAGATATCAGAGCTAAGCTCACCCCCATTGTCATGCTACCCAAACCTCCACATACACCAGGTGACCATTAACCACACCCATGTGACAATCACCGGAAACAACCCATTACAAGTGTGTGTGGTGTTAACAAATAATGGAGATAATATAACTATAAACACAGGCTACCACAGCATTTTGGCTCCTACACAAATACATCATCACTACACCACTCTATTCAGTAGTTTTACTCTAGAATGCCTTCTAATAGTGTAGCGGAAGGACCCTCCGAAACGAAGGTAGTGTTCCCTACCATATTAAGTGTTTATCCGATTGCAGGAAAAGTCACATCAGTCCAATGAAAGTCCGAATTTAAGTAGCGTTTAACGTTTTTTTTGTCTCTTTGCCACCAGGCTGCTGGGCTGCTTCTCGGACACTAAGAAGCTGGGTCCCACAGCCGTGTTCCCCTCCAACGCTCAGCCTTTCCAGAGGCTGCTGGAGGACGAGGCGGCGCCCGGAGGCTGCGCGGGGGACAACGTCTGTCCCACGCTCAAACACTGCAGCAAGCTCTTCATCTACCTGTACAAGATGGCCACCGACTCCTTCGACAGGTCAGAGGGTCAACAGATTCTAATTGTGGCTTATGTTTGTGTAGCACACAGAGTGAAATTCTGTTCTGCAAATAGGACATCACTATGTTTCTAATGTAGTGTGTAATATCCAGCAGATATCATGTGTGTTCAACAAGCCTGTCAGGGATATATATAGCACTATAAATCAGGGCGAAGGGTGAAAAGCCTGTAGTCAGGCCATTGAGCTATTGAATAAATAAGGATGAAGCATAGGTGTCAACACAAGTTATAGACTAAACGACAGCGGTTAAATAAGCTAAATGTTTTATTTTTCACTACGTAAGTGGTCGGTTACTTCATTATATATAAGAAAAGGTCTTCGTAAGGAGTTCAGCAGGTTGCAGCCACATGTTCCTCCATTTCTGATGAAGAACATCAACTTTTTCAACAATCCTGCTAACATGATTTTTCGGGTGACAAATCTTTCGCGCAGGTGAAAATATATATTTCTAATTCAGTTATAGCTCTAGATTATTTGTGAAACAAGGTCAGTTTACTGCATCTCAAATCACCATTACTCTAAGCTACAGGGAATATTATCACCAACATTTATTTAAAATATAGTACCAAACAGGAAAATCGAACAAAGATGTGAATCGTGCTCCGAGGTTCAGCTTCCAGGTCCATTTAGTATCTTTAGACCAGTCTAGTGAAGGTACCGCAGCAAGTCCACAGCTGTGTTTATCTCAGTGCGGTCACGCTTCACAGCTCACACTCCGTCTTCATCTGAGACTCACATGGCTGAACTGTGGCAGCCCAAAGACTTTAAAGTAGACACGCAACAGTTGAATGTGTCATGCAAAATAGATATTTCAATGAGACTTCCCCCGTTGATTACCTCCCCTAAGACCGACAAGTTTTCTGAAATTGCATTTTTTTTTATTGAAGGATTGTTATGCTTTTAGGGGTTTTCCCTTTCCGGTAGTGTGGTTGTGTTGTGCATCTAAATGGTCTGCAAAGGCTAAAATCCCCCCAAAAACCCCACGATTTTTGTAAAAAATAACTATGTATTAGTTTACCCTTAATCAGAGTCATCCTTTACAATCTTCTTCTCACATTTCTGCTTCTGTGCTTGTGTGCACCACTTGGAGGTAACAATGAAGGCAATTTCTGTTGCATTTGCGGAAAGTATATAAATAAAAGTTTTAAAGGTAACTTTTCTTTCAACTAAGACCCTATTCTCCCATTTTGTTGTGTCTAACAAAATTGTATTTAAATCGGTACAGTATTGAGCCAGAACAATACTGGACCAAGTTCTTACATTCCCCATTGGTCACAAAACCATAGGAAAACTGGGTCCGGGTTGAAAAGTACAGAAGTTACCCTTTAAAGTCCTCAGTCATAGAACAGTCCAGTGATGATGCATTTTTGTAATATTGCAGAAAATAAGATCTGTAAAAAACACATTTTTATGATTATTACATGTTTTGTTCAGCACGATAATCTCCACATACAAAAACCACTATTATAATTTCTGAAGCTTGAATGCAATAGCCAGAGGTAAAAAGCTGACGTTGGGCTATAAATAAACGACATCACGGTTGCATTAATGCACAGTTGACTAGAAGACGAGGCAACGGAAAGCGCTAAAATGCTAACTCATTCCCGGGTTTAAGGACTCATTCCTGTATCGCTCTATTTTACTCTAGCAATAGTTGACTGTTTATTATAAGATTTTAGTTAACTAAACCTAAAATAGATAAAGTCGACGTTGGTTTCCGACAAAATGCTGCAGACCCACTTTTTAGTTACCGCCGTTTATAAGCAACATAGATGCTTTGGAACAGATTCAAATTAAGGGGAAATGTCAAAAAAAAATTAAAATAATCGATGACTTCGAGAAAAGGGACCTGGAAGTGTTAATATGCTAACACATTCCTGGGTTTGAGGACTCATTCCTGCATCATTCTGTTGTGTCTGCACTACGCTCCCAGCGCGTGTGTAGCTCTAGATGGGGTCATGCATGAGCTCCAGCTCTGATCCTGTTTCTCCTTCCAGCTTTCCACTAACAGCTTCTTTCCTTCTGTTCTTTTCTCTCCGTCTCTTTTTCTTCTCATCCTCGGCCTGGCCCATCTGCGCGGCTGCGTGTGTGTGTGTGTGTGTGTGTGTGTGTGTGTGTGTGTGTGTGTGTGTCTGTGTGTGTGTGCCATGCAGTCGTGCGGAGCAGGTGCCTCCCTGCCTGACTCACGAGACCTCGCTGCCCTCGCCGTGGGGCACACCAGCACTCGCCAGGAAGAGGTAGCTACAGCGCTCAGCCACTTTCCTCCCACTCCTCCCTTCCTCGTTCATCTTCCTCACCTTCATTGCAGCACTTAAAGCAACCATTGTGGCCAAAATGATCATAAACTGTCCTAACTGTCACGTGAATCTAATAGCTAACCAAACTAATGTGGTAAAGGACACGTCCTCACCATCAGCTTCAAAACACACTTCAAGTCATGCATCATTTATACTTAAAACCAATGATTCATTTCATTGTCAAATAATCTATTGCTTGTATTGATGATAATTCATTTTATCGTCCAATAATAAAAAATAAAAAAAGCCCAAGTTTTTCAAATGTTGTCTGTTCAAACTGCAAAGATGAATTTAGCAAAGAAATAACAGCTAAAAAAGTGTAAGTTAACTGATTAAAACATTTTGTACAGCTCCTCAAATATAAGGATATACTGCCTCACCACTTTATTTAAAACCTTTTCCACAGTTACTGCTTACAGTCAAATTGTGTGATGAGAATTTTTGTCTATATTCAGATTTATTTCTTTTAACCTTTTTTTCGGGGAAATCGGTGTCTTTATTGTAAACGGGGAGACAGGGGGGAAGACATGAGATAAAAGGTCCCAGGCAGGATTCGAACCCCTCGTCGAATCCTCCGCTTCGGGATCAAGCTCTACCATCGAGTTATACGTCAGCCCTAATTCGGATTTTTTTTTTTTTAAATATATTGTTTAATGGAGAAAATGATTGGTAAAATAATCAACAATGAAAATTATAATTTAAAAAACACTTCACATGTTGAATGCTAACCCATATTATGTTGGCTTTGTTGCTGATAACAAAATGTATGCTTTTATTTTTTACATGGATCAACTAATTGATTTAAACGATTAATCATTTAGCTATAAACATACACATTTTAAGTACAGTATATATTTGATTTAATAAATGAATGTTATTGCATGACAAACCCAACAAAAATGTTAAATTTAGTTTGTTACCACGACAAAATGTGAAAGACTGCCTCACCACTTTATTTAAAACCTTTTCCACGGTTACTGCCAGGCAGGAAACGTGTGTAGAGAATCAACCGAATCACTCTGATTCTAAAGTAGCGTCACATTCCTCCTTACTCTCCTTTTCTTTCTTCTCCTTTCATCCAATTTTTCTTTTAGCTGAAGCCCCCCCCCCCCCTCACACTTTAACCCAGACTCTGTTGCTTTTTGAATTTAATGAACACAAGGAAAAACTGTGGGGACGTGTAAAGTGGTCTCTGCCTCCGTGAGCTATAATAATAACGGTCAAGGTGAACTGGATGTCTCCTCTCTGTAGTCTCTCCTTCTGTCTGTCTGGATCTGCTCCAAGGATGCATATTCATTAGGTGGACTAAACTGACAGATGATAAAGTCCTTGTCCTTGTTTGTGTAATTCACTATGAGCTCATGTTCTAGGAATTCATTTCTTCTTTAAGACACTATACAAGCACACAATTGTAAATCTTAGCTAACGTGCCGTATTGTTTTTTAACACTGCCATAATCAAGATTTTGACATTCTCAAATATTTTACAATTTTTTTTAGTAGTCTGACAAATACAACATATGTTTGTCAACCTTAGTAAAATGGGCTGAAATTTAAATATGAATGCACTCTGGACACACTTTTTAAGAAGGAAAAATGTTATGTTTTTGTAAAAGGAATATGCAAATTGTAACAATTTTCCTATTTTTATTTGGCCGACTAAGTGTGGAACTAGTCACAATTCATAGACAATCTACGTTTATGTCATACTCAAAACTTTCCATATGCAAAACAAAGACTCATGAGTGCATAGACAACATTAAAGGGGCGCCGTATAGCTCAATTTATAGAGTTGGTGGCCCAAGGATCACCCAAGCAGAGTATCCAGGTTCAAATTTGGGCAGGGATCATTTGCCACATGTCATCCCCTGTGTCTAAAAAAATAAATAATCTTAACCCCCAACAACAAAACAAAATATTGTGGTTTCAAAAAAATAAATACAAATCTTTGTGAAAACCACATTTGGATCCACTGGCCTTTCCTGCTCTATCTGCTTGAGCAAGCCTTTACCTGCATGTTGAATTACTGCTGGAGCTTTTAGTGTAGCCACAACCGTCCACTCACAAGTCAGCTATGTCTTTCATTTGTAAGTCTCTTGCCTTGAAAAGCAGATAATACTAAATAAAAACAAAAGTCCACCTATACTAAAAAACGAACAATGAAAGAGGCAGCCAGCTAACAACCCAGAGAGTTAGTTTCCTGCCCCACACCCAACCCTTCCAGCACTTCATGCTGACTCCAGCCTTCTGCAGCTCTCCTGAGGGGGGATTTGCCACTCTTGTAATTTTGCATCGCAGCATCCCAGGCTCCTTGTTTAATTTCCCGGCTGCCGGCTGCAGGCTCTTTCAAGCACACGGGGACGGCTCTGTGCTTTAGATCAAAGCGCGGCCGACTGACACCTCGATCACTAAAGTGTGAGGACTGCTGACTCGTGTAAAACAAAGTTGTAGTAAAAGAAGTAAAAGCAATGTTTACATGGATTCAGCTTGGAAGTGTTCCCGTCCTCCTTATAAGAATGTTTCCACTGAGCTATTGAACACAGTTGTTGACAAGGACACTGTCAATGTAAATCTGAATATTTAACACTTTTGTGTTTCATTTGCATCATGTAACCCTCACGCCTCAATTGGCTAGCGCTCCAACACATTGTACATCATAGGCTAAGGGCCAGGACCTCTCTAAGTGGTTGACCAATCACAACAGAGCCGGTCAGCTAACCAATCGGAGCAGACTGGGCTCTGGTTTCAGACAGAGGGTGAAAAGAGGTGCTGCAGCACAGGCAGTATGAGAAAAATAAAGACCTTTTTGAAAACATGTCACAGTAGAGGCACAAAATACAATTATGAAACCTGAGAATTAGCATAAAAGGGCCCCTTTTAAAGTCTCCAAATAATGGTCTAGACCAGCGGTTTTCAAAGTGTGAGGCGCGCCTCCCCTGGGGGACTTGCCCACTTTTGGCTGTCTGTGGAGACCGAGTTCCCCCACCTCGCCAAAAAGGCTCTAAAAGTGCTCATTCCCTTCACTTCCACCTACCTGTGTGAGTGCGGGTTTTCCGCATTGACTTTGATCAAAAGCAAGTACCGGTCAAGGCTGCAGCCAGAGGATGATCTGCGTTTATTCCTGTGTGCATCAAAGACGCAGACTCGTATTGTTCCCACTAAAGTAGGGGTGAGTGTAATAAGGAGGCAAAGTTGACGTTCAGTGTGTTGCCGGGAGCATATAAGCATTTATCCACGATGTTGAAAATGTTAAAAATGTTAAAAAAATATGTGTTGAGAACACGCCGTGCGAAAATATACGGGTCGTGCTGCAGCTAGATTTGCCTGTCCTCTGTAAGAAGGTGTTGACGACTGACATGCAAGGAAGAACGGCTGTCCACAGGCTGTTCCAACTTTAACAACTTTATTAACTTCCAGGGTAGTGAATTGAACATGCTATTGTAATTGGGTGTGTGGTATATTTTCATACACGCATGTTCCACAACACACAAACTGAACAACACTCAATTGTCCGATCGCTACCAGTGTCCTTGCGATCATTGTTATAACAAGTGCACGTTACTGATGCAATATGGTTGAGACCATTCGGGCTTATTCTAGAGGGGTGCAAGGAATAGTCCAAGTAGTGGGGGAGTTTTATACAATATGTTTAAAACATAAAGATACAAAGGTTTTAAAAAGTTATTGTTTAATGTTTTAAGGAGGTGACGCTACTCAGCCAATCAAATCGGTGCAGTCAGTGAGTCAGCACGATAGATTCAAACACACACACAGAGACGAGACAAGAAGAGAGAAACAGTTGGAGTCATTTCTAATGGTGAAAGGTAGACAGCGAAAACAGAGCATTTAATGACATTTTCTCTCACTGGACCTCTTTAAAATGCAATTGAATACCCCTGCATTATAGCAACAACAACAACAATAATAATAATAATAATAGCAATAATAATTGGGAGGGGGGGCGCGGCTGTTCTTATGTTCTCTGAGGGCAGGCTCACCTTCCCACACTTTGAAAACCCCTGGTCTAGGCTGTGAGAGTAAACGCTAGTGGACAGATTACATTTCTTACCTCAAATTTAACTGAAATAAGGAGAAAATGCTGCCTTAATCTATTCTCATAGCTATATCAACCGGAGATCTACAGGGTTTCCTATCAAACTAAATTACAAAAGTATGTTACTGTTGCCTCTTCTTGCTAAGAAAATAAAAACTCAGCGTTAACATTTTACCCTTTTCCATCACTTGTCATGGTTGTTTTCTGTAAAGCGCTTGACAGGTGGACTTGTTTGGCTTGATTCAACTGGAACTAAACTTGCCTTTCTCTCTCCCTTTGCCCCCCCCCAGACAAGGCTACTACGGTACGTCGGGTCCCCCCGCTCCTGTCAAAGCCCTCACAGACCTGAAGCTCCACCTGGCCAACGCCTCTCACCCCGCGTCCTCATCCTCCTCCTCCGACATGGTAGTCATCCACCCGGGGGCCGTGCTGGCCATCCTGGACCTGCTGCCCTCCGTCTGCTCAGAAAGCCAGCCGGAGGTGAGGGAACACGAGAAGGAAATGTGCTAACATGCATTTCCTGTTGAAGGGGGTGAAGGGTCATGTGCAGGGCAGGAAGTCATAGCTCCCCAAGTCCTTACTGCTTTCTGTTCTACAGTGTGTTTATCTCTTTTATTCATTTCATTGCATCTTTTTGTTTTTAACTTGAGTTTAGCAAAAGCATACAGTTGTTATATCACAGCATGTATCAAAAGTAGGAAAACAAAAAACACAATACACACCAAAAAACTACGAAACACCAGAGCAACTAAAACCGGACACAAAGGAAAACCAAACAGACAAAAACGTTATAATAATAAATAAATAATTGTAATCATCACGAAAAAGAAATTAAAGTCGGCTTGTCGAAAACTGTGTCATTAAAAACAAGAGACCCTCTTATAACAAATTTACATTTTATTGAATATTGTGTTTTTTTTTCAACTCTATATGCATGTTTGTTTGTTTGTTTGCATGTATGACATTGTTTTTTTGTCTTTGAGTACATAGAAGCGCTATATAAATGAAATATATTTAGATAATTATAACAATCATTTTTGTGTTTGTTGGATGGAGTGATTCATACATATTATAGTTTTTGCCGTGTATTATAAAAACTAAAATAATATTACCCTGCACCTCTTGGAGATTGAATTGCAAAATTATAAGGTGAACCAAATGCCTAAAAGAACCAAGGAGATTTCAAATGAAAATGACAAATTAAAGATTGTAATAATTCAAATGAAAGGGTCAGGGTTATATAGGGTGTTATATAATGGTAAAATCATCTTTGTGTCTGCCCTCCAGCACGCCCTGGACCTGCAGCTGGCGGTGGCCAACATCCTGCAGCTCCTGGTGAACAGTGAGAGGAACCAGCAGGTTCTGTGTGAAGCCAGCCTCCACCAGCGGCTGCTGCAGCGCTGCAGCCAGGCCCTGGGCGACGAGGACCACCCGCTGCACCCCCCGCTGCAGAGGATGTTTGAGAGGCTGGCTTCTCAGGCCCTGCAGCCGATGGCACTCAGGTACTGATATTTTAACCTCTGTTACGCGGGCTACTACACCCATAACCTCAACAATAATTCGGAGCCAATCCCGAGATTGTTCCTATTACCCTTTAAAACTATTGTTAACTTGGGGGTTTTCATTTTCCTGTAGGGAGTGCATGTATTAATCTGTTAAAATCCCAAAGTTAGGAGGTGTGGGAGGTTCTCTAAAATGTTTTTTAGGATTCAAAGCAGTTTAGGATTCAAAATATTCAATATGTCAGCTTTCCAAATGTACTCGAAAATATATGGTTCAAATGTTTACCTCAAGAATACAACAGTGAGATTTTGTAACAACTCATGTAAATATAGCTTTAGAGCCTCAAATGTAATGGCCGACAGAAGAGAGATGACGGGTCATTCGTAAAGAGGGAGATGAACCAAAAAGTCCACAAGCAAATTGTGAAATCACCCCACTAATATGCTAATGTCTACATGTGCACTAATATTTAGCATCGTGCGAGCAAGTTAGCATGTCACCTTATTATGGTGACATGCTAACTTTTTAAATAAGTCCCGCCTATTGGGCTCAACATAGAGGTGAGTTTTTTTCTGTTTTGGAAGCGTAATGTTCTTTGACAGGTTTCAGTGAGTGATAGAGGGCTATGTATGCAGAATAAATGGAGCAACTCTCATTTCCCGCTTGACTGGTTAAGTGAGCTGGAGTTTGGGGTTGAGGAACTGGGGGGAAGCTAATTGACATGCACATGGTTGCCTCTTTTTATATGTAAATCCCCCGCTTCGCCGTCATTGTGCTGGAGGTAAACATATCTGTAGCTGTCAATCTGTCTCCCTCCCTCCTCTCCTCTGCTCCCACTCTATCTGTCTGCTTCACTCTTGTGCTGTCAGTCACTTTCCTTTCAAAATCCCTCCCTCCCCCTTCCTGTTTTCCCCTGGTTCCTAGCTTCGCTCCATAGTCTTCCTGTTACTCTGGTTCTGTTCTGAAGCTGTCTGGTGTCGCTCACTCACTGGGACTTCTTGCCTTCATGTCACTTACATGCCAGTCAACCTTATCATTGACTTTAAATAGACCAAAGCATGCTGTTCACCACAACTGTTAACAAGCAAAAGTCCACCTGCATATTACCGGCTGAGTGCTTTTTTGAGTTTCATGAGAAAAATAAGTAATTTTGGCAATAACAGCCTTATACTTTAATAAAAACAAATATTGTAAAATGAGCATAATATAGTGATGAATAAAAACAATTCTACAACCAAAGTCATATAGCTTGCACATGCAATTAGTTTCAATCCATGCTGTTTCTACGTTTAACAGTGAGTGTTGTCAAGAACATTAAAGTATAGAAACATGTCACAGTAAACGCACAAAATACAGTGAGGAACCTGAACATGAGCGTCATAGGACCTATTTAATTATGTTTAATTCAATCAATTCAAAGTTGGTTCCGCATCAAGAAAAAAGTCAGTAACAGTTTTATCAATTTAATTTTAATTAATTGTCTTTTGATTCTTCTTGAAGTTTTTTCTATTCTTTGTTGGTGTATTTTTACTCTTGACATCCCGGTCTTCTTCCCCTCACAGGGAGTTCTTGCGTCTTGGGAACCCTCTGAACTGCGGCGCCTGGGACAAGAAGCTTCTGAAGCAGTACCGGGTTCACAAACCAAGCTCTCTCAGCTACGACGCCGAGATGAGAAGTAAGACCTTAACAGCTTTATCCTGCTTTTGATCACATGGTAGTCACTATGCTAGTGGATTCGGAAGAAATACTATACGTGGTTTTATTTATCAGATCTGTTAGGAAGAAAATAAGTGCAGTGTCTACTTCAAGGAAGATTTCAAGTGTTCTATAATTTAGTTTCGTAAGATTATCATACCTAAAGTATTGCCTTTTCAAATGAATGTTGGCCCTACTGTATGTTGCAGCTAAACCACATGTGAGAGATAAATGTTGCTGTGAGAGATGGATGTTGCTGAGTAGAGTTCAACGTTTTTTTTAAAATAGTTTTTTGTTATAAGCTGTAAAAAAAAAGTTAAATGTCAAGGTGGTGAACTTTCAAATTAATACATTTTTAATAAAAAGCTGTGTAAATGATGTACACAAAAGGGCAACACAGCTGGTATCAAATGATTTATGCAGGTAGCAATGTCTTTTTGTTTGCAGATTATAACACGTTATTTGAATTCATGGTCATACATGACAGCTCAAATCGCTGAGAATTGAGGAGTTTGCTCCATAGCAGTCTTATAGCACGTTTATGAAATGGTTTATGTGATTTGCGAGCCATTCCCATCTGCCAGAGCCATGGCAGCAGCTTCCTCCTGGGAGAAGCTTTAATTCTGTGCTAAACGTTTGGAAAATGGCCATCAATCTTGTAGCAATTCTGCAATTTTTCTTTGCTCTGTCTCTCACTTTCTCTGCGAGCTCATCGGGACGAATAGGCTGTGATTGAGCTTTCCTCCTGTTGAAACTACTACTGTAGCTTGGGCTTGCAGGTGGAAAGGGGACGATTCTTTAGGTTTTCAGAAAGCTTCAGTTTATTAAAATCAGTGGAAAAGCTCATCTTTACCATGCACAACTCTCAATTATACCGTATTTTACCCAGCAATAATTTCCTCCACAGAGTTCAGAGCCTATAGAAAGAGTACCACTGTTAGAAATGGTAAACCGTCTCCATTAAAGGTAACAAACGGTTCACGTAGGGCTCACAACGCAATTAACCTGCAAATGCGAATTCATCACTATACCAAGTTTGACCCAAAGTTCCTCCCGTAATTCCAGCGCAGATTTTTACTATTGCATGACAGTAAAATGGAAGAAAAAGCTTAGGAATTGGAAAAAACTGGAACAATACTCATGTATTGCACTAGGGCTGTACCCGAATATTCGTTCGTTGGAGTACTATTCGGGTTTCAATTTCGTTATTCGGATATTCGTATTTATTTTTTATTTTCGTTTTTTTGAAAATTGAATTGATTGAAATCTCCAATATCAACGTAAGAGCTTGTGCCTCTTCGGGGGGTGCTAACACTTAACCATAAACTTTATCGTTTACTTTCTCCGTCTTTATATGTAGATATGACTTTTCTCCGTTAATATCCGTCACGTTGTTTCCATAGCAACAACAACTTCCTGTCAACAGCGCTAACTCTCCTTCAAAATAAAAGCATGTCCATAAAAAATAGGAAGCCAAGCCAAATTACACTTAAGACATTATACAACTGCAACGAAAGTAACACACACAATGCAATATCCTTTTCAATTTCAAAGAACACAAATTTGGTTATATACATTAACAAAATTAAACAACAATACTGTAGAATAACAAAATGAATGCCGCGAATAAAACCGAAATACACGTGTTGAAGCGGTACGCAGCTGATTACTACGCATCGCCCCCCCCCGCGCGGGCCGAATATCAGAATATTCGCTGCTGATTACTACCGAATATCCGGAGCCCGAAAAATGGTATTCGGGACAGCCCTATATTGCACTGACTGGAGACCACTGAACATCAGTAAGAGCCATCACTACCTTGGTGTAACAACACACATAAACCTTGGCAAATGGCAACTGCACTAATTTGCTTTAGTTAAAAAAAGAGGAAAGACATTTTGCTGAACCATGCAGCAGTTTCAGGAGAGGGAGGTAGCAACAGATAGTGATTGCAGTATGATGGCAGCATAGATAATATGTCCTGTATTATACAGAGGGGATTCACAGTTGCTCATAGTGACAGCAGATTTGATCAGAAAGTGGGCTGACTTAATGCCAATAATTCAGAAATCATATATTATAATAAAGTAAAAAACACTCTTTATTCTCTTACCAGTCTGTCATGCATTTCTTTATTACAACACCACTGGTATTTATGTTTGATAACATGTATTAATCATGATTAATCACAGATTATTATTGTGTACAATAAAGTACACAAGGTAGGGTTTCTGAAAAGACCTGTATTCATTTTTAAATAAACAGCAATTTGTAGGAAACCCATACTAGAATTCTTACACTTTGATAAACATCCAATTGATGCATTTACTCCCTGTTTAAACACAGATTGTTTTTCCACTGTGTCATCTAATGCAAATGGCTTGTTTTCTGTTACCAGCTGCTAATGTTTGTAATTTCGTGGCTTCCTCAGCATGTCCTAATTGCTTATTGTGTTCCCTTCCAGCTGAGAATAGATATTAAGTCCCGACTAATTAATGCCCTTTACAAACTGCCACCGTTAGAACACACAGCGCTATGTTTCTCTGTCTGTGAGACGATAAAGTAGCACGCTTTGTTAGCTGCTATTGTGTTGCAGTGTTGATTAAATTTGCCTCTGTCAGATTGACTAACTTTTAAATAAGGGAAGGAATCCATATTCTTGGTACGGGTTAAAATATTCTACCTAGAACCAGGAGATATTTGATTCACTTTGGGACAATCCAGCTGCTAGTCTCGAGGTCTCTTTTCCTCAAGTCAGACAGATCTAACATTTGTATTTGTATTTTATTGTATTTATACTATATAATCCGGATGTTGGATTTAACCAAAGCTGTCCTACCTTACTCCACAGACAGTATGACCATGTCCATGGAGGGCTTCGGTCCTGACAGCGTCTTCGCCACGCCGGCGGAGGACAACGGGCAGTACCGCATCAGCCGCAGCCTGGTGCGCTCCGCCGAGGGCAGCACCGTGCCGCTGACCCGGGTCAAGTGCCTGGTGTCCATGACAACGCCCCACGACATACGCCTGCACGGATCGGCTGTCACGCCTGCATTCGTGGAGTTTGACACCTCACTGGAGGGCTTCGGGTAAGTCAGCTTGAACATTAAGTGTTTACTTACCCTCCAAAAACAATCATTTGTTTTTGAGCCCTTTTGAGCCTTTTTCTGTCTGTGGGAAGAGAGAGGGTCACAAGCTCTGTACACTCCTGATTTTACCTGCTAGATTTGTTTTACTCATCAAGCAGACGCAAAACAACATATTTTTGTTTCTGTTTCCCTAACAATTTAAGACGAGGAAATCTCCTTTTAGCTCTGTTTTGGTCTCTTTTGCCCTTTAGCTGCTATATAATCCACTTTCTTCACCAGGTAGTCATTACAGCTGCCTTTTGCTGCTCGAAACCGGGCTAATGAGACAGTATTATTCGTGCTACAAAACTGAAACGATGACCTAAAAGAGGCTAAAAAAAACATTCCTAAATCTGAGAAACGTAGGTAACTCCAGGAATGAACCAATCTTCATCATATGATTTAAAAAAAAAACATGATGATTTCAGTCATCTTCAATCTCTTCTTTCTCCTTATGGATCCTCCCAGCTGACGCACACCCCAGGGTGCCACATGTTTTTCCCTGCAATTTAACAAGCTTTATTTATTCTTTATTTACCTCAGAGCAGAACCTGTAACGGTCTCAACAGGAGGCTTTTATTTGCCTCGAGTTGTGGAGCCACACTGCGCATACAGACAGGCTCATTTTCCGCCTTTTATTTCATACAACACCCTTCGCTTCGCACACTTTCGCTGTCGGGCTTGACTTTGCTCCGTGTGCGCGCCAGCGGCACGGTGAATGTTGGGGTCAGTGGAAATGAAGGCGGTGTGGGATGTGACCTTGGCAATTCGCCCACACACCTTTAGCAACACATACATGACACATGCACACTGACACACAGACAACAACTGTTCAAACTATGATATGTTCTTCATTAATATTCAGAAGGAACCAGGTTTAAGGAAAAGGAGACCCCTTACTAAAGGTCGTTGTGGAGGTTTTCTGTCAGTTTGACAGCAAAATGCCAAAGGTCATTTCCAGTTATTACATGGCAAGAATTAATTATTAGATAGCATCAATTTGAGTCGGATTTCAATAATTATTTTGTAAACATTACCCTGTAAAATCTCTATGTATAAATCCAATTTCTTTAAATTGTTTTACTAAATGTCATTCCATTCCGGCTCACAGTCCAAGCCCCTACTGACTGAGCCACTGCCTTAATGATAATTCATTAATGCCTTAACTTAATAATAGGCTTACTCCTATAGACTGTATACAAACCTACACCATGTTGGTGTCTTATTGTTTTCATGTCACATTATGCCAAATAAATCAAGTAATATTAGGTAGTAATTTCACCTCAACTCCATTGACTAGCTTCTCTGGGACACACAGTAAATGGATGATTGCCAAGCTCATCTCAGACCGAAGTTAAAAGCTCCAGAAAACCCACTGAGTGGTTTTTGAGTCTGTCGATATTATGCCCCCCCTCCCCCCTCGCTCCCGATCACAACAGAGCCGGCCGTCGAACAAATCAGAGCAGATTCTGTCTGGTTTCAGACAGAGGGTGAAAAGAAGTGCTGCAGAGAAAAATAAAGAGCTTTTTGAACATTAAACATTAACATGTCACAGTAAAGGCACAACATTCAGGTTCAAAATATGAACCTGAACCATATTTCCTGCTCCATAATTTGTCAGATTTCCTGTTTTCTTTTTTTTTTACCCACAAGAACCCAGTTGACTCATCTCAGAATAGAACATGGAGTTTCTCCTGAAAACACAGCAGAGCAGCAGCACACTGGCAACCAGGCACTGGCCCACTTTACCTCAGCATCAACAGAGGACACACACGCACACGCACACACACACACACACACACACACACACACACACACACACACACACACACACACACACACACACACACACACACACACGCACACACAAAAGCCCATACCCCTCCTTCCTCTCCCATCTGTCACCATGAAATATTGATGCCCCTGCTGCTATTAGGAATCACACACAGGCACTCTCTCCTCTTACACACATGCACATATCCACTCTCCGTCATGCACAACATGCTTACACACACTCCGACACACCACGGCACACTCAGCCAGTCAGCCATCTCGCAAGGGCCCCCCCCCCCATCCAGTTAGGGTGGAGGGGAAAAGACTCCTTTTTATGGGGGGACTGCATCTCATTCTGCCTGAAATCTTTTTTAAATTAGCATAGCAAGCCAGTGAACGCCCCGGAGTGTTTTTGTTGCTCAAGGTGATGACTATTAGGAAACAAAAACAGCATACACCTAGTCACTATGAAGCAGCAGCGTGGTATTATTGCTAGTTTGACAGAGTGCCTGTCCTTGAAAATTGTCCTTGAACACATCATTGAATCCCGGCCAGCTTCAGGGACGCTGTCCTGTAGTCAACCCTGAACTTAGACCTTCCTGTCCAGGTGGGGGAACAAAGAAAGCCAAAAAAACCTTATAAGTGGATTATATCTAGGGCTGTATCTGTAAAATAAATTATATTTACATTTTATAATCAAATTACTTAGTCATTGCATAAAAAATAATTTAATCCATCTTTTATTACACGTAGAGCTCCATTTTAGTTTCCCAAAAAACACTGATAATATAAACGTTTCTAATGCCCAGCTTTTGATCGCTTTAAATGTAGTGATGAAATGTGGCGTTTTGGTAAAGATGCCACTTGCAGGGTAAAGCAGTCTGGAAGTATTGAGAGAGATACTAACACATTGTTGGTATTTTGGTTATTATTTATTATTCGCTAAATGTTGTACTTAAAACTGTTGACATGCTATTATTACACGGCTTATTTGAATACTCGATTCTGAGCGACAATTTTGACATTTCAGAGGTTGTTAATTCTCGCTAACAGAGCGCTGCTAAGGAGGATCAAGGGACTATGTGCAGCCATATCAGTCCGTGGAAAGATGTCCGGTAGATTTAGCATCAGCAAACATGTGTTTTCTCCATCAGAAAACACCATGGAACACTTTTTGAATGTTCATTTTTATATTTGTGGAGAGCGCAAAACTCTGGATTCATAATGGCTAAACCGTCAAAAAAAAGAAAAAGAGAACAAGGGAAGGAAAGAGGTTGAAAGATATGAAGGACATTCTAATTCCCTTAAGAGAAACTGATAAATGATTAATGGAAAAAGTTTGTCTTTTGTTATATTTAATAAAGTAATAAAGAAAGTCAATATACAATTGAAATCAATCTCAGGAACAAAGCAACTTCATCCTCTGAGGATAAAATGGCTTTGCACACCGAACACAGCTTACAGTCACACTATATTGTAAAAAGCAAATAGCCAACTGGTCCTACTCATAAATTCTCTTAGGCATTATCTAAACATCCCCACCATTAAACCATACAACCCCCCCAGTCCTTAACCATTTGGCAAATCCACCTTTTGCCCTTCCTGAAATGTAAATCCTAAACATATGTCTCTGTTAAACACATAAAGGACTAACAATACTAACCAAGTAAAAGGCAATCGGAGTATAAGACATAATCTATATGATTTAAATGATTATAGGATAATTTGGCAGGAAGTGCCACCGTCATTTTAAGTTACGTTGCCTTCGCCGCAGTTGGTGCAAACAATTTTTTATTTGCAAAAGCAATATGATCATGTTGAATATAATACAATTATTTTAAATCAATATTGTGAATCAAGGCGTTGGTTCATTTAGTAGGTAGCCGTGTAATAAGTGGGATCATGTGCAGTGAACAAAGAACACTGTCATGGTGATCAGGTTCCCTTACATCATTTACCCACCTGTTATATGCTCTTTGTTGTGATAGTGTACCATGTCTGAGTTTTTGGCAAAAACAGGTATTTTGTCTGAGCTTAAGACTGGAGCCACACGAGAACGGTAACGCAAACGAATCGAATTCGATATCAAAAAAGTCTTCCGTCCACACGCAATAGGCACCAAAAACATGTCCGTCCACACGAGTTTAATACTGTCTGCTTATCTGTATTATTGTGTTGCATTGTTGGAGAAGCCTGTAACCTGTGACCTAAGATTTTCAACGACATAATTACTCTGTAGCGACGTTAGTTTGACAATAAAGAACCTTGAACCTTAAAACCTTGAGACCGCTCGAAAGTGATGAAGACGCTGTAGTACATATGCCAGGCCTGTAAGTGGCGCTGTACTTCTGCCACGAAATACACCAAAAGCAGCGAAGAAGACTTCCCGCGCATGGTTGCCATGGTTGCCCTTCTATTCTCCGCGGTGGACCCTCTGGCTCTTTTTCTCCCTCCCCGAGGCAAGTGTGTGCTCCTGCTGTAATTCTCTCCGGTTAGTCCACTAGCAGATGAAAAACACCCACCTCTCCGCCTCTTCCAAGGGACGAGGGAACCGTGCGGCAGAGTTTCAGTTAGATTTTTTTTCGCTGGTCATCATGTCCGTTAAAGTTTAAATCTTCCGGACAAAATTTGAAAAGTGCCGGTCAGAGGTCTTCTTTGTTATTTATTGAGCTTTAACCTGTTAAGCCCGAGAGACCCCGGTACCGGGGCACTGCCGCAACATCTTGCAGGAAACAGTGTCTGAGGGCATGTTCATTTAATAAACTATGAATGTTTTATATCCATGTAACGGGAAGAAACTCATCTAACTGATCATTTTTCAAAAGAAAACTCACAATGCTTAACACTGAGCCTCTGAATTAGCAACGAGCGAAAAATGCTAACAAATTACTACACCGAAAATCACTCACAAAACCTTATTATTTATCTCTTCTCTGCATCCATGACATCGATTCACATCGTGAGGTGACACAGAATCATTATCACTGAATTATACGAATTTGCGACGTTATAAGCAAAAACGGACATCAAAACAGGTGACGCTAGGTAGCTAAAAATGCTAACATTTTTACCTTGGCTCTGTAGTCTCTCCAAAGTGGTCTTCAATGGCATTAAAACGATAAAAACGCTGCTGAAGTTAATCCATAGGTTGCGTTAGGTGTCTGTGTCCCTTTGAAATGATTTCTGATAATTCATAAGCATTAAAACTGCTTTTCCGTTTCCAGATGTCAGAGCTAAAGATAGGTTCGCTCTGATGCAAAACTGCATGCGTGAAGCCCCCACCTTTTCTTTTCACAATGAGTGTGTGTGGAGGACTCCCCCTTCGATTCTATTGGCTCTAACGGTCAGAAAGAGGTGTCAACCATCAAAATCGAGCAAGGGGGGCCAGATATATGGAAAATCCACCCAAATGACCCCAGAAGTGGTTTCTTTTTGCTAAATCTCTCTAAAAAGGTCACATGTCACTTGTTTTGCATCAATCTTGATACAGGCTACTTATTATATGTTGTACTTTGGATTCCTAAAGCTTTTAGTCTACCTTACCATAATCCAAGGGTAGTTTTCACTATAAGTAAAAAAGAACTTTTGGACAGACACTATAATTTACAGTTTTTTACTATGTAAAATCTGAATTTTCTTTAAAATAAAAAACATCTATATTAATTCTGACTTTTCTACATCCAACTCACAGGTTTATCATTACTTTGAGAAAAAAAGATTATTAATTTAACCCTTTTAGAAGGGAAGATATGGTCATTTGCTCTGGGAATGTCATTTTCGAGCCTGAGACCTGAAAAACAGGCTCAGGGCTCAACAGGTTAAAACAAATTGATAACAACTCTATATAATAATATTAGAATAATAAATGGAGCCTCTCTTTTCCTCCCCCTCTTCTGACAGCCCAGCAGCTGATCTCTGAGCAGGAGAGGTGGGGAGAGGCGGGGCGAGGCGGGGCTATTGCTTCATCGTTATCAGAAAATGATCGTAAACACGGAGCCGTTTGCCCCCCAGAGCGTTGCGTCCCCAGATCTACCCACCTTGGGACCCGTTATCGTTATCTGCGTTTCCCTGTCGGCCTTGTGTGGCCGAACCGTCTATATGATAGAGAACTGTAGCGGATACGACCGTTACCGTTCTCGTGTGGCTGCAGCCTAAGTTAGAGGAGGACCCTGTATAATGCTAATTTTCTATCATTTCTACTCAATTATTGCTGCTGTTTGGCTTTCTTTGGCCTTGTGTGCGGTCTACGTCGGACTCCTCTGTACATATTAAGCTATTTCATGTTTCATTTAAAATGCTCTCTGGTATCATTTTTTAACACTTGGTTGATATTCTTCAGCTATGTTGATTTCATTTGCATAAATAAGTTATAAGAATACAGCATATTTAGTTAGCAAAACTGCTTGTCCCTTTTTTTCTTTATCAAATGACACTTTTGTGTGTTGGTTACATAACCCTCTACCAAAGATTGGCTCTTGCACACACTTCAGAGATCATTTTAATGGTCACTTTCATATGCTCTTTTCCCATAGAGATCTTCTCCCATAGAGAAGAGCATAAGAAAATCCAAGCCTTGCTCTTTTTTTCCGTTATAGTAGTAATTGGTTTGTGACGCACATATTTGATGGCATATATTCATAGAGTAATATCACTATTGGGGGAGTTCATAGAGGAATGCTGAAACAATACACTGAAAAAACTGAAACGTTGACTTCAATTAAATGTTTTATGTCAACATATTTCACATAGTTGAAAGCAATAATATGAAGTTTAAATACAAAAATATTAGGTTCCACTTAATATTATTGCTATCGACTGACCTAATACAGTTAAGTGAAAGTGTCACGTCTGTCATCAAGGCTATCCTGCAGTGTGGTAAGGCTAGGCTGAATTCACCACCTTACTTTCATACATTTTGAGGTATTTTTTGTATCTCTCAACAATAGAAAAAACAAAACAGGTCCCCATGCTCATTTCCCAGAGCAGCAGTGTCTTCAGTGCTGCTTCAGGATGATTAGAGAGGGAACAAAGTAGCACCTTCACAGGGAGGCAGTGAGTCAGCAGAACACAACACCGACTCACAAGTACAATTCTCTGTAATTTTGTGGAACTGTTGTCAGTCTTTGTCCACTGTAGAAGCCCTAGGAAAACTCAGACTTTATCAAACTAAAACATCATGTTGGCAGGATGCTTACTGGTGACCTTTCAACCTTTATTTAGTATTTCTTAGGCAGTCGTCATCCTATTTCTTTTCAGGTAATTCACATTATATTCAATAGCGGCACCTACTACTCATTGCAAGGAAATACGTCTGGCAGATTTATTTTGAAAATCCAGCCTGAATGTATGCTTTCAGCCTACCTCTATCATGTATAATAAATCCTTGCGCATAAGCCAGTTGAGATTTCCATAATACAAAGCTCCTGTCTCCAGCGCTGAATTAGCACACTGTTCTTTGTAACCTCAGACTCTTCTTTGTAATAGTTTATCTCAGCGATGGAGCCAGACTGCAGCAGTAAATCTCTTTTACAACACTTGTAAGCTGACATTTTGTTTTGTGTGTGTGTTAAAGCTGTTTTCACTGGATAAAAGTCATTAATCCGTCCTCTGTTGTCCCCACGCAGGTGCCTGTTTCTGCCCAGCCTAGCGCCCCACAACGCCCCCACCAACAACACCAACGCCTCAGGTGTCAGTGATGGAGCCGTGCTGAGCGGGATGGGTACAGGTAAAGACCCACCACATTTTATTTCTGTTGCTTTTGGTTAATCTGGTACAATGTTTACACACCTAGCCTCTACATTCAACTTTAGAATATAGAGACATATTTGCTGTGTCATCTCAACACCTGCTTACTGTCTGGTTTTAGATTGGCTAGTTTTTCCTGAAATAACAAACTGCTGCTGTGTCCTGACAGGAAGTGACAAAGCCCAAAGGAATTGCACCGGCCGTTGAATAATATTGTTTCTTAGAGGCCAAACGGTAGTACTTCAGTGCTGTTCTAGTTTGGGCCGAAGAATCAATGCTCCCATTGACTTACATTGGGAAAGAGGGCTCTGTAAATCAGCAAATCGTTTTAGCTAAATAAGCTACCCAGTACAAACACCATTGCGGTCCTTATTTGAATCATTAGGGTCTAGAAGTCATACAATGTTTGAATCCAGAGTTTTTTCCCCCTCTCCATTCATTTGACTGAACCAAGAACAGCAGATCGGAGGCAAGCTCAAGGAAAACTTAAGTGCACATGCTCTATTGGCCCTGATCTGGGTACTTTTTAAATCTCCAGTTGCTCCAGTTCTCTTTATACATCCATGGAGGTGACCAATGCCGCTGTTAGCTAGCTGTCTAGCACTGTTATCATTCAGGGTAGAATCATTTCAGACTGCCCAATTACCCAATAAAATGAACAATAGGCGCGTTCACACCGCAGTACTTTTCCCACTTTAGTTCCGATATAGTTCCGAAATGTCGCGTTCACACCAAAAAAATCCGTTCATCAGAACCTTTTTACCCCCTTTTCCGTCCCTGCTAGAGAGCAGGTACTTTCGTGGGAGAAAAAGGTTCCTATTTCTGATTGGCTGGGCGGAATGCAAACCACGCCCCGTAAAACTCCCAAAAAGTTTTGTGAAGCCGCCATTTTATTATCCTCGCATTAGCATTATTAGCATTAGCCCAGCGCACAAATGCAGAGAGACTAACTTATGGCAACACAAAAGAAAACATGGGAGCGGTGGAGCGGTGGAGATGAGGAGGTGTCGGCGTTCTGGCGATTTACTCGGAAGCCAGTCCCCAACTCCGGGGACTTCCGGCCGGGGACTTCGGGTGGCAGTATACGCCGTGAAGTTGTTTGCAACCTGCCAGTAAACCCAAAGCAGAAGAAGAAGAAGTGACGTCAGCGGCTTCATTTGCCTAATCCTCCCACAGGGACTTATTCCGGTGTGAACGCGATCTGAACTTAGTTCATGAGAACTAAAGAGTTCTCATGAACTAAGTTCTGATGAACCTTTGTGGGAAAAGTACTGCGGTGTGAAAGCGCCTAATGGCTTCCTTTCAACACCAGTAAAGTGATATGTTTATTCAGCAGTGAAAAAAAACCCACATGTATAACTTTTATTTGTATAGTGGTGTGTTCACCAGATCAACCAACCAACCGCTAGTCACACCATTTCTGTTGTGTTGCCACGATGGCGATCGTTGAGGGTGAGAAGTGTCCTGCGTTCCACACTCACACCGACATTTAAAGTGGAGGGGAATTAAAAACTAAGTGTAGCCCCCTAAGCAAGAGTTGTGTGGCAAATACTTTGAAATACCTTTGCCCACACTTATTTCTGAAATAGGTTTATACTTACTTAAAGTGCATTATGAATCAAAATACATCCTTGCAGTCTTATTTCACACTTATGCAATAGGGAACTGATAAAGGCATTATGAGTTAATATTAATAATTGATTGATACATATTTAATCTGGCTTTTCTGTTTTTTTTATTCAATAAAGAAGTATTGGCCAATAAGAACATTTCTGTACTCAAGCAGGTTCCCTTTCCTGGAACTTAACACACTGAAACCCATACATCAATCACATGAGGGATCTCTCTTTCTCTGAACACATTGTTACCACACTCACTCATCATTGTGTTACCTTGTTGCATCTGCAGTGTCTCCCTTTTGTTTTATCCCTGTGTTATTTTTGATCTCTTCCTTTCTTCTTCTAGTGGCTCAGTGTTGTTCTTGAACCTCTCAGGAGATATTTCTCCATCTCCCCCACAAATATTGTATTTGTTCTGATGTTTTTTTTAGTAGTTCTCATCATTTGAGCAAGCAAAGGAAAAACAACAACACCTTAAACCCAAACACCCCAGCCGCAGATCTGAAGTTAAAATTAATCTGTGACTTTATGGTCGATTTTCTGGAGCCTCATTTAGTATTTATGAAGCACAGCTAGACTCCCCCCCACCCCCCACCCCCCCCCCCCCCTTCTCATCCGCCTCCTCCGCCTCTCCTCATCGTCTATCTGCTCTCCACTTTTCTCCCCTGCTTTAATCTCCTTATCAGAATCACTTTATTATAGTAGCAGTGGGGAAATGTAAAGTGTTACAGCAAAAGCTAACTTATTAAATATAGAGAAGAATATTAAACATTAGCCATTTCAAAGTAACAAAGTAAGTAAAAGTAACAATTTAAATAACTAAGTGACATAACTAACATTATAAAAACGTTTGGACCTTTATAACAATTTATATTTTTCACACTTATCTCACCTCCTTTCCTACCTTCTCCTTCCTCCTGTCCTCTTATCTCTTCTCCCTGTCTCTCTTCTCTTCCTCTCTCGTCTTATCTCTCCTTTTATCCCCCTTCTCCTCTCCCCTTCTCCTCTCCCTTCTCTTCTCCTCCCTTCTCCTCTCCCCTCCTCCTCCCTTCTCGTCTCATTTCCTCAGCTGTCCTCTCTCACCTCTCCTTCTTTCCCCTCCTCCTCTTCTCCTCCACTCCTCTATTAATCGACCCCCCCGCTCACGCACTCATACATTACTATCATTTGCTCCATCTGTTTACCTATTCATCCGCTCCCTCTGCACTCATCCCCCCCACACTCTCCTCCTCCTGTCTTCTCCGGCCAGTCACTATTTATAGACCTCGTTCTTTTCCTCCCTCATTTCTTCCCCGTCACTCACATCCTGCTTTTCCCCTTCCTTTTCATCCCTCACCTCCGTCTCCAACCCTCCATGCTTTCTTTGTCTCTTTTCCTCCATGCCATACTCTGTTCCTTCTTTACTGTTTTTTTTCTCTCTCTTTTCTCGCCTCATTTGTTTCAATCCCCTTCTTCCTTTCTCTATCCCACTCCTATCTGACCCATATCCTTGGATGACATCCTAGAAGCTCATTCATCAGAAATAGCCCCAGTTTTCTCAGTCTCACTGAGCTCCACAACCATCTACTGATATACAGAACAAATATTCCCTTTGAACCAAGTCCACAGCCTCGCTTCACAAATCAGACGTAATGTTGGGTTTGTCCTCCTGGAAGGCCTTTTTTCTAAAATCTATCCTGGCTAGTTGTTGGCTGTGTGCCAATTTTAATTCGGTCCAGTTTTGGCAAACGCAGTGTATCAAAAATATCTAAATTAGGGTTGCACAATTATTGCAATATTTATCGAAATATGGTAAGTGCATTTTTCAAATCGCAGTAAGCTCAATATTGGGTAAAGGTTAAATAAATGAAATTATCTGAATGAAGTTAACTGGAAAGATTTATCTGCCTACAACGGTGTTCTAAAGATTTAAATGGGCCATATTATGCTAATTTTCAGGTTCATAATTGTATGTAGTGTCTCTCCTGTGACATGTCTCCATGCTTTAATGTTTAAAAAGCTCTTTATTGTTCTCATACTGCCTGTGCTGCAGCACCCCTTTTCACCCTCTGTCTGAAACCAGAGCCCAGTCTGCTCTGACTGGTTAGCTGGCCGGCTCTGTGGTGATTGGTCAACTGATTAGAGATGACCCACCCCATCACTGACAATGTGATGGAGCGCTAGCCAATAGAAGCGTGAGTTTTACATAACGATGAAGTCAGAACTTGTTATTAACCCCTTTTCCTCCATCTGTCCTTCTTTCACCTCCAGGGGAGCGCTTGTTTCCTCCTCCGTCAGGCCTCAGCTACTCCACCTGGTTCTGTGTGGAGCGTTTCAGCGCCGCCCCTCACGCCCACCCGGTGCGCCTGCTGACGGTGGTGCGCCGGGCCACGTCCTCAGAGCAGCACTACGTGTGTTTGGCGGTGGTTCTGTCCACCAAGGACCGCTCGCTCACCGTCTCCACCAAGGAGGAGCTGCTGCAGTCATACTGTGAGTACAGCAGGAACACATAACTGTAAGACAACAGAACAATGTGACCTTAGAAAAGAATGAACCAAGATATCAGAAATGTGTCCTCTGATCAGAGACTTTATTAATAGAAAAACGTGCCTTTCATGAAGCATATTCAGACAGTAGCCTATCCACCAACAATGAAACACATGAGCACATACTACAGTTTAAAACATCTGATATAATATCTGAGATAACAGAAAATGCTGCGTTTCAGTTTAATAATTACAGTTAAGCTCACACACACTATTTTATGAACATATACGTTCAACTGCTGAATTAAAAAAAGAATAAATGAAGCAAAGAAAGTGAAAACTATAAAGCAAATTCAGGCAGCAGGCGAATAGATTAACATTCAAAGTATTAGCCTACAGAACAGTACAGCTTACAAAGAGGAATTATAAATCCGCTCCGTTTACAACAAATACAATATGCTCTTTTTAATTTTCTTAGTAACCTTGAAATCCTGATAGTAATGCCCACCTTTTTAGATATGTTACAGTTATCTGATTACATATTTTTGATGTAACTATAGTGGAATACAGTTACCTTTTTATGTGTGCTGATTACGTAATACCATTACATGTAATCTGTTACTCCCCAAGCCGGAGTCCAAATAGTAAGCTTAGTAGGAGTGAATGAAATGTGAGTTTAGTAGTTATGGAATCGGCCACAGGGTGGGACTCTGCAGTGATGGAGTCATCATTGATGAAAACACTGAAACACAGTAAGAAAAATGAAGTTATAAAAAAAAAGGCAGAAAATATTGAACTATTGTAACAACTGTATTCAAAACTTTAAAAGAAAATAGACAAGCAATATAGATATACAAAAAGGAAAGTAAAATAATAAAACAATCAAATATGTGCAGACTTCAAGTGGTGGAGCTGTGCATTTCTTAAAAGAGGTTGCATGAAACAGAATTCTGCACAAATCTTTACATGATTTAGCAAACCTAATTGCAGAGATGCCCTGATAGAAACTCATCATGGAACCTTTCCTTTGCTAAGTTTTACCTGAACACAATTCACAACTGTGTTGCATAATTGCCAACATATTTTGTGTATTGTAACATTTTAAAAGATGTGTCAAAAAGGCAGAATGTTAATCATTTATCTTAAATGACATATGAGTGTATAGCTTCCCTCCCAATTGTTCCTTCACACAGGTTTCCCTTCTGAATGTGTGGACTGACTTTCTGCATATCTATAAATCAGTGCCTTGTGGGATTACACTCAGTTACCCAGAGGTCATGTTTTGACGTCTGACTCATCGATTCTCCCCCCCCCCCACTCCTCCCTCCTCCCTCCCCCTGTCAAGCAGCGGACGAGTCAAGTGAAGAAGCCGCCTTCTATGAGATCCTGCCCTGCTGCGCCCGCTTCCGCTGCGGAGAGCTGATCGCAGAGGGCCAGTGGCACCACCTGGTGCTGGTCATGAGCAAAGGCATGCTGAAGAACAGCATGGCCACTCTGTACCTGGACGGACAGCTCATCAGCACTGTCAAGGTAAACTCATTGGCTCAATCATGTCGTATAGTAAAGTATACTCAGTACTCAGTAGTTTGCACCGGGAAATATTGTTTAGAATCAGAATCAGTACAAGTACACATACAGGGAATTTGGAATGGTACGAAATGGTGCATACATAAACCCAATATTAGAATCAAATATCATTAGTTTATTGTAATTTTAACATCATGTTAAGAAAGCAATCCTGACAGTCCATTTTCAATTATCAAGCAAGCAATACAAATAAATAATAATATTATGTATACACACACATATGCATACATATATAGATACACATATAAATACGTGTGGCGCAGTGGATAGAGCCTTGGTATGGGGATCAGATGGTCACAGGTTCAAACCCCACTACAGTCAGCATGTCGTTGTGTCCCTGAGACACTTCACCCCAAATTGCTCCTGTGGGGATTGCCCACAGTATTGAGTATGTAAGTTGCTTTGGATAAAAGCGTCTAACAAGTGACAGTAATGTAATGTAATGTAAAAAATACACTACAATTTAAATGTTTAAAAAAACGACGGGAAGTGGGATTAAGCATTGCTGACTTAAAAATGCAGGAGTCAAATTAATAAATAATAAAGTGTGTATGAAACATTAAGTTATAAAAAAGGAAAAAATATATAATTATTTTTATTTAAAATAATTATATAGAATAAGGCATTTACTCTGAGAATCAATAGAATATTTCAGAATTAAAAGTGGCAGAGCTTTGTAGTCATCAAAGAGGAAGCAACCTATCAGAAATGTACAACATATACCTATCTATAAGTAAATAAATAATAGTTTATCACTAAAACCTAATTTCCTAACAATGACATTAAATAATAACACAGACATGATCAAATCAACCCATAGTCATAGTTAAGAAAATTAATAAATTAATAAAAGCATAGGTTATTTTGACAAAACAGCATTGCACAAACAACAACAATAAAATACAAACCAATAAAAAGTTTATTGCCGGGCAAAAGCACCCAGAGATATTCTCTTTATATATTAAGATAGATAAGAAACAAAGATTTTGAGAATCTGAAACAATAGCATATTTGTTTTATAAATGTATATTTTGTATTTAGTTTAGTTTTGTATTTTATTTCAGTTGACTAACTGTTTTGTATTGGTACAGGACTATATGTTCAGAATCTGATGGTGCATAGATAGAATAATAAAGGGAAGATATCTCACTCATCAAATAAATAAAAAACTGGTTGCTTGTACAATTAGCTAAACAGAGCGTTATGTCGATTCAGAAGATGCACAGAAACACATTTTCTAACTGAGGCTTCACACAGTCAGTCAGTGCGCTGTGATGTGGCTTGTGGTTTGGTGACTTCAGATTCTCCTGAGATTAGAGTTCAGAGCGGGGGAACGGCGCAGCAGACCACAAGCCTCAGCCTCCTCTCCGCACTGCTGATAACAGCGGCTTCATTTCCTGCCGAGCTCCTCAAACAGGAAACCACGAGCCGCTCATATGCCTGTCATGCGTCTGTGTGCATGTGACAGTCCTTGTGGCGGTGTTGTAGGGAAAACAAATCCTCTCTCATAGAATATATCGACTTGTATAGATGTGTGTGCTTATAAATGGTCTGCACAGGCTAACATCCCAACATATTGGCTACATAAAGTATCTTTGAGTTTCTTGAAAAGCGCTTGTGAGAGTGCTCTGCTCACCCAGGGGGAAAAACGAAAGGAGATGAGGGATGTTTGCAAAAAAAATGAGGGGCAACATAAAACAGTGCACAATAAAACAAAGTCCACACTATGGCTCGCCATGTAGGGCTTCTCAGGGCTGGCGTTAGCTCCTCCAGAACCAGTTCTACTGTCAGAGACCAGCACCAGGTTACCAACATGCTTTGATTTAGTGAGCCACTCCCATCACTCCAGCAGCCGGCTCTTTAACCACACCCTGCTGCCACAGCGCTCTATAAATACAATGTATTGTTATATTATTTTGTATTATTATGATTAAAAACAAGCTTCTCTCTCTTCCAGCTGCACTATGTCCACAGTGCTCCGGGAGGCTCTGGCTCCACCAACCCCCCCGTGCTGAGCACCGTGTACGGGTACGTGGGCACGCCCCCCGCCCAGAGACAGCTCTCCAGCCTGGTGTGGCGTCTGGGGCCCAGCCACTTCCTGGAGGAGGTGCTGCCGGCTACCAGCGTCGCTGCCATCTTTGAACTGGGACCCATCTACGTGGGCAGCTTCCAGGCCGTCTACCTGCCCTGTGAGTGGCCCTCAAAGTGTCACTCTTATTCCTTTCAGTTCACCGAATGCTCTGTTTATCATTTCATATTTGATTTCCCAAGGTAAAGACTCGAAGACGGAGGTAGCCCCCGCATCCCCGGTAGCATTGGTACCAGAGGAGAAGGTGTCCTTCAGTCTGTACGCGCTCTCGGTCTCCACTCTCACCGTGGCCAAGATCAGGAAAGTCTACAACAAACTGGACAGCAAGGCCATCGCCAAACAGGTCAGACCGCCCACTGCTCGGCATGTTGAAACTCACCATGCTAGTATTGTATTATTCTAAAGCCACTATTTGTACAACCACATCTTTGAGATGAATTGGAGCATTTTCCATCTGAATAAAGCTGCACAATGGCTTTAGAAAATGAGGATTTTCAAATGAAAAGTCCTTGTCTGGGCTAGATTATAGGTCAGGGTCTCTTCACCAAAATAGCTGCGGTTATTACAGGATCAAAAAGAAAATAATAACTGGAGCTGGTGAGAGTTTTATATGCAAAACAAGCTTTATTCTTAACATAGAACATAAGCCAGTGTCACAGGCCACCTTGTGTACTACAGAAGTCCCATCGCTGCAACATATTTGTCATACATTTTTTAATGTACAAACATTCAAAACGAATTCAGACTGAAGTCAGAATGAGTAAATCTGGCGTCCAAATTGTGCCCGGGTAATGTCAGTAGCACATCTAAAACAGAGTTATTAAGTACTTTCACATAATAAAAAAAAACACATTTAAATACACACAGAAAATGAATTGGACTAAAAACCGGCCACTAAACACATTATAGAACACAGAGAGTTAAACAAACAGAGGTAATGAAACATATTATAAAGTGAGAAAAAATGTGTTTCAAAAGAGATTGAAAAGAGCAGACAGAGTTTGCAGCCCTGATCTCCTCAGGCAGGTCGTTCCAAAGTCCATGATTCCTGACAGTGAAGTGTTTGGATCGACCAGGGAGAAGGGACATAAGGCAATGAAAGGTCAGATCAATAACTTGGGGCGAGGCCTCTCAGGGCTGCGTAAGTAAGCAATAAGATCTTAAAATGGATTCTAAAGGCAAGAGGTAGCCAGTTCAAGGAAGCCAGGATCGGTGTGATGTGGTCACTTTGACTAACCTGAGTTCATTCCTAGAATCAGAGTTTTGGAAGAACTGGAGGCAGAAGAGAGTTCTTTACTGATGCCAGGGAGGAGCACATTCTTATCTAATCCACTGGTGATGAAAAACAGTTTCAAGATGTTTGGGACATTCAGGCGTTTATAGCAGCAACAGGGTCAGAGTGAAAGACAGGATTCACGGTAACACATAAAGATAAAATAGAATTTGAAAAAGAATAATAATATAAACATTTTAAAATAAAGTGCCTGTTGAAACAGGATATCACAGTAAAATGTTGAGCATTTGAATGGACATATATACATATTTGGATTGTTATCTGGCTTATACTCCATTATGTCATAACATAAAGCACTTTTAGAAAAAGTCCCTTCTACAAAGTGATTCTAATTTATTTAAATGATGGGGACATTTTGGATTGTTGTTAGTAATCTAACTATTCAGTATCATTCAAGCGATAACTGTGAATACTTAAATATATGTCGTTTTGTAGATTGTCTTTGGTTTAAACTTTGGTTAAAATTCAAATGTTTGTTTTAAAAGCAGATTGACTTTTTCTTCTATGTAGGTTTCTACTGCTCACTCACTATTTCTAAATAGTTTGTACACACACCTATACACACAAATAAATGTACAGGTCAAACACACTCACACCCAGAACATTTGCAGCCAATCTACTTGCATGCATGTTCATTCAACGATATCTTTACATTTACAATGACTAACACACCGTCTTATAATGCGTGTGTTACAGCTCCAAATGAGCTCCCTCCTCCGCCCTTATCTCTTTTCCCCACCTGTCAACTTATTTCCCAGGATGCTCCTCTCTCCCTGCTATGCCTCGGCCCACGGCAGCTCACAAAAAACAGCAAAAAAGTGCAGAGGCAGCATTTCAGCTGCCGCAGACACTTGTATTATAACAGGAAGAGAGCGTTTATAGCACTGAAATACATTAGTGTTTTGTTTTAAAAAGCAGTCATCACCAGGTCTTATTAAAACGTAGGCAAAATGCCATATTACATTTTTCATGCTTTGTCCCATGTATCATTCTAACCTGCCTAATAAACGCTTTTAAAGAAGCCCCATTGTTATACCTTTCCTTGTAGTGTGTTATATAGGTTTTTGTGTATGTAAATGTTCTGCAAAGGCTCAAATCCCTATGTGTGTGTGTGTGTGTGTGTTTTCAATGTGTTCCCTCTGCAGCTCACTGTGTCCTCTCATGAAAACGCCACTCCTGTCAAATTGATCCATAACGCCGCCGGCCATCTCAACGGACCAGCACGTACCATCGGAGCTGCCGTCATTGGATACTTGGGTAAACCATTATATCATGAAGAAATACACATTTCTTTTGTATGTAAGAAGCTCCTGAATGTGAAATGTACGTGTTAGATCTGCAGCTTTTCTGAAGAAAAACACACTTTTTTTCAGGCGTCCGTGCCTTCGTGGCCAAACCCGTGGCCACCAACCTGCAATATGTTGGTGGGGCGGCAGCCATCTTGGGCTTGGTTGCCATGGCGTCAGATGTGGAAGGGCTGTATGCAGCTGTCAAAGCTTTGGTGTGTGTTGTAAAGAGCAACCCCCTGGCCAGCAAGGAGATGGAGCGCATCAAAGGCTACCAGGTGAGATACAAGTTTAACAAAGTACTGATATTTTTAGTTTTTAGTTTGAAATCCTTCCTATTACCAATATTTGCTCTCATTCATATCATTCGTTCTCACTATGGGATGCGCCTCCCTACGTATCCCATAGTGAGATGTCTCCCTTGTGCTACTCTGAGAACCGGGGTTACGCTGGTAACCTACAGTCTTTTTTCATTGACTTAGTTTGTCATGTAATCTGTTAAAAATTCAAACTATATTTTTGAGGAACAGAATCAATTAAACAAGACAAAGCAACATGACCTTGTGCTTTTAATCTGAAATGTTACCTGAAAGAAATAAAAAATAAAATAAAATGACCAGTTTTTAAATGTACAACATTCTCAGTTTAAGTGTTATTTATATTTCCATTTATTTTTGCTGATTTGTTTCCTTAACTTCTGCTAATTTTAGTTCTTGATAAATATATTCCATGATGGCTGTGATCTTGAACTAACTGCTGAATGCACAATCAAAAGTACATTTTGTCAGAAGTGTCACGTGGCCTTGTAAGCAAATAGACTGGCCTAAAATAATTCTTGCCATTTTATTTTCTGTCTTTTGCAGCTGCTGGCTATGCTGCTGAAGAAGAAGCGCTCGCTGCTCAACAGCCACATCCTCCACCTCACCTTCTCTCTGGTGGGAACCGTGGACAGCGGCCACGAGACCTCCATCATTCCCAACTCCACCGCTTTCCAGGACCTGCTCTGTGACTTCGAGGTGAGGCAAAGGGATCCACCATGCCAGCAAATGCTAATACAATTACCAAACTCACCAAATATATTTAGATTCTTCAGCGTTTCTGCAGGTGAGAGAACCATTTGTGACCCGCTCTATAATGGCGCGTTTCCACTACACGGCCTCGCTCGGCCTCGCTCCGCCTCGCTCGGTATGGCTAGGCCTCGTTAGGACTGGCTCACTTTATGGCGCATTTCCATTACAGTTTAGGAACTGGGGTAGTATCTATAGTAACGCAGTGTAGGCGGAGCCGTGACGTCATCTTCAATGAGAACCCCAGAAAAACAACACAGCCGTTAGCTGTTAGCACTCAGAGCTCACAGCTCCTCATATCTGTTCAGAAACTAGACAAAAGTTAAACAAGTACAAACCACAGACTGCCTGTGTCATGGAGAATACAGTCGCTGCTTTATTTATGTTTGTATAGGCCGTTGTTGTGAGTGTGGACGGTCGGAGCATATACTGCGTTAGCTTAGCCAATCTCCATTTAGAAAACACGCATTTTTCGCCTGCCGTCTGTCTGCAGACTTGTCAAAGCATTAATTCATGGTTTTTACTAACCGGTATCAGTATGTTGTTACTTCGGCATCATTTTGAAACGTGTATTACAATTAAATCACGGTCAAATATGTCCATCTTGTTGTAGTTGTATCCCCCTTGCCAGTGATGCTCTCTCTAGTTTAGCATACTCAGCCCGACTCAGCCTCGTTGTCTCTGGCCCTAGACCCACGATTTTATGAGGCCAGAAAAACTGTGAATTAGGACCCGCCGGCCGGTACTAGGCCAAGTGGAAACGCAACCAAAAACGGGCCGCTGACGTCACAGCCCTCTTAAACCGTGCTCCGCGCTGTAGTGGAAACGCGCCATTAAATCACTTGGACGTCACAACGCCTGATCCCGAGATAATCTTGGATTCATCTAAAAAAACTGGTGTTTTGGTCATTTGGGGGTTCTGGTTGATTTTAAACAAAGTCCTAGCTTTCAGAATATTAAACTTTTATATGCAGACGATAAATACATTTTCTAATCTTTTTAAGACAGGGTGTCAACTTCAGCGACCACCGTCTCACTTTGGTCAGCGCCGCTACCCCTCCCTCCTTACGTCTTCATAACATAATGAGTGACGTGTCCCAAAACAGTGGGCTTTAGTAGCAACTGAGCCAAAAGTTTCTGTAACACTGTCTATGATGCCTGTGAGTGAGCAGGTGGTGCCCGCCTTCAACATGCTGATTGGTCCACCTGAAGAGACAGGAGCATTTAAGCTGCAGCCATTCAGTTCCTCTGCCCTCTCTCTCATCGACCTCTCCTACTCCCAACTCTGTGTCTGTTATAGAAGATCTGATCTGTTGTTCTGTGTGGCTAAAGTTACCGATTACCGGTCCCTGTTGTACAATTTTTTGTATCATTGAAAAGCTAAGTTGCTTTAATCTGTCTTGAAGACACGCTTTTGATTTGTCTAGGAGTGAGAAACCCGTTTTGTTTGAACCATTTTTTCTCCTGTTTTTCTGGTAGGAGTTGGAGTGTATTTTATTTTATTTGTTTTGTTAGGCAAGTTTAAGGAAACTCTGTAGAGAGGGTTTTTGTTTGTTATGTTGGGGTTGTCTCACCTCTTTTTGAGTTTATTCAATCTCAAAAAGCTGATTTCCTGTCATTGAGCATTTCTTGGGAGTGGGAAGAGTGGGGAGAGGGCAATCTTGTGCTGCGCCTAGGTTCCCCTAGTCCGGGGCGTAACAAATGCATAATGCTTATAATTTGTTATATTCTGCTTAAAACACTGCATTATTCTAGTTATAAGTATTGTCAAATATCCTCAATGCTTTTTAGCAATACTCATAACACTTTGTCTAATTGCTGATCCCTCTTTTGCAAGGATCATAGTGAATTATAAGTCCCAAAGTTGTAATACATTAAAAAAAATAAAATTTAAATAAATAAATATTAGAAGTTAAAGTCAAATATCAACAACCACAAAATAATATATAAATTCTAGTTTTAAAGGGTTTGGCTGCTGATGGTGCAGTAAGTCCAGTTCAGAGTATATGACGCTGTGAGGGAGGAGTTCATAGTTCATAGCAGGGATGGCTTCCTGTGGCTCCCTGTGTTTGTGTCTCACTCTGCTCCTTTTTTCTCCGTCTGCTCCTCAGGTGTGGCTCCACGCTCCCTACGAGCTCCATCTCTCTCTGTTTGAGCATTTCATCGAACTGCTGACAGAGTCCAGGCAAGTGCCCAAACTCTTCTTTTTTTGTTACACAGTTTGCACTTACATTTCAGCAAAGAAGCTAACATCAGATGCAACTGTGTTAACCACTTTCTCTATCCAACAGCGAGGCAGCTAAGAATGCCAAACTGCTCAGGGAGTTCCAGCTGGTCCCCAGGCTGCTGCTGACCCTGAGGGACGCCTCCCTGTCCCAGCCCACTGTAGCTGCCATCAGCAACGTGCTCAGTCTGCTGCTGCAGGGCTTCCCCAACCAGTACGATCTGCTGAGGTCAGTACAGATATACCTATACATGGAATAACCTTCTTATTGGTGCTGGGGTGGTTTTCAAACAAAGTAATGCATTACACATTACTAGTAATGCCTTACTTTACTAAATCACTCACTGCTGAAAGTAATTACTTACACTACTAGTTAGATTACTTTTGGATTACTCTGTATAATCACCTGAGATGCACCACAAACCAAATGACAAATAACAATATATAGTTAAATCTCATGTATGCCCTGATCAGCACAAATCCTTAATCTAATAAGGAACATTCTGTACGCAAGACATCTGTTTTCTGCTCTTTATATCAATGAGATCATTTTGTGTTTGGTAACTGTTATGCAATTACTGCTGTTATCAACAGTAACGTGATACTTTACTGTGTTACAAACAAATGTAACAAGTTACCCCTAGCCCTCTTTCTTTTACATCTTAGTCAAGCATGATAAAGTAACAATGGGATATTCAAGTTGTTCGTAAAGGCACAAATTCACACCACAAATCATCACAGCAAAAGCTTTGCAACCACTGACCACAGAAGGGAACACATTTACACAATACAGAGTGACACCACATTACGCACTAAGCAGACATTTTTTTTTTTATGTGGAAAAAGTCTGCTTACCACTTGATGCTAATAAGCTAGTTTCTGATATCCATTTTTTTGTTAACCTGTTAAGCCAGAGAGACCCCGGTACCGGGGCACTGCCGCAACATCTTGCAGGAAACAGTGTCTGAGGGCATGTTTATTTAATAAAACTATGAATGTTTTATATCCATGTAACGGGAAGAAACTCATCTAACTGATCATTTTTATTTATTTTTCAAAAGAAAACCCACAATGCTAACACTGAGCCTCTGAATTAGCAACGAGCGAAAAATGCTAACAGATTACTGCACCGAAAATCACTCACAAAACCTTATTATTTATCTTTTCACCACATCCAACACATCGATTCACATCGTGAGGTGACACAGAATCGATTGACACCGACATTACCACTGAATTATACGTATTTGCGACGTTATAAAACAGGTGACGCTAGGTAGCTAAAAATGCTAACATTTTTACCTTGGCTCTGTAGTCTCTCCAAAGTGGTCTTCAATGGCATTAAAACGATAAAAACGCTGCTGAAGTTAATCCATAGGTTAATCCAATATGTCTGTGTCCCTTTGAAATGATTTCTGATAATCCATAAGCATTAAAACTGCTTTTCCGTTTCCAGATGTCAAAGCTAGAGATAGGTCCACTCTGATGCAAAATTACATGCGCGAAGCCCCCACCTTTTCTCTTCACAACGTGTGTGTGTGGGGGACTCCCCCTTCGATTCTATTGGCTCTAACGGTCAGAAAGAGGTGTCAACCATCAAAATCGACCAAGGGGGGCCAGAGATATGGAAAATCCACCCAAATGACCCCAGAAGTGGTTTATTTTTGCTAAATCTCTCTAAAAAGGTCAAATGTCACTTGATTTGCATCAATCTTGATACAGGGTACTTATTATATGTTGTACTTTGGATTCCTAAAGCTTTTAGTCTACTAACCCATCATCCAAGGGTAGTTTTCACTATAAGTAAAAAAGAATTTTTGGACAGACACTATAATTTACAGTTTCATAGTTCATGTAAAATCTGAATTTTCTTTCAAATAAAAAACATCTATATTGATTCTGACTTTTCTACATCCAACTCACAGGTTTATCATTACTTTGAGAAAAAAGATTATTAATTTAACCCTTTTAGAAGGGAAGATATGGTAATTTGTTCAGGGAATGTCATTTTCGAGCCTGAGACCTGAAAAACAGGCTCAGGGCTTAACAGGTTAAAAACAAAACAGGCAGGCTACAGAATACCAAGAAAATGATTGTTCTAAATATGGGTTTATCACAAATGTCTGTGTGCCACATGTATCTGACATATATATTTTATATGTATCTAACCTCATGTAGATCATAGCATTAAAGTGCACAATTTCAAAAAATTATAATAATAATAATAATAATTGTAAAACACATTTTATTTTGATTATTCTCAATGCTTGTCTTAAGAACTGTCAAAAGTAAAGCAAAAACACTAAGCAACTTAGCACTTTTTTTTCACCTCCCAGGTTTGGCCAGTTCATCTCTTCTACTCTTCCCACATTTGCTGTATGTGAGAAGTTTGTCGTCATGGAAATCAATAATGATGAAAAGATAGACGGAGGTAAGGAAAAATGAAAGGCAATAACATCCTTGTTGAGGTGGTAGAGCAGGTATTAGGAATCATATTTGGCAAATAAAATAGATGAATAAATGTTCGGTTCTGAGCCGTTTTAGCCTGCTTATGGTTGAGGAATTCTCTCACTGATATGTCTCTTCCCTTCTGAAAACGTCTATATGTCTCCAGGTAATGACGATGATTTCGGTGGTCTCCTGTCAGCCAACATTATTCTGCTGAGAAACCGACTGCTGGACAACCTGCTCAGACTGCTCTTCACCACCAAAGAGAAGTGCACTGTCAACGCCCAGTAAGTACCACTAATAGTCCACCTTGATGCTTGGAAAATGTGTATTGTTCTGTCAGTTTACCACATGTGCTCTCTTTCTTCCCCCTACAGAGCTTGTGAGGAGCTGGTGCGGACGCTGGGCTTTGACTGGCTCCTGATGTTCATGGAGGAACACCTTCACTCGAGCTCGGTCACGGCGGCTCTGTGGATCCTGGTGGTGCTGCTCTCCAACCAGTCCATCCTCAACCGCTTCAAAGAGGGCCTGTGTGGGGGGGGCTGGCTCGACCACACCGACATCGTCCTGACCAATAAGATCGGCTCAGTGCTGGGTGAGTGAGTGCACGAGACTGGGGCGGCTTCCCGACCTCAATGGCGACACAGTTTATCGAACACATCACTAACTCTGAAGTTGGATTTATGAATGGAGGAGGTGTGCTTGATTTACCTTAAAGTGGCCCTATTATGCTTTTTGGGGTTTTGTCTTTCCTGTAGTGTGTTCTATAGGTTTATGTACAATGAAACGCCTCCATTGGACTCCTTTTGTTAACTTCCGTAATATAATGACATCACTATGTATATGTAACAGTGCTTCTACTGGCTAGCGCTCCAACACATTGTACGTGACATCTCTTAAGTGGTTGACCAATCACAACAGAGGCAGCCAGCTAACCAAGCATTTTCTCATCATAAGGGACAGTTTCCACATAGCGCCTTTTTCTGAGGGCTGACATCTCTTTAAAATGGTTTTAAATGTGGAGGGATCCAAAGCCCTCACATTTTCACATCGCTGTAGAAATGGGATGTTGTTTTTGACTGTGTCACTGTATCATAGAAATACCATAACGCCCATTTCTATGAGCAGATCGAGCAGCCAGACAGACCCTGAATGTTGCTGACAGTGAGTGTGTGACTTAAATCTCTGATTTCGTCTGAATCTCGTCGTCCTCGCTCTCCTGCTGTCAGATTAAGTGTTGACGAGCTCAATTGTACAAAGTATGAGAGAAAGCATCTTGCAATAGTTGTTACGGTGAAAAAACTCTGCAAACAAATATAAAGAAGCACAAACAGTTAATGAATCCAAGGAGGCGAAGCTTGAACTAGTTGTAGAGATATTGTCGTCATAGGAGCAATACAAAAAGTGCTGGGAGTTAATTTTTGATGAAAGGCTTGACGGATGCTCTCCCTAGTGCCTCTTTGGCAGAATAAGGCGCTCTGTGGACACAGGGCCTACAGTCAGAAGCATGCGGTAATAATGTGCACTGTAAATACAGTATGTTGTAATATGGCTCAGCAGACGCCTCTCCTCACTCTGGCAATGCTTTCCGTCGGAGTTGGCCTTCGTTCAGTAAACAGAAAGCTGCGCAGTTTGTGCGCCTCACAGCCAAGGGTTCGTCTTCTCATTTTTTTGCCCCCCCGCAATCCCTGCTGCTGGTGCTGCAACTGTAGTCCTACCTGAGCTCAATGCTTCCCAACCTGGTCACTTTTAACTTAACTTGAACTTTACTTTAGGCACTGTTATCTTTAAATTCTTTACTATTTAAGACAAAAATGAAGAATACACTCACAAATGTGCATTCCACTTTGACTAAACATCATCTTAGCGGCATCAGGTTGAGAAGCATTGATTTGGCTTGTAAAAACCTTGCTAAGTAGTGCCATGGCCTTACAGAATCACCACTGCTGTAGCATCAGAATGTGTGCTGTCAGGTTGAAGCCCTTACTGTAGATTGTATTTGATCCGTAGTCCAGCTCAACCAAGTCCTTATCTTTTGAGTTATTTTGCTGTTACTCAGGTTTAACTCCTGCCTGATGAGTTAGATACAGTTAGATACGGTGGCCGTCAAGGGCAACCGCGCCACAACGGCCAAAAACACTTCAATTTGGAGAATCGCACTGCAGTTTTAAAACGATGCAAATAAAAAACACCAATGTGCCGAAACACATGAAAAAGAGGGAACATCTTCACCAACTCGACAAAATATGCGCTACTAAAAGTGCTGCATAAACAAAACGCTGCAAAAAGCTCAAAACACAAAGGAAACGGGGACACTTAAAAGTGATGCTATGCTTATAGCAGATCTTCAATAATATCGGAAGGAATCATGTGATCACATTGTTAAAATATGATGATAAAATTAACATTTTCTGTAAGTTTCCAGTGACAATGACAGTTGGCAAATTTATAATCCCAGAACGTCAACAGGTGCTCTGGTCCCAGCTGTGTGCATCACTTTTTAGTGTCCCCGTTTCCGTTGTGTGAGCCTCTTGCAGCGTTTCTTCATTTGCATGTTTTTTGGCACATTTGTGTTCTTTTATTTTATTTATTTATTTATCGTTTTTGAAAGTGCAGCGCGTTTCTACCAATGGAAGTTTTTTTCTGCCGTTGTAGCCGATTTGCACGGGTTGGCCACCTTAGACAGCGGATCCTGGGTTATTACTGTGACCCCCCTTCCTTGATAAACCTGCCCCCAACAGCTGTATTCAGAGCAGCAGAGATCCCTTAGACAGAAGGCGTATGTCACCTACCGACATGTTCAATATGCTTAACCTGTACCCTCTTCACTCTCCGTCCTCTCCCACTTTTCAGGCTTCAACGTGGGCCGCAGTGCTGGCGGGCGCTCCACGGTGCGGGAGATCAACCGGGACGCGTGCCACTTCCCCGGCCTGCCCGTGCTGCAGACGCTGCTGCCCAAACACACCAACGTGCCGGAGCTCTACTTCCTGCTCATGGCGCTGTTCCTGCAGCAGCCCGTCACCGAGCTGCCGGACAGCCTGCAGGTACATGTCAGTATCCCCAACCTTTTTATTTTTCTAATTATACAGAATTTTACTCAACAAATGAATGCATTGTCCCCTAACTAATATTCTTTACTTGCCTCATTGCACATTATCCCTTACATATACTCTAAATACTCTCTGTTTAGTGTCTGGGCCTACATTCCAAAGCTTCAGATACACTGAAAAAACTGGAACGTTGACTTTAGTTAAATGTATTCTGTCAACAAATGTCGGTTAATTAAGTTACTTGAAAGCAATAATATTACGTTGTACTTAATGATTTATTGAAACACTATACAATGTTGTTTTATTTCAACTTAATATTATTGCTTTCAACTAACCTTATGTGAAATCTGTTGAAATAATACATTTGATTAATGTCCACATTTCAGTTTTTTCAGTGTAGTTTATCGTGGTGTCCCATTTCACATATCTCAATGATGTCTTATGATTGTACTTGTATTTTCAAACTGTTGGTGAGGATGTGTCTTTCTGTATTTCCTATCAGTTTGACCTGGACTCCCTCTGGACGTTCATTTTTGGCATACCAGCCTCTAGTGGGACAGTGGTGGGCTCCATCCACAACGTGTACACCGAGGCCGCCTTCCTGCTGCTGGCCATGCTGCGCAGCATGCTCAACCTGGTGAGGAACACCCTCCAGCCTACACTACACTCACTTACACTAACATCATTGTAGTGTCATACTGTAAGTCATTTTTGTTGGGGAATCATTTGCTTAGGTATTCAACCTTTGACACAGTTCATAATTTTCCTCTTTTCACTGTCTCCTTTCCCACGGCATAGGTCTACGGCCTTGGGTATTGCTGCTATCTCTCTTAAGGAGGGGCAGCTTGGGCGCATTGTTGTTGCCAGCTTATGACCGAGCACAAGCTGACATGAGATAGTTTATTGTTCAGGGACATCTGGACGCCCTTCTTTTTAGGAACGTAGGTTCCCTGGCGCACATTCTTTTCTATGGACGACAGCTCTAGTTAGATTCAGGGTCCATATTTGTTTAGTCTCGCTGATAAAGAATGTCGATTATTACACTCCGAACTAGTTAAAACCTGGAACTACAGAAGAGTTCTTCAGAATTGATAGTGGCATCTCAACCGTGTGGTCGGATCGTGGCCCGTGACATGTCTTGTGAATTCTCCGGCCGAAGCTCCAAATAAACCGTCAGTGTTTTGCCATCAAAGCTCCAGCTCTCCTCGTGTCTCTCTGAGTCCTGACTCCAATTGCTTCAGAAGTTTCCCCCACAATTTTAATATCCATGTTATTGCCATTTTCAAAAATAACATAATTATCCTAATAACATATAAATTGCAATCAAAAACAACACATTACACACTTGCATAATGTATGTAAATACTGTCCTATGTTCACATATATTGTGTTTTCCTAGAAAGTTGGTCTAATACACTGCATTCCTACTTATTCTGTATAATTTATCAAATGTATTTTATAGATGTATCTTTCTATTGTTGGGTTAGGGTTAGTAAATTAAATGCATACAATTTATGTTTATTTTTTACTTTCTATTTAATTGTATTTAATTATATATCTCACTCTCGTTAAGATGGTGCTAACAGTTGAACGAAAGTGCAGTAAATTATATTTAATTTCATGATGAAATCATAATGTCAGGATTATTATTCCAATTACATATTTAAGAGACATATTTACACATCTTTTTGATAATGAAATTCAACACACCTCAGCAAAGCAGATAACATGTCAGTCTATTAGTCATTTTTAAGTGGTGATTTCCCAACAGTTCCTGCCTGGATTCTTTAAAAGCATGATTTTAAGCTCCATTAATCCAGCTAAAATGACTCGACACACATGCTATTTTCATCCTCATTCAAACACACCTGGGAGTTTTTCAGTGGCTCTCACAGTGCTCTCTGCTGAGAAGCTACACTCGACCTCCTGGGAAATTAGAGCCTAGCGCTCCCTCACGGCACAGGCTGCTACTGAAGAAGTTCACTTAAATCCTCCAAACCAGTCTAAGATTGAAAAACCAGCACTTTCATTGCTTCTAGATATGAAGCTTGAATAAACAGTTTGTTTTCCTTTGCGTCTCTTTCCAGCCGTGGCAGTCAGAGGAGGAAGGCTCCTGGCTGCGGGAGTACCCGGTCACCCTCATGCAGTTCTTTAGGTATCTTTACCACAACGTGACCGACCTGGCGTCTATGTGGCACAGCGCTGAGTTCCTCTGTGCCCTGGCAGCGACTGTCTTCCCTTTCAACATCAGACCCTACTCCGAGATGGTAAGGCTCTACAATTGTTTTCGGAAGCCATAGAGTGGTGGAAGTAAGCCTCACAAGTCTCCCTTTTTAAAAAATTCAATAAAAAAAACAATGGGATTTTTCCATTGGAATTTCGAATATGCCAGAAAATAAAATGTAAACACACATTTATGATCAGTTTTGTTTAGCAGGATAGCAAGTTATAAATACATGTTAGAAATCACCCAATCTTTAACAAGCTGTACAGTGTCAGTGTCTCAAATGTAAATGCTTCCCTGTAATAAAGTGTCATGTGTATCCTGCATGATCCTGTTTTTAAAATAAAATCTTGATAAATTCTCTTCACCCGCCTTCTGTTCCAGGTCACTGATTTGGACGACGAGGCGGGGTCTCCCGCAGAGGAGTTCAAGGCCTTTGCCGGGGACTCCGGTATGAACCGCAGCCAGTCTGAATACTGTAACGTGGGCTCCAAGACGTCTCTCACCAACCACCCTGCCAAAAAGTACGTCTTCGACTTCATGAGGGTCCTGATCATGGACAACCTCTGCATGACCCCGGCCAGCAAGCAGACGCCCGTCATCGACCTGCTGCTGGAGGTGAGGACGCGCCGTGCAGAACTTAAATTCAGCAAACTTTTCCTTCCCATCATAATTCTTAGTTTATTAATGGTTGCAAATGTGTGTTTTCTGCTGCCAGGCCTCCCCTGAGCGCTCCACCAGAACCCAGCAGAAAGAGTTTCAGTCCAACATCCTGGACGGCGTCATGGAGCATCTTCTGGCTGCTGATGTGCTGCTAGGTAAGACTACAAAAAATCAGGCCCTTTTTCTTTTCCTCACCACTCTTCCTTCTTGTGCTTAAGTAAAAGTAAAAATACAAGAGAGTAGGAATACTCTGTTACAAGTAAAAGTCCAAAAGTCTTAGCATCAAAATACTATATACTTAAACTAAAGTAACGAAAGTAAAAATACTCATTATGCACATCTAGATACTTCACACTGTGCGTTCCTATGTTGTTTCATGCAGGCTTTATAAACGTGAACAAATAGTCCACCACAGTGACAAATATAATACTCAATTACCAAGGTTTGAATGAGAAGACAACTTCTTTTTCCAGCATGAGTATTACATACATTATGATGATTTGGCAGAAATTGTACTGATGAGCATGCTGCAGGACAGCTTGGACACATTTCTTCGATGGCCGCAACACGAGTCAGCAAATCAGTGTTAAACCCGGAGAACTGCAAGCATCTTCAGTTTTCTGAACGGCTTCTTGAGTTATACATAGTCTATAGTCTGCAGTCTATTACAGCAAAGTACACTACACCAATATTATAGGCTATACAAAACATTCATATATTTTTTATTTGTATCCTTTAATATGCATCACCTCTGACCTCATTGGCTCTGGTTTCAGACAGAGGGTGAAAAGAGGTCCTGCAGCACAGGCAGTATGAGGAAAATAAGACTCTTTTAAACAATTAAGGTCACCTATTGTACTTTTAATTGAACTATTCATATCTTAAACTGCACTGTAACTTTTATTTATGTATTTTTTCTTTTAATGTTTATTTTTTTATCTTTGCTTTTTAACGACTGTTTTTAAATGCCATTTTCTTAATGTCTTTCCTTTTTGTAAAGCACTTTGAATTGCCTTGTGTTGAAAAGTGCTATATAAATAAACTTGCCTTGCCTTGCCTATTATGTACAATCCACTTTTTCATGTCTCTTCTACATCAACATGTGTCCCCTCTGTAAAAAGAGATTCTGAAAGTTTCAGGAAAAAATATTCACTCTCTTTTTGTCCTGATCCATTTCTATAAAAACCTGTCTGAAAATGAGCTGATCAGATTTTGGCCACTTTGTGATGTCATAATGTTTTTTTGTCTTGTGTAACCATTAGCCAATCACCAATCAAGGTAACCCCCCCCCACCTTATCACCTGAATCTCCTCCTAGAGCACCATTGTGTTCTTTCTAACCAAATATCTCTCAGAGGGGTGTGGGGAGTGGCTCCTTATTTTCATCTAAAGTAACAGACAGAGAATCAGCACTTTTGAAACAGGGCTGAAACAGAGGGGATTATGGGATGCTGCAATGATCTGTTTGGTATTTCGAGCCAAACACTTCAGAGACATGTTTTGTATACATCTGAGACCTATAATATATTGATGAAAAACAGTATGATAGGGGACCTTTAAAAGGATGATGACATGTACAGTAGAGCCACAACATACAAATATGATCCTGAAAACTAGCAGAATAGGGCCCCTTTAAACCCTTTTCATTCCTTCAGTAATGTGATTCTACTGTAAGATGAAGCATTCGTAGAATAGTTGCACAGGAGTCACAGAAAATGGCAGCTGATCGCCTCTCTTGCTGCTCCTCCTCTCAGGTGAAGATGCCTCTCTGCCCCTCAGCAGCGGGGGCAGCTATCAGATTCTGGTCAACAACGTGTTCTACTTCACCCAGCGTGTGGTGGACAAGCTGTGGCAGGGCATGTTCAACAAGGACTCCAAGCTGGTGGTGGACTTCATCGTGCAGCTCATAGGACAGGTACAAACCAACAAATCTTCAAGATCCAGAATGTGTGTGTATTTGCAGCGATGAGGTTATTTTTGTTGTTGACCAAAGGAAAACATACGAAACATTCAGGTTAAAAACAGCAGTACATACAAAACAAATATATGTCATACAGTATAAATCAAGGATATTTTTGGACTTACGGTCATAAGAATATATTTAAGGTCAGAAGAGTATAAAGTTAGTCTCAATAAAATTAAACCGGTGTGAATTTATTCTACATTATGTTAACAAAAAGTACAAAACATTTGTCTAAACCTAGCAAAGAAACAATAAGCAGGGTATATTTGATGTCTGTAAACCTAGCAACGGTTATATTGTATTGATGTCCCCTCCTGTACCTGCAGTGTTGCTGCAGGCATGAGGAGGCCAGACTACATTTCCCATAGAGCTGATGATTGTGCCAGAGTCAAATCATAACAACCACACGTATCACACCGACACACAGGCAGAGTCTTTCAGGGAAATGAAACAGTCTGTCTGTGAGTGTTCCTCCACTTAATGTAACCAGTGCACACACTCAGCATAAATTAGATAATCAGCAGCCATCTGACTGCAGCCCTCACGTTCTCATTTCAGCCTGTGAATGCAGGGAAATCAGATGCATCAGCTGGAGTCTGCTGCATCCTTGTTAGTGTGTCTCTGTTGCCCCTTTCACACCAAGGCTTTTCCCGTTCTAGCTCCGTGCTAGAGCTTTTCTGGAACCGGTTCTTCGGTTCAGCTCCCGCTCTGTTCACACCGCTCAGACCCCGACTGGTGCTGCGTCATCGTTTGCGTCATGACGTAACCGTTTGCGTGCCTGCTTCATAAAGCCAAACCGCCACTCTGTCCGAGGTCTCGCTTTTGGTCCCGATAATCCTTCTTGACTTTTTTCAATTTGTTGCCAATCTGTTCAACGGTACGGTCAAAACCAGCGGTTGCCATCTCTTGCTGCAATTGTTGTAGAATTGCTTTGGACCGCGTGCTCCCCTCCAGCTTCCTCTGTACCTCTTTGGAAGACCAGATTCCCAGGAGGTAGCTGGTCTCTTCAGTGGACCACTGCTGCTTGTTAAGTTTCTCCATCGTTGTGTACAAACTGGATAAAACCCGGGCTTTTTGTTGTTGTTAGAGGTTGATCCCATCCCTGCCCCTACCCCCGCCTCCGATGTAAGCGTGACGTATGCGGTGCTTGCTTTCTAGACCGACAACTTTTTGGTGCTTGAAACGAACCGGATTCCGGAGCTTAGAGGCGGCTCCGTTGCGGTGTGAACAGGAAAAACCTGTGCTTTTCAGGCTCTAGCTCCGAACCGGCCCTGGAACCGCGTTGGTGTGAAAGGGGCATGAGTGTATGTGTGATTGAGTTAGACGCATGTGCATTTTCCAAATATTTACTATATTTAAGGTTAAGTTTAGGATAAAAGATATCTGTTTATATAGGTTGTAGTTGGTCTACAAATGGTCTACAAAGGCTATAATCGTAAAGGTTCCTCCAGAAGGAGTTTCTCTACCACACACTCCCCCCCCCCCCCCCCCCCCCCCCCCCCTGCCTGAAACGCTTACATTGGACTCCTTTGTTGACTTCCGTAACAAAGTGACATCACTATGTTACACAATTTTACATGATGGGCTATGGGGCAGGACCTCTCTTCAGGGTTGACTAACCACAACAGAGCGGGCCAGCTACCCAATCACAACAGACTGGGCTCTGGTTTCAGACAGAGGGTGAAAAGAGGTGCTGCAGCACAGGCAGTATCAGAAAAATAAAGAGCTTTTTGAACATTAGAGCATGGAGACATGTCCCAGTAGGGGCACAACATACAAACAACCTGAAAAAGAGCATAATATGTCCACTTTATTGTAGAGATTACACTGACTATAGATACAACTCCACTTCAAACATCTTTAAAAATGTCCCTTGAACTCCAAGGTTAAGTTAAAAGAAGAGCATTAAAGTCATGTGTTTGGACTTGGATCCTCCTTTTCATGCTTCTGAACAGACTACTGTGCAAGTGAGAAGATTAGGAGATTATGCTCTGAAATTAATGTGTCCAACCATAATGCGGCCTTGTGGCTTGGAAACGTCCTGGAGTGATTAGGGATTAGGAAGCACTTCATGCCGAGTCATGCAGAAGGAATTACAACTTATTTACATTTCATTTAAATCAGTGGACACATGACACACGTAAGTACACCCAATACAACGGGTGCTTGCTGAATTTGGCAACCAATTTATGAACTAAGTAAGGTTTAAAATTACTTATTTTTATAGTGCCTTTGCATCTATTTCTCATGTTTTTGACTCAGTAGATATAATATCAATAACAACTCACGTAGCTACTGCACTACCCTGTGCAACTTCCAACATCTCACAAGACTAAACTCTGTAACTTTTTAGTTTCCTAAACATCAGATCTTGATGGAAGGAAGCCTGTTTTACAAATATGTATCCACATTAAGTCTTTAAGCAGTTCTCTACTCAGACACAGAAACAACAACACAACAAAGCTACATTCACAACCCTCTGAGGACTTAACCCAGTTCAGCCCTGGTTGCTCAAACAAATCTTCTTTCCCATGCTGAAATATTTCCACAGCAGCTTTATCCACATGCAGAGCACAGCAGAGCACAGCAGAGCACAGCAGCGTACCAGCCGCACAACTAAACATCTCTTATTTTTACATTATGGCTCTGACCTCCTCCACCTGTTTGTTTTCTTCCTCCTACAGTCCAAGCGGCGTTCCCAGGGTCTGTCCCTGGACACCATCTACCACTGTCTGAACCGGACAGTGCTGTACCAGCTTTGTCGACCCCACAAGACGGTGGCTCAGCAGGTGGCCCTGCTGGACGCCCTGAGGGTCCTGACCGTCAACCGCAACCTGGTGCTGGGGCCGGGCAACCACGACCAGGACTTTGTGGCCTGCCTGGCTCACTGCTTCATCTGCCTGCACAGTGGAAGGTAAGGCCCCGGGGCTAAAAGAGTCTTTCTCTGTACTTGTGTGATAGTGTTTTCTGACACCTACTGGAATATTCATGCTCATAAACTGTGTCGGGATGAACTTCACCGCTCAGTCTGACCACACTAACCGGCAGCAAAATGTGCCGTCTGCTAAAGTAACATTCGTACTACATTTCCAATTTACATACTGCACTCAAGTGTTATTGCACAACAGTGGTGTCGTAGTCTGTATTTGTTTATGTGTTTTTACATCATTGAATATTGATGTAATTTCACAGCAGGGGTGTCATAGTCTCTATTGTTACGTGTGTGGGGGTTACCAGGGGACATGGTGGTTGTACAGACCTGCGGTATCTCTCCCTGAGACACCACGGGTGCAGCAACCTGAAGGAGCTGCAATGTGCGGACAGGGTGTCCTGGAGGGGGTGGGACACATTGTCTAGAGGGGAGGACAGCTTGTCTGCCATTCTCCTGTCTCCCACCACCTCCACAGTGTCCAGAGGACTCCTGTCTCCCACCTCCTCCACAGTGTCCAGAGGACTCCTGTCTCCCACCTCCTCCACAGTGTCCAGAGGACTCCTGTCTCCCACCTCCTCCACAGTGTCCAGAGGACTCCTGTCTCCCACCTCCTCCACAGTGTCCAGAGGACTCCTGTCTCCCACCTCCTCCACAGTGTCCAGAGGACTCCTGTCTCCCACCTCCTCCACAGTGTCCAGAGGACTCCTGTCTCCCACCTCCTCCACAGTGTCCAGAGGACTCCTGTCTCCCACCTCCTCCACAGTGTCCAGAGGACTCCTGTCTCCCACCTCCTCCACAGTGTCCAGAGGACTCCTGTCTCCCACCTCCTCCACAGTGTCCAGAGGACTCCCCAGGACAGAGCTGGCCTTCCTTATCAGTCTGTTCAGTCTCTTCCTGTCAGCAGCCGGGATGCTGCAGCCCCAGCAGGCCACGCCTTAAAAGATGGCTGATGCCACAACAGAGTCATAGAAGGTCTGCACAGGAGGCCCACCTGCCCCCCAAAAGACCTCAGTCTCCTCAGCAGATACAGTCTGTTCCTTGTAGAGAGAAAGGGAGCAGTGCAGTTACAGTATCCGAACAGTCCAGTTTATTGTTCAGATGAACACAAAGGTATTTGTAGGATTTCACAATCTCGATGTCTGCTCCCTGGATTTTCACTGGTCTCGGGAGAGACTGTTGGTGCCGTCTTAAGTCCACCACCAGCTCCTTGGTCTTCCCTGCGTTGAGCTGGAGGTGGTTCCTCTGGCATTAGAGGGTGAAGTCCTGCGTCAGTTCCCTGTACATCCTGTCGTCCTCATTAGAGATGAGGCAGACGATGGCCGAGTCGTCAGAGAACTTCTGAAGGTGTCAGGTAGCAGTGCTGTGGGTGAAGAGAATGTGCATGTAAATGGTCTGCAAAGGCTGCATTGCAAAGTATAGCCACCCCCCCCCCCCACCTGAAACGCCTCCATTGGACTCCTTTGTTTACTTCTGTAACATAGTAACATCACTATGTATCACACACACGCTGGACATCTCTAAGCAGTTGATTCATCTCAACAGAGCCATTTTAATAATATGTTGTTTACATTTGGTTCCTCAGCTCCATCTGTTCTACTCATAGGGATTATTTCTGCACAGCTCTGGCTCTGACAAGTATTATACCATCAGTTTACCACAGACTCTCACACTTCAGTTTGTTATTTTCTGTGACTCAGACGGTGATTGTGTCAGTGTTTCTTTTAATAGAGTGTGTCCTTTCCAAAAGTGCAGCAGGTGGGTAGAATCTGATTTTCCTAGCCTGCTGGGGACACAATATGCTGTAACACATACACTGACACTAAACAATCCCCCCCCCTCCACCTACTTCTCTATGTGGCAGTTTAGCAGCAAGTCTCTGTTTGTCTCTGCAGCAGCGTGGAGGGCTTCGGTCTGGAGGCGGAGGCCAGGATGACAACCTGGCACGTCATGATGCCCACGGAGAACGAGACGGACACTACGCACAGCCAGGACGTCAGCGAGGGTGAGGCACTGTGTGTGTGTGTGATCCGTACCAAACAAGGATTTTTTTATTAAGTTTGTAGAATAGTGTTGGTTGGCCGGGATTTATTTGGCGATCAACATTTTGCCTATACCAAACATTTCGCTAACTACAATTGGATATGATTAACCCTTAAATGTGCATTCAGATTTAAATATCTGTTTTCTACATTACACCCATATTACACTGTTATTACACCAATATTTCACATTGATACACCCCTTTTACACCTTTTTTACACCCAAGTTACACCCATATGACACCATTAATACACCCTTATTACACCCTAATTACACCCATGTTACACTGTTATTTGTATGATACTGTTATTAGACCCATATTACACCCATGTAAAACCAATATTACACTGCAACTACCCTGTTATTACACCCATTTTACACATGGCCACGGCCTGTCAAATGACTGTATCCTACAGGGTACAGAAACCATTTAAGGGTCAATTGTGCACCCCTATTGTCAACCATCTAAATGATTATCCCCTGGTGAGAAAGCCATACTTTATACATGTGTTAAAAATAGAAATGTGTTTTTCAAACACATATTCCAAAGTCTTATTACGTACAATTCTTTTTAGAAACATGTTCTCTTAGATTTGTTAGTCTTAGGTCTATCTGTATAATTTATTTTCTCAAATGTTACTTTAGGATTATTTCCAGCTTCTCATGTCGGACAGGCTTAATTCCAATTAATGAGTGAGACAAATTCGGACTCAAATTCAGCACATTGTTATAGTTTTGGGGGTTTTAAAACCTTATTCAAAGCAACATATATTAGTAAGGGTGTCATGATACATGTATAACATATGTGTGTAACGTGTGCTTTTTTGTGTTGCTAAAAATTCCAAATCAAAGTATTGTAGGAATAATAGTAAATGTTGTGCTCCCTCCACAGGGCGGCAGCTGCTGCTGAAGGCGGTGAACAGGGTGTGGACGGAGCTGATGCACAGCAAGAGGCAGATGCTTGAGGACATATTCAAAGTGTCTCTTCCCTGCAACGACAGAGGACACGTGGACATCGCCACGGCCAGGCCCGCCCTGGAGGAGCCGGCCCTGAAGAGCTGGCAGAACCACCTGGGTGAGGCACACACACACACCAAGATACAAAACACACTTACTGGGTGTGCACTAGCTCAGCATCTCTGATCCATGTCTGTGTGAGGTTCATGTCTTACACACTTAATGTTACTTGACAGAATAATTTTCAGTGTTAGCTTGATCTTCAAAATGGACAATAAGAAAAAAAAGACTCATAAAGAATATGCACAAGATGAAGTAATTAAGAAAGTGTATGCGAGAAATCCGTCTTGGAAACAAGCTGTATATTAAAAACAGTAAATATGAAAGTGACAGCAACCAAAGAAAGGGAAAAAAACAGTTTATTCAAACGACATTCATTTGAGACAAACATTTAGCCACCGTCACAAATTATTTATTTTTAAGAGACTGGTATGGGTGCCTTCAAATTGTCTGTGTAAAATGCAACTAGCAACACATAACTGAATATTTAACCCTTAAATGGTTTCCGTATCCATTGGGATACAGTCATTTTACAGGCTGCTTCCATGTGTAAAATGGGTGCGATAACAGTGTAATACTGGTGTTAGATGGGTGTAATATGCATGTAATAACATGGGTGTATTATGGGTGTAATACAGGTTTAATACAGGCGCCATAGGGCTTTAAAAGGGGTGTATTAATGTGTAATACGCATTATAATAACAGTAAAATATGGGTGTAATGTAGCAAATAGCTTGTTATTGATTGTACATAATATCTATACGTGATTGTCCATTTAAGGGTTACATAGCTAATGGTTAACACTTTTCCTTTAACATCCTAAAGAAAATCTTGCAACTCTTTTTTTGTGTTTTAATGCAGCCATTAGTCATGAAAGAAGATTTTCTTTTTACAATTTTGTTTTGGTAGATCTAACTCATTTGGATTGTTTTCTGCTAAAGACTCAAATCTATGAGATCTATTGTTTCAGTCATCTTTTTACCCAGGTTTCAGAATAACATTTGCTTCGTTCACAGTTGTTAAGATAAAACATTCAAAATAATATAAATGTATTTTGTCAGCATCTTACCTTGAACTCATCTTGTTCAAATGGCTTAGTGGGAAAACGCTCATGTAGCCGCTTTGTTTTGTTGTGTCTCTCAGTCCATGAGAAGAAGTGCATCAGTCGCGGGGAGGCAGCGGCGCCGGTGACCCAGTCCAAACTGTCCCGAGTCAGCAGCAACTTCGGCCTCTCCAAGCTGACAGGCGTCCGGCGCAACAAGAGGGAGAACAGCCTGAACAAAAACAACCTGTCTGCACAGGTACACACACAAACAGCTGACACAGCAAATGTACACAACTCATTAAGGCTGCACTATCTGGGAAAAACAAAACTACAATTAATTGTGGGATTAATTTGTTATGTTTTTTTAATTGAAGGTCAAGTACAATGTTACAATTAAGACAGTGATCTTCCTTCCACTTCGATTTGTTTTCTTTTTAGTACTAATCCATTCCAAATGAAAATAAATAACATTAAGAAAGAGTGCATAACAGAAAATCCAAAAATGATATAAACAATATTCCTCTGCTATTCATGGGGGAGTATTTGGAGTTTATTTCGATAAAATATCAAGCACTGCCATTTCTTATATAAACGGCCTACAAATATGAACGTGAAAAGGAGCATAATATGGCCCCTTTAAACCAAATAGGGGTGAGTGGGGGTTTCAGGGATTTCCATATAATGTGGTATTTTATGAGGATCCGTACCAAACACGATCTTTCCTTTTCTTTTCTTTAGTCTGTAGTAAAATATTTGATGTCATGAATATCTCTGCATCTTCACAATACTTAAATCAACATTTTATTTTAACAGATATTGTGCTTCCTGCGATTTGAGTATTGCACTATCCATATTGCCATAATTGTGCAGCCATACAATATTTAAGGTATGTTTGTCAGCTATCTCCCAATGGTGTATATTTGTGTTTAACAGGAGACGTTCCAGTGGATGTTCACACACATTGCTGTTGTTCGAGACCTGGTGGCCATGCAGTACAAAGAATATCAAGAGGTACCACACTCAACACTCAAGTTGTATTTATGTTTTGTTCAGAAACAGTGTGTTCACAAAGACTTTAAGCTGGTTTATTGCAGATGATTCATTACAGCACAAACTGACAGCCTGTAACCGTGCAGGCACATTTTCACAGGCTGGTGTAGCAGCATGTATAATTTATCGTTTTAAAGTGACACATCGTTCCCTCCATCTCCCAGCGGCAGCAGAACGCTCTGAAGTACGTGACAGAGGAGTGGGCGTCCATCGAATACGAGCTGCTGCGTGAGAGGGGCCTCTGGGGCCCGCCCATCGGCTCCAGCCTGGACAAGTTTGTGCTGGAGATGACGGAGGGGCCCTGCCGGATGAGGAAGAAGATGGTCCGCAACGACCTGTTCTATATCCACTACCCATTCATCCCTGAGCTGGAGCCAAACAGCAACTCAGCACAGGTATTCAGCTTTAAATCTGGATTAGTACGTTGCCATGGTCTCATTTCTGAATATTTGATTGGCCGTGAGGAATGGCACAGTGTGCTGGCATGACACAGTCTCTGCTGCCTGATAGTCATCTTGCTTTCTGACGCTGCAGGTTTGAATGAGCAGAAGAAGATTTTCATTCAATAATGTGGATAGATCAGTGCAAACAGATATACTGACTTAAGCATCACAACCACGGGCACGGGTGTCATGCGTGCGTTCCAGTAATAAATAGCACTATATCCAGGGGTGCACACAACTTTCTCAGTGTACCTGGAGTCAGTGTTTGGTACTCCAACTTCTGGCGATTGTCAACGGGGGGGGTGGGGGGTGTTAGTGGAGTGCAGCGCTTCGCGATTGTCAACGGGGGGGGGGGGGGGGGGGGGGGGGTGGTAGTGGAGTACAGAGCTTCGTGACCGCAGAGCGTGTGAACGTTGTGATCAGCTGTTTTAGCGCACTGCTGCTGTACAGACCGCCGTTCACAGCAGCCCTGTCTGTGCACACGGAGACCGACTCTGTCGTCCGGTGAACTAACCGCCAAGTGCGTCGGTATGCAATAGCGCTTTGTGACACAAGTGACGGTACGCATTTCAGATTGTTGCCGCGCATGCGTACCTGCGTACCAGTTATGTGCACCCCTGACTATATCACTGAATTCATGGTCCTAAACTCTCTTTTTCTTATAAAGAATAAACAGATGTTTGTCCCCTGGGATTGACGACAGGAGTAGCTAAGGATTGAGCCACTCTGTCAATAGTGACATATGTGCAGCTGCAGCACCAATCGGGCTCTTACGAGAAATGAGCGGTGTGTAAAGACAACGTTTATAAGCTGAAGCTCAGAAGCACTTCAATGATCCTGTAACATGAGTATAGCTGTTTGAGAGCAAAGTGAATCACACACGGTTGTTTTTTAAGGTATTTCTTTTCTGATAATGGCTTATGAATAAAACATTTGTATAGGGACATAACATTAAACCCTGTGAAATAACTTGTCTGTAGAATTAAATGAAGCAGCCATGAGTTCATAGTCATCTTCAGAACCCTTCTGGAGAAACTGACGTCATAACATCCTCATCCTCCCTCTTTTCACGTTCTCCAGCCCTCTCCTCCCCCTCTGGTGCCCCTGGTTCCCTCAGCCCTGGCTGGGGTCCTTGCCCAGGTACCTCCCATGGGATAAAATAATTGCCGTTGATGCCTGGTGTGACCGCATGGTAGAGAAAAACGTGCAAATCAGAATAAATGCTTTTACAGCAACAACACAGTAACAATTCCGACTTGTCGTGGAGTTGACAGGACATTTCTCTGTGTGTAAATATATGTGCTTGTATCTCCGTACATTTGCACGTGAACATGCATATGTTCAGCTGACTCAGGACTATTTTGGTGTGACTTTGTTGGGTGGTATCCAAAAATGCCTCCTGGCTATTGTACAAAAGAGACTTAATTTTAATGTTTGAACCAATTGAATGGTAACAATGGACAGTCTCTGCATCACAGCTGTTTGATTGCCATACGTTTGAAACTCAAGCCAGTGAACATCACAATATGAGAACGAACAACATTGTGATTAATCTAACCATGTGTGACATATGCATGTAAACTAAATATTCTTCTTCTAAATCAAGATAATGTCCCTCAGTTGGAAGTGAGTATGATCAGGTCACTTTGAAGGACCTGGTTCAGATGTTAAAGGTCCCATGTCATGGCCATTTCTATTGATCATAGTTCCATTGTTTCCATTGTTCCATTGTTTCTACTAAAATAGATTTATATTGTGCAATTTTCCAAAATCACATTGGTTTCTCATACAGCATCTCTGTATAGTATCAGCTTCACTCTCTGTCCTAAACGGCTTGTTGGAGCTCCTGCCCCCCCCTCCCTATGAGCCCAGTGGCCGTCTGCGAGACAGCGAGACACAGCGAAAGGGAGTTTGTGTGTGTGCTCACACACCGACTCACAGCCTCGCCGCGTCCCGCCGTCTCAGGGAGGAGAAATCGGCGGAGCTGCAGCTGAGCGGCTCCGCGGACATAACATAACGGCTCCACGGATTGGTCCATTTGGACCAATCACGGACTTAACGTAACGGCTCCGCGGATTGGTCCATTTGGACCAATGGGTCCATTTGGGTATGGGCACGTCACTGTACCCAGGAAGAAAAAGAGAAATCTCCAACGAGGCGTTCTGGGGCAGCATAGACAGGTCTTTTCTGTGTTAGAGTTTTACTCGCTACAGGGTGTACTTTGAGGGTTTGTGACTCTGCAGACCGTTTACATAAAAACCTTCATAACACACAAGGGGACGGGTAATAACCGGAAAAGCATGACATGGGACCTTTAATGCTCTGCGTCAATGGATTGACAGTTATTCAACTCTTTTATTTTTTTGATGGTTCAAAGGCAAACCGTTTTTTAATATTATTATCATCTTAAAACTATTTCAACTTATCCCAAGCCAAATGTCATAGTGTCGGAGTCCACACACAAGTGGAACTTATGGTGGCCGACCCTAAAAAATGCACTACAACGGCTTAAAACACAAAATGATGCAAATATAAAACACAAACGTGCCAAAACAAATGCAAATGAAGAAACATCTTCACAAACTTGCCAACACATGCGCAGCTTTTACAAAACGTTATAACCGCCAAACGTCAACAAGCGCTCCTGTCCCCGGTCTTAGTGTTTTGAGCTCCTTGCAGTGTTTTTTATTTGCAATGTTTTGTATTTGCTGCGTTTTATTTATGCAGCGCTTTTAGTCAATTCTGCCATGTTTCGTCAAGTTGGTAAAGATGTTTCTTTATTTGCATGTGTTTTGGAACATTTGTATTTGCATTGTTTTTGTTGTAACACGTTGGCCCCTGTCGGCCACCATACTGTATGAACTGTATTAGAGAACTTTTTAAATCCCCGAAATGTACAACAAAATCTACTCGTATACACACAACATATTGAGACATGACTGACTCATTATGCTCATTAAGCATAAGTGTTAATGTTACCAACTCACATCCTTTCTGTTTTGTCCCTCCTCCAGAAGCCTCTCCGTTACCGGCGGGCCATCAGCTACGACAGTAAGGAGTACTACGTGCGTTTGCTCTCTGGAAACCCTGGCATGTACCAGCACTCTGTGGAGCACACCACAGAAGGAGAGACCACCCAGCATGAGCCTGAGCACGGAGAGGACACCATCGCAAGAGTCAAAGGTACAGAGACAACCCCAGGGAATGCTGGCCTGTGACCTGATTTTTGTATTTCTTTTTTTTCCTATGCGAAACACTTCATCACAACTAAAATGATGATGCTAATGAGGTTAACATCAATCTTCAAAGTACACAGTTGTAATGTTAAAAGTGGCCATGATGTAGAGGAAAGTAATCAGATGGGTTGCTCTCATCTATATCCGTGTCTCTAATTAAGTGGGCGCCGTGGGTATTGTAGTATTTTATATCCACTGACTACTGACGTCGCCACTAGATGACAATAGGACTCGGCCTTCTCATGAGAACAATCACATTTCTGTCATTTGATTGAATTTCAATGTATATTCACATTAGCCAGTTACATTGTGATAGTTGTAATCGCCTGGTGGTTTTTAGATAGCACAACCTTTGTTTGTTTTCCTTCTTGGTTTGTGCTCACACTGACATCCCTGTTTTCTCCTCCCTGCAGGCCTGGTGAAGGCTCCTCTGAAGAGGTCCCGGTCCACAGCGGACGGGGCCGACGAAGACAGCCAGGACCAGCTTCAGGAGCAGCTGCTGGAGTCAGGGGGCCCCGAGGAGGAGCAGAGGACCGACAACACGTCCCTGCTGCGCCTCCTGGAGGAGGGAGAGAAGGTCAGAGAGGGACACAAACACTGGGCATTTAAATCACAACATTTCCTTCGGCACACATCAGTGTTAAATACAGAACCTTTTTTTAAATGATTTTGTATTTTGTGTAGAAATGTATTTAGGTTATCTTGGCAAAAGGATATCAGTGTAGCGTTATTTCTGCACTTGGAAAAAAGTTACTTAGAGTATGTATATATTTCATATTGACATGACTGTGTACAAATAAATCAAAATGTTCCTGCAGTTTGGGAACTAAACACAAATTATTCAAGTAAAAAAAAAAAAACCTGCATTAGCTCACAAATATATTTTAGGCGACATAAGACTATGATTAAAATGTCAAAGGTTGTCTATTGGCACTAATAACAGTGCGATCTTCAAATAATACTATTAGAAAAATGAACTGGTCAAGGGTCATTAATAAAAAACAAGTAGTCACATAAGAAGTCATCAACCATACATGTAAATTGACAGTGTGTGCCATATCTTTACTGATAGGGCTTACTATGTCACTTAACTTACATTTACATTTTTGTTCCTAACATCGGCTTATTCACAAACGTGCTTTTTAGTTTTTCACCAGCAGTTACTCAGGAAATCGTGAGCTACACTTTTGGGGTTGCAGTATTCTCTGAAATGCCAGAGCGAAAAGGTGAAGGAGTGAGACTAGCATACCCTGTCAATCAATAAATCAATCGAGATGAATGAAAAGGAGCAAAGAATAAATAATGTTTCTATTGATAATAAAAAAGGCGGTTGCTAATAAGTGATTCAATAAAACTACTAAATGTGCCGCGCCCTTTACGATGTACCCTGTAACAATGCTAGCAATGTCCTACAAAGATACTTCATCCGTGCACCACCACTCTATTGGCTGTTTTTTAAATCCTGATTTTTCATAATTCTCTAATTCTCTCTTTATCATTAGGCTATTGCTGGCAGCCATGTCCGCAAATACTTTAAAAACAAATGTTTTACAAAAACTTTAGAGCCTTCCCACTTTACACACAAGTAGTGACTTTTTACTTGAGGGATTTAGACCATAGACTTATTTTTTAGAAACCTTTCTTTCTCTAAACGTAATGAATGCACTTGTTTCCTTTGTTCTCTGTTCCAGATTCAGCACATGTACCGCTGTGCCAGGGTGCAGGGTTTGGACACCAGCGAGGGTCTGCTGCTGTTTGGGAAGGAGCACTTCTACGTCATCGACGGCTACACCATGACGGTGTCCAGGGAGATCAGGGACATCGACACGCTGCCCCCCAAGTAGGTCCAGGCTTCTGTCTACCTTAGTAGCAGAATCAGAACTTTACACCAGGGCTGCATTAAGTCATCCTGGAGCTGCGGCTCACACAGTTACTGTACTCTCCTTCCCTGAATAAAGCATGACATCATTCCTCAGGGCGCTGCAGTGGGAGTTTGCCGGGATGATGTCATTTTACTGATAGAGCATGCGTTGTGAAACTCAGAGGAGATTTGACAATTTATCTTGTGTCTGTCTGTTCCTCTGAGACACAACGTGAAAACAGACAACAGATGCTGCTTTGATTTAATTGAGTTCCCCCTCAGGTGTTTTACTCTCTCATCTGTCCTATACAAGAGAAACGTGCGAGGGCCCACTCAATTAGCTCACAGTGTGCGAAAAAGCACACGTCCCACCGTCCGCAACGTGTTATTTACAATATCTGACAAGTAGATCTTTCAATTGACTTGTCAGACGGACAAGTGACGTTTTTCGCCCTTATTGACAAATAAAGATAAATTCAGAATCGAGAACCGAAAAGAACCGGAACCGTTAAAATCCAAACGATACCCAACCCTATGTGTGATGCAGTAAAATCTCACGTGTCGTAAAAACCGATCGACTCTCTAAAAGCTTTTTCTTACACTGGCTCATATGTCAAATCAATAAAACATGATATTAATGTGACAGTTTATAATCCTTTGCTTCCAAATGTATCAAATAAAAACAAAAAACTTCTTATATTTTAGTGTTTTAAAAAAAACCTCATGTGCATTTGAAATGTTAACTTGATTAAAGACATTTCAGAATGTGGTACTTTAGAACTCTCACACACCGACTCACAGCCTCGTCGCGTCCCGCCGTCTCAGGGAGGAGAAATTGGCGGAGCTGCAGCTGAGAAAAGATTGAGTGTGTGTGTGTGTGTGTGTGAGGAAGTCCGTCTAAACTCTTTAGAAATGCTTACACATGAAATTATAAATTGAATTAATTATTGTATTAATTGCCACATTCATTTATAAAAAGCAGTAATAGTATTCCATTGTATTTCTGTCCAAATATTCATGATCATTTGTCAAATAAGGAAATATGATTTGGAGATGAAACTTTCATCATCATTAGTTTTGCGATTTATTAATCTAAAAACACAACACTTTTTTTTAACAATATTTCTAGAAACATTAAATTATAAATTGAACAAATGATTATTATTATTGCCATATTGATTTATAAAAAGTCATTCCATTTATTGAATTATTCTTAGCTCGCAGGTCGAATAAAGATATATGAAGTAAATATCACCATTACATAATAAAGTATTTAGCAATGTATCAAATAAAAACAGGAAACTTCTCATATGTTGCCTATGCGTTTGCCCAATTTAACATTTTCTAAAATCATTTGAAAAAATGTATGCTAATGAAAGACATTTGGATCAAATGTTTACACAATACGATACAATACAAAGGGGCTTTATTGGCATGACCACATATTACACTATATGGAACTTTTATATATGAAATTATAAGTTCTAGTCATAATTGCCACACTGATTTAAGAGCGTTAAGAGTATCCCCTGCATTTTTGTCATTAACGGTCCTGTAGGTGCTGCTGTAATTGTTTGTTATGTGAAATTACAGTACATAGTGCTGAATGGGTTAAATGTAACTTAGTCGACACTTAATGCTTCACTGTCTGTGTCCAGTTTGCACGAGGCCATCATCCCCAGAGGAGCGAGGCAAGGACAGAGCCTGCTGAAGAGAACCTGCAGCATATTCGCCTATGAGGACATCAAGGAAGTGCACAAGAGACGCTACCTGCTGCAGGTCAGTGCCCAAATAACTACCTCTACCTAACTAACTACCTATTTCTAGTGTTTAACTCGCCACTTGTTTTGTCAATTTGAAATGACCTATATGTCTTCCCCTTTCAGCCCATGGCAGCGGAAGTCTTCTCTGCAGATGGGAGGAACTACCTGTTAGCCTTCCAGAAAGGAGTCCGCAACAAAGTTTACCAAAGGTACTGAACACACATATGCACCTAAGGCTCGGAGTGCCTGTTGCCGAACTGTAAATGCTGCTCCTTTTCATAAGCAAAGAATATTATGAAACACTTTAAAGACACCATATTATGCTTTTGGTGGTGTTGCCTTTCCTGTAGTGTGTTATATAGTTTTTGGTGCATGTAAATGGTCTGCAAAGACTACAATTGTGGGAGTTCCCCCCCTCCCTAAAATGCTTCCATAGGAATCCGTTGTTTACTTCAGTAACATAATGACATCACGATGCAACACTCATGCTTCTATTTGCTAGCCCTACAACACAATGTACCTGTTAGGTGTTTGGTGCTTTTTCAACCCTCATAAATGGATGCGATGAATTAGTTCTAATCGCCTAAGATACACTGCAGTTTTCTATATACTCAGGTCATTTGTGTATACAGTGCACCATTCAGCAGCGATTCAGGCTGGATTCATTGGTAGAAAAGAGGGATTTTACACAGGTTACTGCTGTGTATTAGAATACAATCCTCACAGAGGAGGTTGTAAGCCTCTTATAAAGCATCACTTCTACTTCCAGTAGATCACTGTAATGCCAGTCATCCAGAAATGTTTTGTAAATGAATGCAGATGGAACTGTATTTTCTTGTGTAATGTATTTTTTTTCACTACCTGCAGGTTCTTGGCGGTGGTGCCTTCACTGGCTGACAGCTCCGAGTCGGTTTCAGGACAGAGGCCCAACACCAGCGTGGAGCAAGGGTAACACCGCCTCTGTGTTTGAAGATGATTTATGGCAGAATCATACATAGTCATATTTGTTAACTTCACATTGTTGTGATAAATGACTTATTTTAAATGATGGATATGGGTTTCTGTAGTCATGTATCAAATGAATGACCTACATCTACAGGGTAAAATAAAGAATAAAGACTCATTTGGTTCCACCACACATTCGTACAAACATCACAATTGCTTTGTTACTAAATGTTGTTTGTTTATAAAGTAAAGTACTGATGTCTTCAACTAAACATCCTGTCTATCCTGGTGCTTGTCAGATCTGGGCTCCTCAGCACGCTGGTCGGAGAGAAGTCAGTGACTCAGAGATGGGAGGTGAGAAACTACACCAATGTTGTTCAGTTAAGTACCTTAAAAGTATAGAAGTGTCAAACTATAAGCAATGTTTTCTTACTGTCTGTTTTCCAGCGAGGAGAGATCAGTAACTTCCAGTACCTGATGCATCTGAACACGTTGGCAGGACGATCCTACAACGACCTCATGCAGTACCCCGTGTTCCCCTGGATCCTGGCCGACTTTGACTCAGAGGTGAGTGCAGCATCCGTGGAAATGAAACGTGTTAACGGCAAGAATCCCCCTTTAGGGCGTGTGTCCACAGAGCGCCTTCTTCTGGCAGAAATGAGGACAGAGATAAAAGTCACACACTTACCCGCAGAAGCATTCAGGTTTCACCAGCCGATCTGCTCAAACAAATGAGCTTTTCAATCCTTGTTATGATCATTTCCATCTGAAATACACAGCCATAAACCCAGAATGAGAATCACAAGTCAGAATCTTCCCAGCTATTTTACGGCGTTGCAGCAGCAAGGTACAGATAAAAGGCAAAAGGAACAGTACACTTAAATATTAAATAAAAAGTGAGGCACGAGTTGTTAAGAATAATAAATAAATAAATAAGTCAAACAAATAAGTACGTCTCCCCGTTACCTGCAGACTAGGCATGATGGGTAATCTGTGACGTTTTGCTCTCTCAAGAGTTGGGCCATGTTGTCCTCATGCGCCAATGAGCAGCTCTCACAGGAAAGAACGAGACCCCGCCTCCGACACTGTATCCAGTTCTTATTATACATCCATGGGTACCGGGGATTATTGCATCTGGTTAGCTAGCTATGCTAACGAATATAAGGAGCTTTTTCTACATCCAGGTGGAAGAGAGCTCTCTCCTCTCACACTGAGAGGATAACCTCAGCTCAGTCAGATAAAGGCACACCTTTATATGATCATTATAGTTATAAAGAAATAAGAGAATAAATGAAAAACAGGTATAAAATACTATATGACAGTAAAAAAAAGTTGTTATTAATAAACAAGAATACAGTTTTAAAGTTGATTGATTTGTAAAATATCCAAAAATAAAATCTGCTTACAGTTCTGTTTCATATGGGTGTTGAGAGATGTATCCATAGATCTCTTAATGTTGTTCTCAAAGTGCACCAGATTGATGCTTTTAACTTCAATATAAAAATAAAATCTTCCCGGGGGAGCATGCCCCCGGACCCCGCTAGAGGAGGTTAGGTCCCCCCACTTAAATCATGTTCACATGGATAGGATACTAATTACATTTGCACACATCTTGTGTCCATATCTTTCTGATTGGGTGGATGCATGCGCGAGTCATAGTGATCTTTGGCACACTGATTTTTGTTTAAATGGCACTTCATATCAAAAAGGTTGCTGACCCCTGGTATAAAGTATTACAAAAGCCAGTACAAATTTGTATATTTTTTGTAAAAAGATATTGTGTAAATTGGATATAAGTGCATATTGCACTTAAGCATTGGTAAAGCACAAGAGTGACATTAAGTCTATGTTGGCGTGGTGGTCTACCAGGTCCAATAAGGCCCGGAGCGGCCGCATAAAAGATGCTCGGAAAAAGACGCTTGGTCGAGCACTTTTTCTACGGTCGGCTGCTTCCGACGGCATTGGCTCTATTTTCAATCAATTGAAAATAAATGCTCGCACACTTTTTCCTGTGTTGCTAACGGGCCTGGTGTTTGTGTTGGGGATGTAAACCAGGAACTGGACCTAAACAACCCCAAGACGTTCCGTAACCTCGCCAAGCCGATGGGTGCCCAGACCGACGACAGACTGACGCAGTACAAGAAGCGGTACAAGGACTGGGAAGACCCCACCGGTAAGACCTCCACACAACAGACAGTGTTTAACATGAGGGAGTCAGGGAGATCCCTTTTATTTAAGTTATTTCAAGACAGAGTTAAAGAAATGTATTTGAAGCGGGAGGGCAGAAACGATAGCTCATAAAATAGTCCCCCTCCAGTGAGTTATCCAAGTACATCGTTATTGATCACAGGCAATGGTTTTTTGAACATGTTTGTGTTTAGAAGCCTGAAATAAGGTCTGTGGTTAACACAAGCTCAGAAGATTTTTTTGTCTAGGTTGTGTTTTCATGTTCCAGTATCGGTAAAGTGTTGTTTTCTGTCCTGCCAGGTGAAACCCCAGCATACCACTACGGCACACACTACTCATCAGCCATGATCGTAGCCTCCTATCTGGTCCGGATGGAGCCCTTCACTCAGATTTTCCTCAGACTTCAGGTTTGATTTGAACTCTCCTCGTCTGGTCCGGACTTATCTAAAGAGGGAAATGTATTGTTTCTTTAATTACATTATATCAGCTTTACATTTTGTCGTTTTCAGTCCAACTGCATACGTTAAAAAGGCCCTATTATGCTTTTGGGGTTTTCCCATTCCTGGAGTGTCCTATGTATTGTACTATTTTGTGTGCATGTAAATGGTCTGCAAAGGCTAAAATCCCTGCTTTTGGTTTCTCTCTCACACACATACAAATATGAACCTGAAAATGAGCATAATATGTCCTCTTTAATGGCATTTTTCAACTTATGTTATGTTGGCTCTGCTTTTGTCAGATTTTAAGGGTTGGGTTTGGGCCTAATGGAAAATATAACTATCCTTTTAGTAAAACAAATATTATTTTACAACCTTAAGTTCACCTTAAATCCTAGTGTCAGAATGTCATGTCATTTCATCTGCCTGTATGTGTGTGTGTGTGTGTGTGTGTGTGTGTGTGTGTGTGTGTGTGTGATCACCAGGGAGGACATTTTGACCTGGCTGACAGGATGTTCCACAGTATGCGTGAAGCCTGGCTCTCTGCCTCCAAACACAACATGGCCGACGTCAAGGAGCTCATCCCTGAGTTCTTTTATCTGCCCGAGTTCATGCTCAACGCTAACAACTTTGACCTGGGTCAGTATTGGAAAGCGTGGCCAATGGCGGCTAGTTGATCTTATTGAGAAAAATGGTGGATACTAACGTTCTGTCTGCCTTCTGTTGTGTGATGTCACAGGGGCCAAGCAGAATGGCATCAGGCTGGGTGACGTCATCCTGCCGCCCTGGGCCAAGGGAGACCCACGGGAGTTCATCCGAGTGCACAGAGATGTATGAAATGAACACATTTGTGATGATTTAGGTTGAGTTTTCAAGCGAGTACACATTAACCTCTGTCCTCCCCACCTGTGTCCAGGCTTTGGAGTGCGACTACGTATCGGCCCACCTCCACGAATGGATCGACCTGATCTTCGGGTACAAGCAGCAGGGCCCGCCGGCTGTTGAGGCGGTCAACGTCTTCCACCACCTGTTCTACGAGGGTCAGGTGGATATCTACAACATCAACGACCCGCTCAAAGAGACAGCCACCATCGGCTTCATCAACAACTTCGGACAAATCCCCAAACAGGTCAGATACGGGCCTATGTTGGAGTACAAAATGCCACTAATGCTCACAAAACTACTACAACTGCTAATACTACATTTACTTTTACAACTTGGACTACAGTTTTTATTAAATAACTAGTCCGGAATTTAATTACTGCAGTTTAATTTTCTTTGAACTGCACTAGAAAACAAATAATTCCTAAACTCAATCAAAAAGATATACAACCTGGAAACATTTCTTTCAAATACTTATTTTGAGTTTGAATGCATCATTGTATTTTCCAAAAGTCACGATCAAAACTGCTTTTGGTTACATTTTAAAGGGAGTCAAACACATTTCTCTCTACATAAAATATGCCCGGCCTACATTATCAGTTATAGCAAGACAGCATGATGGCTACCCCATGTCTTTGAACCAAATATGATTTGGTATAGCTAGTAAAAAATAAAATAAAAATGAAGATACTCTCCATTTAGCCCTTGGTGTATAAGTGTACCTTCTTCACTGTTCTGTTTGTGTTTCAGCTGTTCAAGAAGCCTCATCCTCCTAAACGGGTCCGCAGCAAAGCCAACGGTGACGCGTCGAGCGTTCCTCCAAGCTCCAACGGCGACAAGATCTTCTTCCATCATCTGGACAATCTCAGACCTTCTTTAGCCCCAGTAAAAGGTACATATACAAGCACAAATATACACTTAAAAAAAAAGAATTGCAATGTAAATTCCTGTAAGAACCTTGTACTGCCATACTGTGACCTCCCTAAGGTGCAGGAATCCCTGTAGACTCACATGTTGCTTTGTGTTGCAGAGCTGAAAGAGCCGGTGGGACAGATCGTGTGCACGGACAAGGGGATACTTGCTGTGGAGCAAAACAAAGTTCTGGTTCCACCCACCTGGAGCAAGACCTTCGCCTGGGGCTACGCAGACCTCAGCTGCAGACTCGCTAACTATGAGTCCGACAAGGTGACAAAAACGGTTATTATAAAGGAAACGTTTCTGACAGATTTACAATTGCGACAAATGTAGTAATGCACACTCCTTTCACCTATAGGGCTATATGTACTGTATATTTGGATTAGAATCGAGTTTATTGCTGAATCGTTTTTCACACATGGTGATGTCACCTTGTAATGGCGCATATACAGGAAACATAAATATTGAAAAGAATACAATCATTTTTTGTCTACCTGCTCCAGATTTAGTATTATTATTTTGTCTTCATTAAACACACACTATGCATAAAATACATCAATCTCAAAAAGAGAAGAGATGATTAATGCCAGTTTGGCTATTATCCATCAATCAATCAAAATACTTTATTAATCCCAGGGGAACATTTGGTTTTTGACAGTTGCACCATATTAGAATATAATATATACATATAAGTATAAGTAAAATGTGAAATAAAACTTCTTGTAGCCACAGGGACACAGTGTTTTAGGCACAGGAACGAGGCAGGACGTCCTCCATAGCACAGAGACCCTCTGAGGACTCTCATGGTGAAGGCTTGATGAAGCTCTTGTTGCAATCCTTGTCGGCCCAAACATTCCATGAGCCATTGATGGAAACGTTGTTTTCAGATATATCCTGGATCAGCCATGATTCCGTAAAGCACATTAAACTAAACTCCAGATATTTAGTTTGACTCCTGGCCAACGCCGTTAGCCCGTTTATTCAACCAGTGATCTTACGTTGCCCATGATGGGAGGGGGGGAGACTTTGAATATATCTATTTTTCTCCATAAATCTGGACCCGGCTCTCCTCCTTCTTCGCTTCGGTGAACCCTGCATCCTCTGGTCCTTCTACAGATTTCAGTGGGGATAACCGTTATCCCGACCACTATCCTAGCTGGCTTTAGCGCGATTAGCTTCTCCCTGGTGTAAACAAGGCAGCCATTGGGTAACTGCGTGTGGATGCACAACAACAGCAACTCAACGGCCATAAACAAACAAGATCCCTCTCTGTAAGAAAGTTCAGAGAGGGCACAGCTTAATAAGTTACTAATATAAGTTATTTATAGAAATAACAACAATCAAATAAGAAGAAGCGACAGCAATGCTAACTTCTGCAGTACCTGGGCAGGTACATTCATAACAATCAACAAACTCTTAAATTATGTCATAGTTTCTATCATACAAACAATTATCTCACATGTCAAAGAATGTGTCTATAAAATATAAATACCAGCACATTTATCATGACATATAGCATTTTTATTAACTTCTAAACTAAAACCTCAAATCACGTTCAAGTTAATGTTGAGTAGAGCTTTGGCATCTCAAGACTTATACTTCATGCTTATTTCACCTTGACATCGACAGAGAAGACGTTTAGGAGACAATGTGTCCCCCTGCTGGTGCTTGAATAAAAATGCACTTTCTTCACTGGCCTCTTAGATTTTCAGCAGCAGCCATTACAGAAGTCTCAAATGCAGAACTTTATTTGACCTGTGCTTACTACATTTGTTATCAAAAAATAAATAAGTGTAAGAGTTGTTGAAATGTGAATTAAAACAGAATTAATAGACAATCCCCCCTTCTTAATCTTCAATCTCTTTCCAGGCGTTGGTGGTATACGAGTGTCTGTCGGAGTGGGGTCAGATCCTGTGTGCCATATGTCCAAACCTGAAGCTGGTCATCACCGGGGGAACCAGCACCGCCATCTGTGTGTGGGAGACGGGGACCTCCAAGGAGAGGGCCAAGGCCCTCACTCTCAAACAGGTGAAAACACAAACAAAGAGTCAATGCAACATCCTGGAGCAGTCAACATTCTGTTTTATCATTATATTAGTGGCTTGAAATGGCCTTGAAATTAAAATAATTCTGTTAAATCGCAGTTCTGTCCAGGACAATAAATCATTCAACAGAAGTAGTTATTGTGACGGCCTAATCAGGCTGATTTCAATCTGGTGAAATTGAAAGAGCCCCTATTATGCTTTTTTGGGATATCTAAGCAGTTGACCAACCACTTGGCACACGGCCAACAGAGCCGGCCAGCTAAAAATAAAGAGCTTTTTGTACAGTAAAGCATGGAAACATGTCACATTAGAGGCACTAAATACAAATATGAACCTGAAAACTAGCATAATATTTCCTCTCCTGCTTAAAACCTTGAAAAATAAAAACTTTTCAAATCAGAAATACTTAAACTCATTATCGTTTAAGATAGCTGAAGTGAATAGAAACAATAGCTTTCTACTATATCTTTGATTTAAAATGTACCCCCGTAGCACTGCAATATTTTCCCCTCTCCTCTACCTCTCCTCTTTAAAACTGTTTAAGAAACAGGTAATCTTAACACAGTTTGACAAGGCTTGACCTCTTTGGTATAGTCTTCGAACTGTTCAGGTATTATTTGGTCCTTCTAATGCGTTTGCATCATTGCAGGCGTTGCTGGGCCACACGGACGCTGTGACGTGTCTGACGGCGTCCTCGGCGTACCACATCGTGGTCAGCGGCTCCCGAGATCGAACCTGCATCATCTGGGACCTCAACAAGCTTTCCTTCGTCACACAGCTCAGGGGACACCGGGCACCCGTCTCTGCTCTGTGTATCAACGAACTGACGGTAGGCTGGAGTGTACATGTCACCCTCTACAATCTCATTTATGCTTTTAATCCAGGAAAATACATAAGGGCTAAAGTTTTATTTAAGTGTTGAATATAATTCAAATCATTAATGAAAATCTGCAAAATAACTTAAAGTATAAAACAAATGTAATGGAGTGAAATTACATTATTTACCTCTGAATTGTAGTTGGATAGGATTACCAATTAGCAACAAATTGAAATACTCAAGTGAAGTACACGTCCCTCAAAATTGTACTTTAGAACAGTTGTTGAGTAAATCTTCTTAGTTACTTTACACCACTGTTAATAAAGACAGTCATTTGCATGATCCGCATTTGTCCATCACGATCGGCAGATTGGTGCGTAACTTTAAATGTTGCTGCTGCAGGGAATTGTGGGAGAGCATTATTTCCTGTCGTAAAGGATAGAACAATATATCCTTTGGTAGCAAAGAAAGCCTTGAAGCTTCTTTCCTAACATCTACAGAATTCAAGCAGCTCTTATCATGGCTGCCACTGAGGAACTTCATGGTCTCATTTAAGAACCCTCCATAAGCAAAAAAGGACTGGATAAAGCTGTTCAGCTGATGAACAGAATGTGTGTGTGTGTGTGTGTGTGTGTGTAGGGGGACATTGTGTCCTGTGCAGGGACTCACATTCACGTGTGGAGCATCAACGGCAGCCCCATCGCCAGCGCCAACACCTTCACGGGGCGCAGCCAGCAGATCCTGTGCTGCTGCGTGTCCGAGATGAACGAGTGGGACACGCAGAACGTCATCGTCACCGGACACTCGGACGGCGTTGTCAGGGTAACAATGGCAATAATACTTACTTGTGCATTCCTTGTTTCTAATTCATGTTTTTCTTGTTTTGCTTCTGCTTTGATGTAGTATTCACTTGTTAGGCTTTTGTACAACTATTTTCTAATGCATGTGGCAGGTCTTAAGGCGTGGACAATAAATAAGCAGCAATTAAAAGTTATGAAAGGAATTGCAACATATTTGTTGTTATCCTTTCTCAGGCCAGATACATATCATTTATTATGAAGGCGCTAAAGTCTAAATAATTTCATTTCTTCATTTTCTAAAGTAGCTTTGTCTCTAGGGACTTGGGAAGCGAAAGGTAACCGGTTCAAGTCCTGATAGGACCAAAATGCAGAGTGCAGAATGTCTCCTCCTGGGCACTGCTGAAGTGTCCTTGAGCAACTCTTAACCCCCAACTCCTCACTCTGACACTCCTCACTAATGCATGTGTATAGACCCTGTTTGTGCATTTGGGTATTTCGGCCTCCTGTGATGTGAAAAAGAAGACGATGCGCCTTTATTAATCCCTGAGGGGAAATTCTGTTTTTCACAGTGTGTTGAAATTACAAACATTCATAGGAATACAGATATGCAAACACCATTTTTTTTAATATAGTAGTGCCAGAGCGAAGAGGCTACCATGTTTTGTACGAGCGGGACTTGAACCGGCGGCCAAGCCAAGTCCCAGACCGAGCTGTTGCCTCACAATAAGGATTCTGCATTTGACCCATCCTAGTCTGAGGAGCAGTGGGCTGCCATTTTGTTCAGAGCCCAGAGAGCAGTGTAGGGTTCGATGCATTGCTCAGGTGCACCTCAGTAGGTCATTCTAGGACTTGAACCGGCGACCTTCTGGTTCCCAAGCTAAGACTGAGCCACCACCGTCCTGAGTTACGTAAAAAACACTCCAGAATGAGATATAGAACTTTCCCTAAATGATTTCTTAATCTTAATTCTACACTTTATAAATGTGCTGTGATTTAAATGTTACTTATACTTAATTGAATCTGTCTCTAATATTATTTTGTAGTTTTGGAGAATGGAGTTCCTCCAGGTCCCAGAAACCCCTGCTCCACAGCCAGTAGAGCCAGATGTGACTGACTGCTGTGCTGACGAGAAGATTGGTGAGTGATAACATGAATAAAATCAGATTCACTTCACTTAGTATGGCAGTGACATGTCCTAAAATATAACAAGGCTTCTACACACTAAAAGTGTCTGAAGCGTGGCTGATGCACCGTCCTTTGATTGCTCATATTTTATTTCTGTAAGTATCGGCACAATTCATTTGACTGTGTTGATTAACTCTGTCATTTTGAACTTTTCCCACAGAAGGTGGCGTCAGTCAAAATGGCGAGGAGGAAAGCAGCGAGTCGGATGGAGACGAGCCGAGCCTGAGCCAGGAGCCCAAAGCCCCTCGCAACCCCTCGGCAGGGGGCAGCCAACCAGGCAGCGCCGTGCACAGACCCAGAGGTACTCCACCTGCTGCCCCTCCCCCCAATGTTTGCACATTCACTCTTTAGCTGCTTTCAGCTGAACAAAAGCTTTTTTCAAGAAGCTGCGTTGTATTTCAAGTCTGAACCAAATGTCATTTGTTTTCCCTTTCAAAGCTTCTATTGAGGTTCCTGTCTATAGTCATATTGAATGCTTGCATCGGAGTAAAACAAATGTAATAGAAAATGCTCAAAGAACATTTGAATAAGATGATTCATCGATTGATTTAGTTATTTATTTTATTTGTATTAATGTTGCTTTTTGATGGCTAAATATAAGGGTTTCAATCAATTAATATACTCGCAATTCTTTGCAACCTGTCCAAACACGACTTATCGCAAATCAATCGCACATATTTATCTGTTTCTACTGTACCTTAAAGAAATATTTTTGAAGTTTTCGATACTAGTATCAACATGGGAGTGGATAAATATGATTACTTTATACAAAATGTATGTTTAGAGTTGTGGATACTGGAGCAAAATTGGACTCTCTGCTCTCCATCCAAAATCCTTCTGCTTGCTTGCTAAGTCTCTCTAGCTTTGTCATCACCAACATTTATTTCATGCTAGCCAGATGATGCTCCCGCCATGCTAACGCTCACATTGCTGACCTGACACTCCCTTTAAGGTCCTCCAGCCCGCCCCGGAGCCTCGTGGTCGATGGACAGCAGCTCCGACGACTCCCACCGCTGGTCCGACAGCCTCAGCGTCGACGAGAAGGACGGCTTCGTGTTCGTCAACTACTCCGAGGGCCAAACTAAAGTCCCCCACCCTCACCCTCACCATCACCCTCACCCAGGCCAGGGCTCAGTGCCGCAGCCTCTGCATCCCTCCTCCATGGACCCACGGACGTTCAACCAGCTCAGGACCGGTGGGTGTCCACAAGATTCTTTCTCTGGCAAGGTGTTTCAGCTCCTAAGAAAACGCTACGGAGGAACAAGGGGCTCCATCAGCTGGACAAAGGAAGAAAGTGTCTTAGTTTCATTGTTTAAGTGTTTCTCTCTGTGTGTGCACAGGCTACAGATGGGAGCGCCAGCTGGTGTTCCGGAGCAAACTCACCATGCACACGGCGTTCGATCGCAAGGACAACGCCCAGCCAGCCGAGATCACATCCCTCGCCATCTCCAAGTAAGAGAGCAACAAACTGAGCAGCTACGTTCTAAACACTCGCTGTATCCATCCGGAGAGCTTCTCCTACACACAGTATTTGTGTTTGAGTAAATGGTAGATGTGATGGACAGTCTATCAGATAATGATGAGATACAATTCACTAAATATGTTTGATTCAAATGAAAAGAGAATTGGTTTTAACTAGATTAAACTGATTGCTCAATGATTTCTGATGGACATTAGATACAGGACTGTCAAAAGAAAAAAGGAAACATTTTCACCTAAAGTAAAGGTTGACTAAAATCAAATGCCTTTTCATTGAATGAACTGGGGTAAAAGTCATAGGTACACTAAATCTAAAAAGTATCTGCCAAAACTGTAAACCACAAATCAGAATCTTAAATCTGTTTGCGGTCCCACAGAGCTGACATTTGCAGCGTTAACAACTGAAAATAAATATATGAAATATATGAAATAGAAAAGAGTAGAAAAGAGTAGACTTTGAGTGTTTCTATTCAAATCCAGTCTAAGAAAATATTTTTTTACTAAAAGCGATTAATCAGAAATCCTTTTAACGGGGAAATTGACACCGTTATAACTGCAAAGGTACGCTGCATATATAAAGGCAAAAATAATAATCTAAAACTAAACAGCTTTCACTTGAAATCCAGTCAAAGCACATTTTTATTAAAAAAGTGTTAACCGCTGCCGTGTTCCTCCCCCTCCTCCCTCCCATTGTTTCTCCCTCTCTTCCCCCCCCCTCTCAGGGACCACAGTAAGATCCTGGTGGGGGACGGGCGCGGCCGGGTCTTCAGCTGGTCGGTGAGCGAGCAGCCGGGCCGCTCGGCAGCAGACCACTGGGTGAAGGACGAGGTGGTGGACAGCTGCTCCAGCTGCACCGTGCGCTTCTCCCTCACCGAGCGGCGCCACCACTGCAGGAACTGTGGGCAGCTCTTCTGTCAGAAGTGAGTCCTCCGGTCATACTTCAGTACTGTTCTAAACTTAAACATGGTATACTGTATTACTTATCCCTTTGTAGCCCCTTGCATTTATTTTCTTATGTGTAGAATGAATATATGACATAAAGGCAACTTTAACATATGTATTTGCTTTGGAAACCTTGTGTTATATCTTCCTCTATTTGTTGTCACTTTCAATGGTCTATTTAGTCAAAGCTCAAACATATTCATCAATGATGGTATTTCAGCTTCATACTTAAAAGTTCTTATGACGTTGTTAGCAATGTTAGCTCATAAAACTAGCTTCGGAAAGTTATTTTGATGCAAATGGTTTAAATACTTTGCAATGATTTAATGCAACAAACGAAAGGATGCCAAAATAACTACGACGTACACAGTGATACCGATCAGTACAAAGTCTAAACTGATGCTTTGTCAGGTCTGTCCTTTTAAATGCTTGTTTTCTACACTTTTGTACTAGTGTAGCTGCTCCAGCCCCTCTCAAACCAACGTCACATGACATGAATAAAGCAGAAACGTTATTTGTCATGCCATAGACAGTCTGGTTTGCATAATTCATTTATAAACATAGGTTTTCATTCAGTCTCAGATTTAGAATTTGAACACTGATTTCGCAAGACAGCAGCGCGCAAATTTCACGTATCTTGCTTCATTTTCTGTGTTGCCATCTTTGCATTGACTTTATATGAAATTGCGTCTCTTTGCGTACAGTTTGATTTGACAAATGCAGTACAAATAGCAGTATTTTCGATAATCTCTTTCTACTCCTCTTTCTCCTGTGAGGGCCTGTATTGTCCCATCTTCCAATGTGCGCTCTGTGTCCTCCTCGCTCTGCAGGTGCAGTCGCTTCCAGTCGGAGATCAAGAGGCTGAAGATCTCGTCTCCGGTGCGGGTTTGTCAGAACTGTTACTACAACCTTCAGCACGAGCGAAGCGCCGAGGACGGCTGCAGAAACTGAGCTCCACCTCCAGGAGTCTCCTCTTCCTCCTCCCACGTGTCCCCAAAACGCTCTCCCTCCAGCCCACTCACCCTTTATCCTCTTGTACGTCCAGTAACACGTGCACAGTAACGCACTGACAGACAGAAACAGGAGCGAATGTCGGCGGTCTCGCGTAGGGGGTGGGGAAAAAAAACATCTGATCAAAAGGAAAGGAAAAAAAAAATCCCCACTTTGACGACCTACACACACCTGGAGGAAGAAACAAAACAAAAGCAAAAACACCTTTGATGCGGCGCGCTTCAAACAATCACCCGCCTTTTTTGCTTTGATCAAGAACCCGTTCCTCTTTCACCGCGAGACGTAACAAACTTGTTTATATTGTAAATAATAACCATGGCCTTTTTAACTCTAAGAAGAGCAAACGGAACAAAAAATAAGGTCAAAGAGTTAAAAGAAATTGCCTGTAACATAGCGTTGTGACTAACCACTCCTGGCTTTCAAAAAAAAAGTAACTAAATGGATTGCGTGTAGTCACGGCGAGGCCAGAGCGAAGGAAATGAATGTCAATAATTAATTTCCGTGACTTTACTAGTGGGACTAGGTATGCAACATTTTTTTATTTCTTTATCAATTGTTGTTGTTTACAAATTGTATTTTTATGTGTTGCCCACAGTGTCAAGCCATCACCATCACAGAAAGATTTCATATCGTTTTTGTTGCCAATTTCTTTCAATTTTGATGATTTTAGTTTTGATCATCTATTCTGTCCTTTATATGAATTCCCAATTGGAGAATTTTGATTGTTGCTGCTGTCTGAAGACTGGACACGTTATCATTTCAGATTTTATTTTAAAACCATATCACTGCGTTTCAATTCTTTTTTTTTTTGTAGAAAACATAATTGAAGATATGAATAAGTTCCCGTGATATTTCTTTTCCATCTCGGTTTTTCCTAGTTCATTCTTAAATTGCACATGAAAAAGGGATTTTCTTTTGAGTGTTTCTTGCTGTTATTCTCGTGTTGGCATTATTACAGTTAACGTGGCACTCCACACACTTTATTCTCAGTCCTTGGTCGACATTTTTAAATTGCATTAGCAGCAGCCGAGCACCTTTCAATGAGTTCATTCAGTACAAACAGACATTATTATATACTTTAGAGTACAAACATCCCAGGCCGGAAATAAAAAATATCTCTAAGGTGTTTTGTCTAAAAAGTAAATCCTATTATATTTGATCAATAGTGTATCCTGATTTGGTTTCATTATCAACGTCATTCATCAATCACTTACTGTATGTACTTTAATTTCATGTAAAGCCTAGAGGAATTCATCATGTACAATGGCCACTGTTTAACAATTTACAAGATGTTTTTTCGTACATTTATGAAATCATGATCTCGTATAATATTTGAGTTTTTTTAACGCAATATTCACGAAAGAAATCTGATATTGTTAATTAATATTGGAAGGGAAAAATGATAACATGGGTAAAGGAAAGAACATGTGTAAAACCTTTTATTTTATATTCTGATGCCGTTCAATTTTGTTGTTTTTTTGCCAAAAAGTCGCCAAAGTGAGATATTTTCAAATTCAAGCATATTTGCTTTTGATGTTAAACAACAGCCAGAACAACAGTAAAGACATGTCAATTCAACAGTAAAATATTCCATAAAATAAAACAATGTTTGGGACTGATTGTCACCGTGTTGACAAGTAAATATCAAAAGTCTTTCTGATGTTTAATATGACTTGTATTTACATGAACTTGAATTAAACAACAGAAAACTGAATTTGTAGGCTTACAGGTGGCTCATGTTCCACCATGAAACACACATTTGACTGCTCGATGGCTGCTGCTGCTGGGTTTAATATTTGGACATTTAGAAAGTGTTTTTGTTTTTATATTAAGTATTCATATTGTTTCTCCTCTCTCCATGTTGTTTTCGTAGTTCTGTGGGCAACAACTGTGCATTCAAGTGCTGCTTTCTTTGCATTTCCTTTTTGTTTTCCACACAGACTCTCAAACATGTAAAAAGAAAAGAAAAAGAAAACACTTTAATATTCACCACCATGTTGTTCTAATAATCATATGCACTCTTGTTATTGTCTTTATATCATTCTGCATTGACGTACTGTTATTTAGCGTGCAATCATGCCACCTAGCTGAAAAAGGCCCAGTCGCCTTTTATCAATCAAGAGTCCCTTTGCACCTTCACTTGTACAAAAAAAGTCAAGAGGAATCACAGGTTTTTATTAAATGCAGTTTTACGTTGTTATTTTAAGAGAAAGGTGAATTTCACAATGAACTGTACAAAGTATTTATGCAATTATAACTGGTTTTAGATTTTTTTTTGTTATGATTATTGCGATTTCAGCAAGTTTGGTTACTTGTTGCATGTCTATTAACACAGCTGACTTTCTGTGTCAGTGCATTGTAAATGTTCTCGGCATTATCATTTTGTTGGTTTTTATTCTTTTATGGGTTTTTTGGAGGCATTGTCTGATGAGTTGTGTACAGAGCCAGAGATCGTGTCCCCAACTCTGGGTGTACTTTTGTACTCTTTATGGAAAGAATTAAGGACAAATGATAGAAGGAGAAGAAAGAGAAAAAAGTGGAAGTCTTTGGACTATTTTGGTGGTCCTGTATTCGACTGCATTACTACAGTATCTGGTGTGCAATCTGTGGTAGCTGAATGTTCCTTGTATATTTGTGTTCACTTCATCCTACAGGACGGAAATCAATAGAGTAACCCCCCCTCCTTACAGAAACAAAATGTTACATAATGCAATAGATCTGGTACTTATTCTGTTAATTTCATTTCAATAAATAATTGCTGTTTACCACCAAAAAAAGACTCAATTATTTTCTATCTTTTAATGTTTCGTTTTTTGTTTTCTTCACAGACATCCAATAAGTGCAATGTGTTTTACAGATGGAAAAAATAGAAAAAGACATGTACTGTGAACTTTGACCCTTAGCCTATCACATACAAGGCAACATTCCATAGCAACAACTTCAGTAGTTACCAAGCTTTGGTTTCAAAGGAGAAGGATAAAGAGGCAGTGAAAGACAAGTAAGCGAGACAAAGACAGAGCAATATATAGGAAAAAGAAAACCACATAACTATGGCGGAGGAAGGATCTAAGGACGAAGAGAGGGCGTTATTAGTGGTACAAATCAACTCTCTGGATGAGCAGCAGCAGAGGTAAGAAAGAGTCTACTAACGGATATTCTTCTGTTCTGGAAAATGTATCTTTTATAGTTAATTCAAAAACAGAATGATTATAAATGTAGATAATGAACTACATTGTCTTTTACATTTAGAAAATATGACTTAATATTTAAAAAAGAAGATAAATGAATGCTTAATTTATTTTTGAACGTTAGCATTAGCACCAGCTCGTGCCTTCTTAAGACGTTCGTACCACGAAATTATTATTAAATATTTCATAGGAAAAACATTAAATTAGCAAAAATTCTAGCTAACTGGAACCATGATAAAAATAACTTCAACTTTGACTAGTAGCCAAAGTTTGTAAAAAAACACATTTGGACTCAGCACTGGTGGGCAAGGCAACATTCAAATACTGTCAAAGAAGCAGGTCGTCATGGCAATCTATCATGTTCCACAGCTTCTTGATCTTAAGGATTTTAAACCTTTTTTAGAATTTCTTAGATTTCTTAGAAAATGAACTTAATTGAAAATTGGGCCTATTAACATACTGCTGTGCAATATACTGTATGTTTACATTTATATTTAAGAAATACAATATAAGACAAACACAAGTTTCAGGTGTGGGCCATATTCCATGATACTTCTAGAATTTGCTAATTAAAAGTGGACCGTAGTTGGCCACCGGCCGTAGTTTGGACAGTAGTATAATAGTTTGTTATATTCCATGGAATGCTCTTAACATCCCGATAGCAATGAATACATTAAATGCTTTGACAATAAATACATAAAAAAATGTCATCTGTGGAAGCCGTGGCGCTGTAAAAAGCACGACCAATCATCTGCCCCGGCCCGGCTAAAATAACTGGATGGCCTACCTGCCTGTCAGCCTTCAATCTCGTGCACAAACTTATCCCGTGCCCTCATTGGTCATGTGCGCGTTCGTGTGTGTTGGAGGAGGGTCTCTGTAAAGAAGTCTGAAGGAAGGGGCAGATTTTTTCGGCTGTGTACTTTCAAATTCTAGCGCACTCGAGCTGGTTTCTCCATTCTTACCTACCCTACCTTTAAGAGAGCCATTACACAACTTACTGGACAGCTTTTTTTTCAGCGTTAGCTAGCTAAATATGTCTGAACCAACAACCAAACGCAGTGTTCCCCTTTTGATTTTACACATGACAGGAAAAACATTTGTTGGTTTTTAAAAAGGCATTGTTGTTGGCACTGCCTGTGTTTTCACTCTGTGACGTCAGCTGTTTACTCCTATAAAGAAGGAAATGTAGCAATACTGTATTGCAGTGTTAAGGTAAACATAAGATATTGTAAAACACAAAAGTTGAGTAATGAGTGCTAGCACTATTTACCAGAGGGACATGTACCTCCACCTCCAGCTACATGTATGTAGGACTGAAATTAGTTATCACTAGTTTTCATTAACGTGCTGATTATTCGCAAATGCAAATCTTCATATTTGAGAAGATAACTAAAAGTTATTAAAAAAATGTCTTTGATTAATTGTTTGTTCTCTTAAAAAACTAATGTATTTGTGAACTTTGGTATATTTAAGAGCAACTTCCTTTTCCACATTTTTTGTATAATAGTATATTTTTATTTAGAACATATAAAATGCTGTAAAATTGTGGGGAATCAGCCTTACAGATTTACTTATACCTAATTTCACAGATTCTTTGTGGGTTTTCTCCAGCTACCAGTTCCTAGATACTACTTTATTTAATTGAACTATTGACATACCTTAAGGACAAGCTAGTCCCAATTTCAAACATACCTTCACCCTGCAGATATCTTGAGTGTGACATGGTGGACAAACACAATGAGGACATGACCTCTCTGTGCGACGCTCTGCGAGTGGACCAAAGCCAAAGCTGTTATCGACTGAGACGCTTTAACCTTATAAAAGAGAAGAAGGAGGACGAGCTGGAGGACGAGCAGCAGACCCAGCAGCAGGCTGGAGGACAGCAGTCATTGGCCATGGAGCTGCAGCACAGCAAGCACATGCAGAAGCTGAAGGACCAGAGGGACAGACTGCACTCAGTGAAAAGAGTGACGGGTGAGACAATGTGTCATTTGAAAAATGTTTGCTACACTCTATTTCGCTGTTTCATCTTCAACCCTATTGGAACAGATCTGCATTGACGACACATTGGGAAAGATTACAGCTCAGTGTTTTATTATTTATTATGTAGTAATTATTTTCACTCAATAGTGGTGGTGGGTTGGCTCACTGGACTGCCTTCACCTGCTCAATTGTTTTTTTCATTGACAGAGAGAAGGGATGAGTTGGGAAGTAGTGCTTTCAATAGCCATTACATTCAACATGCAAAGCTAAGGGGCGGGGCATCTCTAAACGTTTAACCAATCACAACAGAGCCGGCCAGCTAACCAATCAGAGCAGACTGGGCTCTGGTTTCAGACAGAGGGTGAAAAGAGGTGCCGCAGCACAGGCAATATGAGAAAAATAAAGAGCTTTTTGAACATTAAAGCATGGAGACATGTCACAGTAGAGGCACTAAATACTAATATGACCTGAACATGAGCAGAATAAGGCCCCTTTAAAAAGTGGGCCTTGAATCAAATCCCTTCATCTCCTGAATCAATTAAGGTTAACCCTATCCAACCCAAAAAACATGCTGTTGCGTGGTGCGTTAGAGGTCAAATACTGATCCGAAGCACAGTGCAGGAAGCCTCCTCTCCTTGTTTACAATCCTCTCTTCCCCTCAGCGGAAAAGCATGTCAGGCTAAATGAGCTGGACCTTCTGAAGGAAAAAGTGCTCAGTGAGAAACTGAAGCATCATGCTGCCATCAACTGCTTGAATGACAGCTTGGATGAAACTGATGAATGGGGGAATAAGCAGAGGCAGGACGCACTGGAACGTTGCATTCTGGAAAAAACCTCCTGGATTCTTAGGGGGGACAGAGCTACTCATAGCAAGCAGCTGAAAAGGCTCCAGCTTGTTGTTTGCCAAGAATCATCCTTGCTGAAGGAGAAAGCGGACCTGGAAAGACAATTCTCTGATCTTCATTTGTGGAGGAACCAACTCAAGAAAGATCATGAGATTGCCCTGAAGAGCTTCATTGACTCTAAAGAGGTAAGAGGACTTTTACCAACAACTTTGGTCAAATGTTGATATAGTCATAATTAAGGGGGAATCTCGAATTGAGCCAGAGATCTCTTGATCTTCTGTCCTATGCTCTGCCACTGCGCTGAACCTCCTTTCTTTGAACTAAGTAATAGTGTCATTCTCCTTTTTTGTGTGTGTCAGACCTCAACCTGGCCTCATTGTTTTAGAGAGAACCTGCGATTCTTACTATTATTTGTGACCACATGCTGCTGTTCAGCAAGAATCAGCAGTGGTCTTACTAGTTTAGCAAATGAGAGCGCAATATACGGGGCAAGGGATATATCAGTGGGAGTCGTAGAAGAACAAATAAAACATCTGCAAGAATGGATTATCTTTTCATTTTTTTTCTAAATGTCATACTTTATTGTTCCCGTAAGGTCATTTATTCAGAGGAGCTCGGGTTTGCAGCAGTGTCTACTGCACAGTTACTCAAACAAACAAATCAGCACACAAACAACATGAATTGCTAACTTATTGCGTGCATCAATTTGTTGAAGAAATGTCTTGTCTCCTTATTGGTTTTGTCCATGTTTAGTGTGATGTATTAGTGTCTATAGAATGGTACAGAAATGAATCCTGAAAACCCAAATTGAGTTAGCGTTTTAGTGCCTTCAGTTCGAAAATGTTTGAATAATCTTTGGTTAGATCCCTTAAAAAAGGTCTGTGGTTAACACACAACACAAGCTGAAGATATTTCCTGTTTTATTCTACGACATAAAATACATAAATAAATACCCCACTGATAAACGCCAAAAGCTTTGATGTCTGATAAATACAGTAGTTGCTAACAAGCGACAGATTGACACTAAACATGATTGCGCCGTACACAAGTTAGCCTTTAGCTTAGCAGTGGTGATGCGCATTGTGTTGAAGTTCTTTTATAGCCTAACTTTTTAACTCTTGCAATTTCATTTACACTTCAACTGTATTCAATTGGTGTTAATATGCAGATTATCCGTATGGTTGATGGTGACTTTTGGTTCGGTCTACAAAAATGCATCATCACTGTGCTACTCAATATCAGCACTTGCTAATGCTATGTGAAATTTGGACAATGCTATTGGACGGTAGTCAATGTTTTACGCAGTCCAGTCATACATTGTTTATTATATTAATGTAACCATCGTACCCCCTCTCCCCCTTTCCAATCTATATTTTCCTCTTGAAATAAAGCCAGATAAGCCCCAAAACAGGAACATTAGCATACGGAATTAAAACAAAACAAAGCAACTTGAACTTTGATTTTTTTTTTTTCAATTGTTTGTTCATAAATCCCCATGTAATCAACTGTACTTATTTGCCCCTGCTCAAATCACTAACATCTTCTTTCTCCAGGAGAAGACCCAGGTGAGCAATGTGTTGATGAAAATGCAGATGAAGCAAAAGAAGGCCGTCACCACTGCGCATAAACAGAACAAGGCTCTCAGGTAAGGTTTCCCTCTATTTACTGTCCTTACCTAAGATTCAGATTCTCATGAATTGTCATGTAGAAGTTATTTCAAGGACGTTATAACCCACAAGCTTTACTGAATCAAACCTAATCTGGGTTTTAATCAGAGTCAGAGACCTTCTGATCTGCAGTGAATCGTCCACCATTGAACTGTCTATACTCTTACTATGATGTTGTTTTTAGAAAGCGTGCATCAATGAACTTTCCAAGCAAAGACGGGTCCGATCCAACGAGGGAAAAGCTTCAGAAGGAGAGGAGCAGGATAGGGAAACTGGAGACCATCATGCAGGATGGAGACATCTTTGTGAACCAAATCATGACGGTAAAAACACACTGTCTCTCTAGGGTGAACTATGGGAATTTCAGATTTTTTTTATGAAAACCCATAAAGTATAATGGGGCCTCTTTAACTTTTATACATGAATAAAAAACGGAAACATTGATGGTTGGTTTCAGCATACTCTTAAAGGTAGGGTAGGTAAGTTTGAGAAACCGGCTCGAGATCGCTAGAATTTGAAAATACACAACCGGAGAAAATCTGCCACTTCCTTATAGAGCCCCTCCTCCAACACACACGAACGCGCACATGACCAATGAGGGCACGAGATAAGTTTGTGCACAGATGGAAAGCTGACAGGCAGGTAGGCCATCCAGTTATTTTAGCCGGGCCGGCTAAAAATGATTGGTCGTACTTTTTACAGTACTACGGCTTCCACAGATGACATTTTTTTATGGATTTTTTGTCAAAGCATTTAAGATATTCATTGCTATCGGGATGTTAAGAGCATTCCATGGAATATAACAAAAAGTGTATCTCGAGCCGGTTTCTCAAACTTACCTACCCCACCTTTAACATGCAAAAATGTGCACATTTATTTATTTACCTATAACATACTGTATGTTGACCCTAACCATAAGACTGAAGGTACATTTTGATGTATTTTGACCAACCAACAGGGAAAAAGCCACACACATCTGCGGTCATAGAGTAATTAAAAGACCAGCTTCCCCTTTTAGGATTGATTTCTGGCTAATTTATACCGACTATAACGTCTCTTCTAATGTATTTTGTATGCATGTTTTCACCGGTGATGTTCATCATTTACCACATTATGGTTGGGTTGTTTGTTAATTGACCCACATGTAAAATTGGTTGACCTCAGCATTTGAAATAATACTGAAAAAGTACGGTTTACAACCTTAATTATGTTAGGAAAATTATGCAGGGAAAGAGACATTATTTAGCTTTTTAGTCTTATTGCATGTTGTTCTCTCAATGAGAAGAGAACATTCAGTTTTTCTGGGTTGAGCTCTGATGTTGTCGTGCCCTGCAGGGCTCAGAGAAGTCTGGGTGGAAGACACAGTGGCTGCTGGAGACCCTGCATAGCCTCTGCCCTCCGACCCTTGGAGAGCGGCCCCGACCTCAAAGACCCGCCTAGAAAGAACCTCCGAAAAAAAACCACGAGGACCACATCCAGAGCCATCTGGCTGGAGCAGAGCCAGAAGCAGATTAGCTGTTAACTCTCATCAAAATCTTAATGTTGCTTTTTCAGCTGTGAGTCAATATGCAATAAATAATATTACCAGGAATGTAGACAGTGTTTATAATGTATTGTCTATGTTGGAGAGAAACTTTGGGATTTTAGCCTTTGCACACTACAGGAAAGGGAAAACCCCCCACGAAAGCATAATAAGACCCCTTTACTAATGTGTAATTGTTCATTTGAAGTAATAACCTCCTACTGTTATTTCAAGGTCTGTTATAACTATTATAGTGTTAAATAGTTGTCGCGCAAATATTTAGTTTGGAGAAAGAAAAAAAAGTACACATGATAAAACACTTATGTTGATCATGTATTTTACATTATAGCCCCCTGAATCCAACACAACATGGAAGAGAATAAGTTGCATCATGCATTTAAATATCAAACTTTGTTCGGGGTCTGAGGCTTGAGGAGGGACAGATTACAAGTAACAGGATTACGCAATCAGGATACAAGAAAAAGTTCACTGTATTCCATTACAGTGACATACAAAGTAGACGTAATCAGATAAGTGTAACATTTCCATACATTGTGGGATTTCTAGCAGGTTACAATGTTAGTAAAAAACAAATAAGAGCATATAGTGTTTTTTGTAAGAGGATCAGTTTCTATTTCTTCTTTGTAAACTGTACTGTTCTGTAGGCTAATACTTTAACTGTGAATCTATTCCCCTACTGCCTGGACTTGCTTTATGATTTATTTGGTTCATTTGCTCTTTTTTAAATTCAGTATAGGTGAACCTATATGTTCATAAAATAGTGTGTGTGAGTTTAACTGTAATTATTAAACTGAAACTGAGCATAGCAGCTTTTTTATACTGTAGTATGTGATCATATGTTTCCTTGTTGGTGTATACGCTACTGTCTGAATATGCTTAATGAAAGGCAGGTTTTTCTATGAATAAAATCTCTGAGCAGAGGACACATTTCTGATACAAAATATCTTATTTTTTAAGGTTACATTTTCTTACATAATACACTTAATATAAAAAAAACAACACCTTATTTTTATGGCATTACAAGTAATCCAAATGTAACAGAAAGTAATCAGGTTACATTACTTTTATATTTTGAAATTCAGATTGCATTTTTACAGCTATCTAGTAATCATAACCCCCCCCTTCCCTGGGTCTAAATTAAGACCTAAAACAGGTTATTACTGGGAGAGGGGGGAGGGAGAGACCCCAGAGCAGCAGAGCTATGTGAAGTTACACAGAGAAACACAAACCGGAAGTTGTAGACTTTCTACTTGTGTTTGCTAATGGTTTCCATAAACAATAAAACACAAACCTTTTACACTTTCACAACATCTGAGTGGTTAAGAAGTTTGGGAAATGCTCGGAATATTCCTCTTTTTTCCAGTCGTTTGGTTTATGGTAGGATAACATGTGGACTTTTTAAATGATAATTTCCTTTAATAAAAACAATAAATATGAAATTGATCAGACTCCAGTGTACAAAAGTTTTCTTGAGAAAAAGTCAGGAAAGAATACGTTTAGGCTACTAAGTACTCTTTTTGGTGTGAACGCAAAATTCCAGGCACTAACGGAACTAAACGGGAAAAGTACGGGTAAAAGTACTCCGGTGAGAACGCGCCTAATGGTTGGAACGGAGTAATCTTCTACACTGCCACTCTCATTTTATTCCTTGGTCAGGCTTTTACTTTGAAAGTTACAAGCGGAAGCTGGGTGCTCTTGCTGTATAAAGCTTGACTGTGGTAGGAGCAGGGACTGCGGTCATAAACAAACACACGCAGTACAGTCCTTACTCTCTTATGGAGCTCTCTTCTGGCGCTTTGGCAGCACCGGCTGACTTTCATTAAAGCGGACCTTCTTCACGGACCGAGCTTTAAAGTTAATACAGGTTCGAAAAGAATCCAGCACTTTGTCGAAAAAAAACTCAAGGATTTGTATCCCCGTTTGCCTCCCTCCCCCCTTTTCCCGGACGGAGGCGGTTTATGTGACACATTAACGTCCCGGCAGCGAAACGAGCGAAACATGACGGAGCTGAGGAAGCGAGGTGGAGGCGGAGGATACCCTGACAGCACCGACAATATCAGCGACAAGGTAAACTGCACCATGACATGGGGAAAAAACACCAGTTTCGTCTGGAGACATCGCCCTCAAAACAAGTTAGGCAGGTTTGTCAGCTAACCAGGCAAGCTAGCTGGGTTGCCAGGTTAGCAGTGGAGCTAATTAAGCTAGTTAGTTAGCAGCTGGCTCACCGGTAATCCTGCTATAACATCAACGCGGTCACGGAAATGGACCTGCGTGGAGAATAGGACGTGTCTTTGGTGCGGGGTTCGCGTCCCCGTCATGGCTGGGAATGTCTCAGCGTTTCTCTGTGTCATAATGAAATGGTTTCATTGATGTCGTGCTCCTGCTGGTTTAGTCAGGCTTGACTTGGATTTGTTTAGTTTAATTAGAGCGTTAGAACAGGTGCAAGGCTTGGAAGGCCTCGTGTGTTGTTGTGTGGTAGATTGAGGGGTCCAGGTCTCAACAACAATGCATTTAAAATACTTAATTACCTTATTCTTTGTCATGTCTACTTCTCCCATTTCTTTAAAACAACAGGATCCAAATACTTGAATATGTGCATGGAGTCAGCATTGATTCAAATCGCTTTCAATCATGTCCATACAGGGATAGAGTCAATAACAAACTCTGTTTACAATTGAAAGAGACACATGGTAATTAAAATTGATTTATATAAATAATAAATAAATTATGATTAAGTTGAGTTTTTAAAAGGGACAAGTTAAAGCAAAGTAGTGTCAAATGCACGTCGAACTAAGTATATAAAGTAGTCATTATAGTACAATTACATTTTCTGATGAAGAGTTTGATGGTTGATTCTTCTTCCTGGAAACAGATGATGAATCCCTCTTTATCTCAAGGCCCATTTACTCACAGGAGCTTTCAACAAAATTCAACCGTCAGGTCAATTGTATTCACTATTTATTTTGTTTCCCATGCACTATTCTAAACATTTAGAACTTTTTGGCAAAGTTTAGCTTAGCTGTTAGTTCTTTACCATGAGCATGTCGATTTTGGATTTAATGGGCAATGATAGGATCAGGATCCTTTATTTGTCCCACAGTGGGGACATTTACAATGTTATAGCAAAATGGACAGAGCAGATAAAAGGCAATATATAAAATAAGTAGAGTAACACAAAAAACAGACAAGCACATGTTAATAAAATAAAAACCGAACATCACATTCACATCAATGGAAGTAATGCTTTCAGAAAGTCTTTCCAAACATAAGATTGGGGGGGAAACCAAACAAGGTTAGATAGGCTTTTGCAATATTTTAGTTTAGGCATCCCTAACCCTAATAATATGACAATAACTCAGTCAATCTTATGAATAAACAATAGATTGCTTTATAAAATACTATATTCAAAGTTACAGCACTAAATGTGCACACATACTGTAACCATGATTGTTAGAGTTGTAGTGAGAAAATTAATCGTTACATTACAGTTAAATATATGTATGTGCGGTTGGACGGATGTACTAGATGTTTATTGACAACCAAGACATTAAAGATCTGTATTTCAGTAAAATCAAAGTAATGAAACTACTTTTTGTTTGCTATTTTTGCCATATCCATCTTTTTATAAGCTGTATGGTCAGCTATGGACCGCTTTCCATCTCTTTATTTCCCAGAGTCTTCCCCTCAGTTGGACCATTTCAAAGGTTAGACAGTGAACTCCATCCAACAGCTCAACCAAGGTGTCCTACCAGCAGCCCCTGTGTAATGTATGTAGGGCTATGTTGTGCAATATTACTGAATAACTTTCTTTAACCTGTTAAGCCAGAGAGACCCCGGTACCGGGGCACTGCCGCAACATCTTGCAGAAAACAGTGTCTGAGGGCATGTTCATTTAATAAACTATGAATGTTTTATATCCATGTAACGGGAAGAAACTCATCTAACTGATCATTTTTATTTTTTTTCTCAAAAGAAAACCCACAATGCTAACGCTGAGCCTCTGAATTAGCAACGAGCGAAAATGCTAACACCTTACTGCACCGAAAATCACTCACAAAACCTTATTATTTATCTCTTCTCTACATCCATGACATCGTTTCACATCGTGAGGTGACACAGAATCGATGGGTACCCACATTATCACTGAATTATACGAATTTGCGACGTTATAAGCAAAATCGGACATCAAAACAGGTGACGCTAGGTAGCTAAAATGCTAACATTTTTACCTTGGCTCTGTAGTCTCTCCAAAGTGGTCTTCAATGGCATTAAAACGATAAAAACGCTGCTGAAGTTAATCCATAGGTTAATCCAATGTGTCTGTGTCCCTTTGAAATTATTTCTGATAATCCATAAGCAATAAAACTGCTTTTCCGTTTCCAGATGTCAAAGCTAGAGATAGGTTCACTCTGATGCAAAACTGCATGCGCGAAGCCCACACCTTTTCTTTTCACAATGAGTGTGTGTGGGGGACTCCCCCTTTGATTCTATTGGCTCTAACGGTCAGAAAGAGGTGTCAACCATCAAAATCGACCGAGGGGTTCCAGAGATATGGGAAATCCACCCAAATGATCCCAGAAGTGGTTTATTTTTGCTAAATCTCTCTAAAAAAGTAAAATGTCACTTGTTTTGCATCAATCTTGATACAGGGTACTTATATGTTGTACTTTGGATTCCTAAAGCTTTTAGTCTACCTTACCATCACCCAAGGGTAGTTTTCACTATAAGTAAAAAATAATTTTTGGACGGACACTATAATTTACACTTTATTACTATGTAAAATCTGAATTTTCTTTAAAATAAAAAACATCTATATTGATTCTGACTTTTCTACATCCAACTCACAGGTTTATCATTACTTTGAGAAAAAAAAAAAAATATTAATTTAACCCTTTTAGAAGGGAAGATATGGTCATTTGTTCTGGGAATGTCATTTTCGAGCCTGAGACCTGAAAAACAGGCTCAGGGCTTAACAGGTTAATGATTCAGCATAGCTGATATATATTTCCCAATGAAAATTAGAACAAATTATGCAAAAATTATAATTCTCTTGATTATCGTGAATAATATAAATAGGGGTTTTTCTAGAAAAGTATAGCATGAGGGCGCTAACGTAACTTCCAGTAAAAATGATGGCCCATACACTTTCCCGCGAAAATAATGCATTAGAGCGAAGTGGTAAATAATAGTTTCTTCATGTCTTAATTGAGCCCCACGGGGGCAAAAACGCAACATCTGCAAGAAACAGCGTTTGGGGGCTTTCTAACATTTAACAACCTATTAATGTGTCATACCCGCTTAACGGGAAGAAACTCAGCTAACTGACGATATGAACCATTTTTACCGAAACAAAACACAACTCTAACGCCGAGCCTCTGAATTAGCCCTGAGCGAAAACATTCTAACGCACTTAGCACAGAACTCACGGTATAAATACTTTATTACTTATCGGATCTGCACAAACAAGATATCAGATTCTAGAGGTAGAAGTATCATCACTGTGCGACCAAAACTCAGGGCAGCGAAGGCAAACCCAGACAACACAGCACGTAGCTTTACGGAGCCAAAACGGCAAATATGTCTTGCCTTTGCTGTTTTTCTGATCAAAAGTTGTGTTCAATGGCATTAAAACGATAAAAATGCTGCTGAAGGTTAATCCAATGTCTCTGTGTCCCTTTGAAATGATTACTGATAATCCATCATATTTATGGCTATAACCTAGTTTTCCGTTTTCAGAGCGTAACATAGCTTTCGGTTTGGGCAAGCTGCGTGCGCATCACTCTCATTCCTCAATGGTAACGTGTAGGTGGATTTAGGAACTTCCCTCTCGATTCTATTGGCCCGAACGGTTCAAAGGTGTCAATCACCAAAATCGACCAATGGGTTCCAGAGAAACGGCAAATACACCCAAATGACCCCAAAGGTGTTTTTTTCTTTTTCTAAACCTCTCTAAAAAGGTAAAATGTCACTTGTTTTGCATCACTCTTGATACAGGGTACTTATTATATGTTATAGTTTGGATTCCTGAAGCTTTTAGTCTACTATCCCATCATTCAAGGGTGGTTTTCACTATAAGTAATGGTTTTCTTTTGGACGGAAACTATAATTTACATTTTTTTACTATGTTCAATCTGAATTCAATCAATTTACTTTTCTACATCCAACTCACAGGTTTATCATTGCTTTGAGAAAAAAGAGATTCATTTACCCCTTTTAGAAGGGAAGATATAGTCATTTGTTCTGGGAATGTCATTTTCGAGCCTGAGACCTGAAAAACAGGCTCAGGGCTTAACAGGTTAATGCTTTGAAATCTAGATTTCCTGTGTGAGCTCCTTTTAATCTTTGTAGTGTTTGATTATTTTGGGGAATTGCCACTGAATCAATAGATAAAAGCTGCTAATGTTGGTCCTTAAAAAAATGTAGTTTGTAAATCAGTTGAAGAAATTATAAACGACACACCCGCTACTTACAACGGTAGTTTTTTTAATGTAACTTCTGTCCTGGTTCCTTTTTTAAAAGGTGTATTCATTCTGGCATGAACTCTACTCGTTTTATTGACAGGTGAGAACATTATTACAATAACATGCATGGTTAAAAAAAGTGTGTAAGGCTTTTAAAAACAATCAAATGTTGTCTATTTGCAGTGAAAAAAGTTCAATCATTTTTGAAAATCAGCACGGCAAGAGTTTATGGGTAAAAGGCCAACAGTTCCTTTTGTTTATAAAGCCAAGTAAAGCAAAATGAATACAGGCCAGAGTGATAACTTAACGGTATTCAAATCAGAACGGTCTATTACTGTATGAAAGAGCACCAGGCAAGAGTCTGGCTGGTGTTGACTTCCTGCTGTCAACATCTCTGACCTGGCAGGATGAGAAGTTGCCATTCGTCAGCTTAGTTAATTAGCTACTTGTTGTGAGTCCATGTGACGGTGTGTAAGCAAATGGTGTGAGCCTAATTTTACTGCATACATTGATGCAACTAAACACATTTTTCTACTATGATTCAGACCAGAGAAGGAGTGGGTGTGATCCAACAACAAGGCAATGTTGGGCAACACTGATATCCAG